GGGGGTTGAGATGCAACCTATGAAGCTGTCCACAGCCACTGCAGCACGAGTTTGCTCCCCTGGCCTGCCAGGGAGCAACCCACATGGTAGACCTCACCTGGCTCGCCGCTGCTCCCCTCAGCAGTGTACTTCGGTCAGTCTTCCTGTTCTGTTCCCCACTCTGTGTCTGGTGAATCCTCTCACAACCCTCCACCCCCTGCACCTCTGGCCTGTGCCCCAGCTCTTGTATGCATAAATAAATGGATTTAAAAAAAAATTTTAAATAATAGCAGAGTTATAAAATAGTAAAGGAAGTCTTACAAAACTAAACCATAGAACAGAGATAGATAATACAGAATGTGTAAAAGATGAAAGATAAGTTTGAACGTTCCAACAGCTGACTGATGGGAGTTTAGAAGGAACAAAGAAAACAGATGGTTATTAATAACTATATAAAAAAAATTTATATAAAAAAATTTCACAGAACTGCTGAAGTGCAACAATCTTCTTGATTTAAAGGGCATTTCTAAATATATAGCAAGATTGATAAAAGAATCAAATCAAGAAACATTGTAGCCCCAAGGGGGGGGGAGATTTTTAAGTTAGAGGGAGGGGAAAGGAGGACAGTGAAATGGGAGGTGTACAGGGAAGTATGAGAATGAGTTCCCTTTAAAGTTTGATAAGGCAGAATAGCATTGAATTCAGTGACAGCACTGGATGCTAGAAGAAGTTAGAGCACTGCTTCCAAGTCTGTGTGTGCTCCATAGTCTCTATTAAAAGAAATGTGGGCCTCCCCAGTGGCGCAGCAGTTGAGTGCTGGGTTGCGAAGCTGCCCGCGGCCTCTGCAGCGCCGGTTTGATCCCCGGCTGCTCCCCGGCCACCGGAGGAGGGTCCCACATGGCACGCAGACCTCTCCTGCTGCCTGCTGCTCCCCTCAGCAGTGTACTTCGGTGCTCCTGCCTGCTCTGCTCCCCGCTCTGGCTCTGGTGAATTCTCTCACCCTTCCGTGCTTCTGACTGTACCCAGCTCTTGTATAAATAAATAAATAAATCTTTTTAAAAAATAAAATAAAAAATAAAAAAAAATAAAGGAAATGTGTAACAAGAAAAACAGATAAATGGCCTTTTGAAGCCCCAGAGATTCAGAGAGACTGAAGTTAACATTGAAGCCAGCATGTTCCTGATAGCTTTTCAATGTCTGATTTTTGCAACAAATATTTATTAAATGTCTTTTATATGTCAGACATTATAATGAAGATAGAGTGGTAGGAGGAACAAGGCAGGCTCTCTGCTTGCCCTCTTACAGCTTTTATTTTAATGGAGAAGAGTAATAACAACAAAGGTACATAGGCATATGGTAAGAACTGTGAGGGAAATTTGTAGGGTAAGTGGTTGGGAAGAATTTTTGTAAATGATCTGAAGGATGAGGTGAGCCATACAAAATAAAATCTGGGGGAAGACTATTCCTGTGGAGGATGGAGTGGTAGCGAATCTTCTTGACACAGGGAACTGTAAATTGGAAGATCCTTAGTGGGAAAGAGTTTGATGCGTTTGAAGATCCGAGAGGAGTCTGGTGTAGATGTCATCAAAGAAACTGGGAAGTTAATTTGAAGTTAGTGTGAGGTTGCAGGGTAGAACCAAAGTGTGCAAGGGCTTTAGACTTTGAATGTTGTGAAAAACATCAGGAAGGTTTCAGCAAAGAAATACATGCTTTTATTTAAAAATTTTCTCTTATGAGTCTTAACTGTACTTCCTGCCCTCAGGCTTTGTGAGATACCCTTATATTCTTATGTTAAATTCTTTTTTAAAAAGTTTAATTTAAAACTGGTTTGAGTAGTTTTCAGTTACAGTTGCTTGCATCCTAAAGACTAGGTTAAAACAACATCCTTGTTTGTGTGTCGGTCATTTTCTTTTTAAAAGGTTTCCTTTTGGGGATCTTTGTTCCTCTTTCTGTTGGCAAGTTTGACATAATCTTTTTTTTTAATATTTTATTTTATATAATTCTTACATCATTTTTCATCTTTGCACAATGTATGCATTTTCATTATGGTTGTAATCCCCATACAATTGCGCAAACCCCCCCCCTTATTTTGACTCTGTTCCTTCCTCTCCGCACCCCCCCCATCCCATAGCGTATCTCTGGTTTATAGTTGCTTGTTGATTTAGATTTTTACTTTGTATTGATTAGTCTTTTTCCTAGTCTCTTATTTAAGTTTTCTAAATTCCTGCTATGAGTGAGACCATCCGGTATTTTTCTTTTTCTTTCTGACTTATTTCGCTGAGCATGATCCCTTCTAGCTCCATCCATGTTGCTGCAAACTGCATGTGTTTATCTTTTTTGATTGCTGAGTAATATTCCATGGTGTATATGTACCACATCTTCTTGATCCAGTCATCTATTTTTGGGCATTTGGGTTGTTTCCAAAGCTTAGCTATTGTAAATAGTGCTGCTATAAACGTAGGGGTGCAGGTGCTCTTTGGAATTGATGTTTCTGTGTCATTTGGGTAAATACCTAGGAGTGGAATTGCTGGATCATATGGAAGCTCTATGTTTAGTAGGTCCAGAAATCTCCACACAGCTCTCCATAGTGGTTGGACCAGTTTGCGCTCCCACCAGCAGTGCAGGAGAGTTCCTTTTTCTCCACAACCTCGCCAACATTTGTTGTTGCTAGTTTTTTTAATATGTGCCATTCTCACTGATGTAAAGAGCTGATGAGACTCAACAAAAACAAAGAAAATAATCCAGTCCAAAAATGGGCAGAAGAGCTAAAAAGAAACTTCACCGAAGAGGAAATGCAAATGGCCAACAGGCATATGAAAAAATGTTCAACATCACTTGTAATCAGGGAAATGCGAGTTTGACATATTCTTAATGTTTTATAAGGAGTCTGTGTGTTGTCAAGACAGACTTTTCTTGTTCATATTCATTAGTTTTCCAGTTAGATATTTGTCTTTTGAATTTGTTGGTGTTATTTTTGACAACCAGAAGGGTTTTTTTAAAAATATCTTTTTTTTTGGGGGGGACCCTCACTGGTGGCCGGTGATCGAACTGGTGCTGCAGAGGCTGCGGGCAGCCTCGCAACCCAGCACTCAACCACTGCGCCACCAGGGGAGGCCCTTTAATAATATCTTTATTGAGATAAAATTCACCTAAATTCACCCTATTAGGTACAATTCAGTGATGTTTAGTATACTCACAAAGGTGTGTGCTGATCACCTCATTCCAGGACATTTTCATGACCCTAGAAAGAATCCCCATGCCTATTAGTACTTACTCCCAATTCTCCTCTCCAAACCCTCGCCAGCCATTAATCTACTTTCTGCCTCTCTGGATTTACATATTCTGAATATTTCATATAAGTAGAATCATAAAATCTGTGGCCTTTTGTAGCTGTCCTCCTTCACTTAGCAGTTTTCAAGGTTCACCAGGCTACAGCATCTGTCAGTACTTCACTCCTTTTTCTAACTGCATCATCATATTCCATTGTGTGGCTGTACCACATTTCCCTTATCCTTTTGTTAGTTGATGAACATTGAGTTGGTTGTTTCCACTTTTTGGCTATTGTGAATAATTCTGCTCTGAACATTTGTGTACACATATGAAAGATTTGACTTGTATTTGTTCAGATCAGATTTGTCTTTTCCTTTGCAAAGGTTGCTCTCTTGTCATGTTAGCAGAATCATCTCTATATAAAGATTTGTATATTCTCACCTGTGTATTTATGATTTAACTATTAAATTTCAACCTTTAATACATATAAAAATTAATTTTGGTTGAAGATTTGGAGAAAGAATATGCTATTTGGGGCCTCCCCTGGTGGCTCAGCTGTTGAGCTGGTTCGTTCCCTGGCCACCGGCGAGGGTCCCACAAAAAAAAAAAAAAAAGAATATGCTTTTTCCCTATAGGATCACTAGGTAGTCCTTAATAATTTATTGCATAATTTAGTAATCCCTCATTGACTTGAAACACTTTATATCAAAACAGAATACTAATAGCAGGAAAATATGTTTCTGAATTTTGTTTTATTTGAATGATCCTTTTATGTATTTCTATTGTGGTACTCCTTTGTAATTCTGATAACTTTGTGATACCTTTAAGTATCTTTAAGATCTTAAGAGAATATCCTTCCAGTTATCTACATCTTTAAAAAAATGACTGGATATTCCCCCCAAAATTATTTATTTTGCCAACTTTTAGTCTAGGAAGAAATCTAGTAGGATTCTGAGTTAGCAAAGAATTGTTAATTTTGAATCTGCCTGTGTTGTGGTATAGCATCTCTCCTTCATTCAGGTTCTTCCTTTATGTACCTTGTTCTGTGGATTCCAGGTTTTCCTTGCAAGTTGTATCTCTAGGTATTTATTCTTATTGCTATTACATTTGGGTTTCCACAAACTCATTATATTCTTAATAGGTTATTTCATTGGATTTGAAAAGTTTTGCTTTTGACTTCTAACCAGCTTGTTGGACTTTTCCTTAAATGTAAAGGAAGCATTTTATTTGATTCTGTTGGGTTTCACACAGAGCAGACTGAGTAGCAGTAACAAAGTAGGGCAGAGTGCTCTGAAGCTGAGTGATACTATAGGAACTCAAAATTTCATTTTGCTTGGCAGGTCAGGGAAAGCCTTTTTGAGAAAGCATCATTTAACAAAATCTAAAAACTGCAGTAGGAATTAGCCAGACAGAGTGGGAGGAAAAGCTTCCAAACAGAGGGAACCCGTATGTGTGATGTCTGGATGTACAGTATGTACAAAGAACAGGAGCAAAGGGAACAACATGAGTGGCAGAAGAGGTGAACAAGGCATATCTAGTAGAGTAAGCAACAGAAGTTTCTGAGCAGAAGTCAGAAACATTCCAATTTACATTTTTAAGAAATAGCTCCAGCTGCTTCGTCATTCCTCTCTGAAAAGTAGGTTTTATATTGTAAGACATGGGGTTTTGAATTTCATATGGACCACTAGTAGGATCCATATTGTTATTTCATGTTTGTAACTTCCTAAAAGGTACATCTTAACATTTGTCAGGTTTCCTATGTTATTCGAGATGAAGTGGAGAAGTACAATAGAAACGGAGTGAACGCCCTGCAGCTGGACCCAGCACTCAATAGACTTTTCACCGCCGGCCGAGACTCCATCATAAGAATATGGAGTGTCAATCAGCACAAGGTAAGGCATGGATTGAGTTTACATTTTAAATCTATACTTAGTAAACTTTGGTCTCAGCTTTCATAGTATCAGATTTAATGTCTTTGAGCACTGAGTTATTTAGTACACTCTATAAAGAAACTGTAGGGCCTCCCCTGGTGGTGCAGCGGTTGAGCGCTGGGCTGCGAAGCTCCCCGTAGCCTCTGCAGCACTGGTTCAGTCCCCGGCCACTGGCGAGGGTCCCACATGGCACACAGACCTCTCCTGCCGCCCGCTGCTCCCCTCAGCAGTATATTTCGTCGGTTTGCCTATTCTGTTCTCTGCTCTGGATCTGGTGAATTCTCTCACCCTCCTGTGCTTCTGTCTATACCCAGTGCTTGTATAAATAAATAAATAAATATTTTAAAATAAATAAATAAATAAAGATACTGTAACTAGAATTCTGTAACCTTGTGAGAAAAATATCCAGGGAAGTTTTATAAGTGTTTTTAGCTAAGAGATTCCATAAATTAGGTTTGTGATTAAGAACTCTCTGCTATATAGGAACAAAGAATTGGTATATTAAGAGAATTACATTCAACAGTTTTCTTCCTGTTTTATATGTTCCCAAAAAACTTCCTTGGCAACCCTTTTCAGTGCTATTAAGAGAAAGTTGAAAATGTTTTTACATTCAAAATTCATCTTGAACAAATATTTTACTCCTTCATTTGAAAGTGATTAGGGTGCCCACAAAACCCATAGATCCTTATTAGACAATATTAAGGTTGGTATAAAAATAAGAAGACTACTCAGAGTCTTTATTCTGGAGAGTAAAAGTCTGCTTTCTGAAGCAGGGAAGGGTATTTAAATACATGTAAAGATAAATCCCCAAATGGAAAGAAACACTCTTTGTATTTGTTTGAATGCCTGTGTTGTGAATGACATAGAAAAGAAGATTCAGGGAAGGAAAATGAGCATTTATTAAGTTGTTAACTATGTACCAGACACTCTTGGAACTGTAATATCCAGTATGATTTTAACTCTCACAATAGATCTTCTATGCGACTGTAATGATCCATTTTCATAGCGGGGAAAACAGGCTCAGAGCAATCCACGGTGAAATAACTAGTAAATAGCAAACTATAAACGAGTCAACCCAAAACCCTGATGCTAAACCTTGTGTTTTTAAAAGTCCATGTCTTTTTAGCAAGCTATTTGAATACGATGTTCAATCTACAATAAAAAGCTACTGCTTTGCACAGTTGCTGGATAATATTTCTTTAAATGGATGTTGGTCCAGTGGGTTTTGAACATTGTAACCAGTGGAAACAGTGGTAACCCCATGTCAAAACATGAAAAGTAAAAAAAAAAAAAAAAAATACGACTTTTAAGTGCTTTTTAGAACTTGTGTTTGAATTTGTATGTCACCTTTCTGGGAATTTACCTTATTTCAAACAAGTTAAACACTCATAAGAAGTAACCCAGAAGAATGTAGAAAGCTGGCTTTCATGCCCTCCTGAAACATCTTTATTCTAATCTTCATTTTATAACAAAATTGAATAGCATCATTTCTCAGACAGTCTTTTAGAGAGTGTCTTAAAGTGCCTTGAACTTGCTTGTTTTAGGTGTAGAATGTAATTAATTCTGTTAAGGCCTCTCCTGGTAATTAAGCCAGTGGAAAGGAATAGAAGAATCTTGAGTTACTGAATTGAAGTGGTAATATGGGTAGTTCTCCTTTTGCCCTTGCCTCCCATTTCTCTGAAGGACTGTCAATATCATGAGGAAAACATTTAATTCAAAAGGTAAAAACAGCATGGGGAAGCTAAAAGCAAAAGTGTTTATCTGCCTTGCAGTCATCCATGCGCTTTACCTCACTCATTAGCCTCATTTCCTGCCTGGCTACTATGACCCCTCACCTCTACTGATTCAAATCCTGCCAGCCTGCAGATTTGTTCCTGGCCCTTCATTTAGTACTTTGTGTCACATATAGTGCCTAACCTAGATCTTGATGCCCTTTCCACCACAAGGCTTAAAAATAAAGCACTTATTCTGGAAACCTATAGTTTCATTAGTAATAAAACTGTCCTGAAACAAAACTTCTATGTAGCATTCATTGTCTGAAAGCTCAGCTGTTTGATGAAATTCTAGTTTGAATTCAGTTGTCAATTTTAAGGCCATAAAGCAGTGTGTCACATAAATTGAATAATATAAACATCTATAATTGTGTTAGAGCTCATCTTCTACTATAAACTAATGGCATTCTTTTCTTTTTAATTTTAGCAAGATCCATACATAGCATCTATGGAACACCATACCGATTGGGTAAATGACATTGTGCTCTGTTGTAATGGGAAGACATGTAAGTATTTCTTTGGATTATTGGGCTTCTGGAAATTTTTAATTCAATGAAGTATATTTTTCAAGTAAAATTTTTATGACGGGGCCTTCCTGGTGGCACAAGGGTTTAAGACGCAACCTATCAAGCTATCCACAGCCACTGCAGCACAAGTTCGATTCCTGGCCAGGGAGCTACCCACATGGCACAGCAGACCTCTCCTGACTCACCTGCTGCTCCCCTCAGCAGTGTATTTCAATCTGCCTGTTCTGTTCCCCACTCTGTGTCTGGTGGATCCTCCCACCCACCACGCCTCTGGCCTGTGCCCCAGTTCTTGTCTGCATAAATAAATAAATCTTTTAAAAAAATACAGTTGGTTGTAGACTATATAATGGTGTGTTTGTTTATGAATGAACAGTAACAGATATTTGAAGTAATGTTAGGAATATTATAGTCAAGTATGTATATATGTGTGAATGTGTGTGAACATTAATCTGAATCAATTCTACATTGTGTTAAGATAAATCTTTAAAACAGTGTTAAGTCATCCTACTAAGGGATTTGTTAATTCTTTTCTTCTAGTAATATCTGCTTCTTCTGACACAACAGTAAAAGTATGGAATGCACATAAGGGATTTTGCATGTCAACATTAAGGACACATAAGGTAAAGTAACAAACATATTTTTCAATGTATTTAGTATTAGGATTAGGAGCTTTATATGACTCACTTTCTTATTGATCTATAGAGTAGGTCATAGTATATATGTTTTTGTTACAGGATTATGTAAAGGCCTTAGCCTACGCCAAGGATAAAGAACTGGTAGCATCTGCTGGGCTGGACAGACAAATATTCCTTTGGGATGTGAATACTCTCACAGCATTGACTGCCTCAAATAACACTGTCACAAGTAAGGTGTTTGAAAAATTTCTTTGAAAGTGATCTAAGATGACATACATGAAGAATGGTTTACAAAATATCTTTGATAGGTTTGCATCAAGACTGTTTACAAATGGGGAGTTCCACCTACAGCTTCTATAGCTAATTCCCACTACAGTCTAAAAACAGTAATTTCTCCAGGTATAACCTGGTTGTTTTTGTACATGTGCATGTCTTAGCTCCCTAGCTTAGTGTAAATTCCTGCAGGACAGGAGAGTCTATCTTGTTATTACTTTGTATATTCCCTAGCATTGCCTGGCCCCAAACTACACACTCAAAAGATTTTATTGATGGAGGGGATGACTGCCTGACAAAGTAGGCAGTGTTTGATTTTTTAAAGTGTTACTAAATATTAAGAGACTTTGGGGCCTCCCTGGTGGTGCAGGCGGTTGAGCGCCGCACTGTGAAGCTGTCCACAGCCTCTGCAGCGTGGGTTCGATCCCGGCCAACCGGCGAGAATCCCACATGGCAAAGCAGACCTCTCCTGTCTTGCCCGCTGCTCCCCTCAGCAGTGTATTTCGTCAGTCTGCCTGTTCTGTTCCCTGCTCTGTCTCTGGTGAATCCCCTCACCCTCCCGCACATCTGGCCTGAACCTTGGTTCTTTTATAAATAAATAAATCTTTAAAAAAAAAATTAAGAGACTTTGAGTTAATGGCCATGGTGGAAAATAGCCAAAGAAAAGAAAGAAAATGTTCTTGGTGCCTATTTTGTAAGACACTTTCAGAGAAACCCTGAAGAATCCAGTGAATTCCCAAAGAGTACAGGGAGGTTATAGGGTGTTTTTAGAAGGAATTCAGAGACTTTCACAGCAAGTTTACAGCGTGCATGCCTCAACAGCTAAGAGATTTCAGATTACTGGGTCAGCCCCATGGAAGTCTAGACTGGAAACAGCCTCATCCTTGGCCCATCCTACTACAGTTGGGTAGGCCAGGTGTCCGAAAAACTCCTAGAAACACATTTTGAGTAAGCCTTGCCTGGAAGATCTTGGTTTAGGATGCAGGCCTGAGCTATCTAGATCCCTACCTCGTAATTCCAATTTGCTTAATAGATACAAGTTAGTATTATTTCTATAATCATAAACAAACTTATGTATCTGTTGCAGAGTCTGTACCCCTAAGAAAAAAAAAATCAAGGAGAGCAAGGCGAGAAGTGTTTAGACCTCACATATTTTCCTGGGAAAAGGGGAAGATGCAATTTTTAAAAATTACAAACACTGTTCTCCCAACTTTTCTCCTTGGCATATACAAAGTTACATTAGAACTATTTTAGCTATGTCAATGTGATTATGCCTTAGTCATGTCAAACTAGACATTTTTCATTTTTATTGACACATATGTATCTTTGACTATCTTGTAAATTAGGATCATACTATATAAACAGCTTCATATGCAGCTCTTTTCATTTCAATGATAGACTTAATAGTCAAAGGGTATGAACATGATTCTGGCTACATATTGCCTAATTTCCTTCCAGAAGAGTTGGATACCAGAAGTAATGCATGAGAGTGCCATTTTACTGTATTCTTTTCAGAAATATTACCTTGTGTTTTATCTGATTTGGTAGGTGAAAGTAGTATTTTTGTTTCCTTGAATAATAGTAAGTGTTTACATATTTTTCTTTTTTATTGACACATATATATCTTTGAATATGTGTTACTTATACAGATATCTTGAATGGCAGTGCAGTTCAGTATAGCTGGTGTTTATGTGCACTTGTTTATGTTCAAATCCAGAAGTGGTGTCAATTTTGGTAACAATATTTTTGTTTAGAATTATTTCCATGATAGGTAGATTTTTTCTAAAACAGTAAAGATAAGAATTTGTCAACCAAATAATTAAACTTGCAACGTTTGCTAAGGACTAACAGCTGATAATTTTGTTAACATTTATCTTCATTAATCCTTAACAGCTTCTTCTTTAAGTGGGAACAAAGATTCCATATATAGCCTGGCAATGAATCAACTGGGAACAATCATTGTATCAGGGTCCACTGAAAAGGTAAGGGGGTACTTAAAAACGTGTATTATAACACTAGAAAATAAAGAAGCCAAAATAATTTGATCTGTGTGATTACTAAGTACCTACACAGTGGTTGTGCTTGGTGGATGTCAAAAGATTTTATTTGTGCTTGGTATGGTGATGGGGAAGCAGGATATATGGGGTAGAGGTCTGTTTTTTGACATTAGAAAGGCTTTAAAAGCCTGTCAGCCTTGGTGTCCATTGACAGAAGCAGTATTTTTTTCTCAGTGTAATGTTTGTCGTTTGACTTATCAAACTCATCTTCTATTTATATTAGATCTTGTCTATAATTTGTATAATATTTTGTTAAAATTCACAGGTATTAAGGGTATGGGATCCAAGAACATGTGCAAAACTAATGAAGCTTAAAGGACACACAGATAATGTGAAAGCATTGCTGTTGAACAGAGATGGCACACAGGTATGCAGTTTCCTGTGGACATTTACCTAATGACCTTGTCAAAAACTTCACATAGCAGAAATTTTCGCACTTTGTATGCTGTTGAATAAATTGCTTTGAACTCAAAGCCACAGGTATTATAAACTGTGACCCAACTTTAAGTACTTATAACCCAGTTGCACATTTTAAAATTATTCTGTTTGCATCACTTTTTTTTTTTTTTTTAAATAGAGGCATGCTTTTATTTATTTATTTATTTGTTTGTTTGTTTGTTTTGTTTATACATGCACTGGGTACAGTCAGAAGCGAGGAAGGGTGGGAGAATTCACCAGAGCCAGAGCGGGGAGCAGAGCAGGCAGAAGGACCGAAGGACACTGCTGAGGGGAGCAGCGGGCGGCAGGAGAGGTCTGCGCGCCATGTGGGACCCTCCTCCGGTGGCCGGGGAGCAGCCGGGGATCGAACCGGCGCCGCAGAGGCCGCGGGCAGCTTCGCAACCCAGCGCTCAACCGCTGCGCCACCGGGGAGGCCCTGCATCACTTTTAAATAAAAGCAAAGCAAGGAATTTCCTGAGAGTAATTAGAATGCAGATGATTATATGCAATCTTGACACATATCTCCTAAAAATTTTTGAATGGTACCTTGTGTGAAGAAAAAGGAAGCTTCGATATTGAAGTCTTTCTTCTAGTATACTAAATGGAAAGTTTTCTCACGGTGGGTCTGACTTTGGGCAAATCTTGTCAGTTGGCCATGCACATGCAGTTTATAACTTTTAAGTATCTAACATACTACTTAGAGTCCACATTTTAAAGAAAAACATTTTGGTAATCTTTGAGCATGTATTAATACTCAGCTGGCTACATACTTTTTGAGTTATAAATCACAATTCTATTTGTTTTGTAGCAGTGGAAAAATAATCTTTCATCAATGTAGCTGATAAGAATCAAGAGCCCATTTTGTGTTATGACAGACCTCTGCCATCTGCCCCTGTGCCCTAAGCCATGTATTTCAAAGGGCAGGGGATAAGTTCAGAGCAATTTGTAATCAATTGTAATGGGGTTAAAAGAGGGAGATTAGGAAGATGATGAGATGAAAAATACCATCAGTCTGTTACTCCTGTGGAAATTATGGCATGACAGTTATTCATATATGAATTAGAGAAATCTTTGTTCAGAGGTGAAAGGAAGGTTTGAAAAACTAGCCAAAGGAAGGAAATCATTTTTCAGAACCAAAGACTTGGGGATGTGGAAGGATCTCACTGTTAATGTGGCCTTGAGGAAAGGGCTTCAGTTTACTAGTCCCACTTTTGTAGTCCCAAGGTGAGACTCACATTCAGTTTGTTTAATTGATGAGAGCTAGAAATATTAAGTATATTCTGGCTTGTAAACTATGGCATTTTCTAAAGCTCTTGAGTGCCTTTGCTACCCCATTTTCATGTGAGTCTAAGAAAACTAGTGCATTTGGCTCCTCACAGTTTCCCAGTGTAACTGGTAGGCTGCCCAGGCCTTGTTCTGTTAACTGTGTCTGGGATTGGACTGTATGGGACTGCCCTTAAGTAGGCATTGTGGACATGATGGTTTCCAGGAGAGGGAAGGAGAGCTCTAGAACTCTGCCTTTCTACTACACTCTATGCCTTGTTTCCTAAGTTATGAATGTGCTTTTTCAGTTTTACCTAAGGTGATTTAAATATTACATGTATAGTTACAGGTGCATTTCACTTGAAGTCAGCTACAATAACAGAAGCAGAGATAGCTATGTGGCACTACTTTAAAAGCTGCCTGTCAGCCCTAAAGTACATGATTAAGCAGATGTCTTTCCTTCTCTAATTTCTTCTCCAACCATTTTTCTTATTCACAACTATAGACAAATTTAACCCCCAACAATGCAGCATTTTTTCATTAAGAAATTAATCAACAGAACAATTATACTACTCATTTGGGAAAAAGACTAGAGGGAAAATTTATTTACTGATTCCCAAATGCTAATAAAATAGAGGAGACAGTTGTCAGTTATTGCACCAGAGTATATATTGCATCCTGCTGAGTTGCCCTGTAAGCCTTTAATGTGGGATTTCTGGTGGCATTGTAAGTCAGGGACTTGTGGTAAGATATGTATAACAGGCCAGTTAATCATATGAACACAAACCAGTTTCCTCATTTCCTTTGTATTTAAGGTCTGTTACTATTGCAGTTGTTTTTGATTGGTACCTGCAATGCTGACAGAACCACCTGACTTTTTATTCCTTGTCCTTGGCTCAGGCACTTGCTTGTGGATCTGGGACAACCTGTTGTCTTAATATGAGTCAGTCACATCCTTATGTGTCACTTACAGGGTTGTCCTAGTAATACAAGTCTTGTTGAAACTAGCTTTGGGTCTGCAGTGTCAGAGTATTAGGCCATCCTTGCCCCTGACTTACCTTGCCTAATAGTGTATGAGTGACAATCCCAGAAATACTTGTTTAGATCAACAGCAGCCTGGCCCCAGTACACTGGTATCTCTCATCTCCACTGGCAAAACACACATCACTTGGTCACAGCTATGGAATCTGTGTCCCCTAAGTTTAGTGGAACCATTTGGGGCATGCTGTCCTAGTCCCAGCAGTCACCTTAAAAATAGGGCATCTTCATGTTTATCCAGTGGAAGGGTGGAGGCGGTGGGAAACGTTTTGATGACTTCTCTAGCTCCTACACGACACTAGACACTAGAGTGCCTATAAAACAGGCAATTCTTAGGGCCTCCCCTGGTGGCGCAGTGGTTGAGCACTGGGCTGCGAAGCTGCCTGCAGCCTCTGCAGCGCCGGTTAGATCACGGCAGCCAGCAAGGGTCCCACATGGCGCAACAGACCACCCCCCCCCCCCCCCCGCTGCTCCCCTCAGCAGTGTATTTCTTCAGTCTTCCTGTTCTGTTCTCCGCTCTGGCTCTGGTGAATTCTCTCACCTTTCTGCGTTTCTGACTGTACCCAGTGCTTGTATAAATAAATAAATAAATCTTTAAAAAAAAAAAAAGGTAAATAAAACAGGAAATTCTTTAACCAGACTATAAAAATGCTGCCTACAAGTTTGCCAACATTAACAGTGATTCCTCTCTGTTTGGGTGCCCGATTTTTGGAATACTGACTATATCAAAGTTGATTTTGTATTATTTACCAGGGTTGATAAAACTCTGTGTTTCCTCATCTGCTTTCAGCAGTTCACTTGGGTTTAGGACTAATCTTTTTACTGTTGCAAGTTGCCCAGACTGTGAGGTCTTCTAACCCCTGATCTTTGCCTTCCTTATCTTTTTTTTTTTTTTTAAGATTTATTTTTACTTATAACAAAAACTGGGGTATAGGCCAGAGGCATGGGAGGGTGAGAGAATTCACCAGAGACAGAGCGGGGAGCAAAACAGGCAGATGAGTGAAAACACTACTGAGGGGAGCAGCGGGCGAGACAGGAGAGGTCTGCCATGCCATGTGCATATCTTCCTGGCCGGCCGGGAATCGAACCCATGCTTCAGAGACTGCGGACAGCATCACATCATTGTGCTCAATCCGCTCTGCCACCAGGGAGGCCCTGCCTTCCTTATCTTAAAGTTGTCAGACCTTATTCCCTTAGAAATATGGTCTAAGATCTGAGTGATCAAAGCTTTACTTAAACTTTTGCCATCTCAGAGTAGCATCTCTTCCTAGAATGGGGAACCTCCCTTGGCCTCTCCCTATCAGACTGCCACAGCTCTCCCACACACATAAGGTTTCCTTGCGACCTTATTCCTGACAGTTTTGCTATTGGTTAGTCTCTTGGTTGCCTTATGAATTGGCTAAAATCAGTTATTAAACCACTGCCACTCCTGGCAGCTTGTGGAGAAGTCTACTAGTATGTGCTCATTTAATTAACATGTCCAGGGTTCTAAAGGCCCCTTCCAGTCACAAGACATGCCAGTAAATCCTTGACTTGCCGATGGCCTCAGATATATAGACACTTACCAAAATCTCCAAAATCACAGCCATCTTCCCTTCTTTGTACCTCTTTGCCTATTTAATTTCATACACAGCAGTTGCTTTCTCTGACGGACCAGTTTTTTCCAAAGAAATGAAATCACTACAGTAACTGGTGGAGAACACCAGGCATGCTGAATGCAACTGAGCAGGAGCTGATTCAGCCTCTTCCTGTCAGATTCACAGAGTGCTCAGCCCTAATTTGTGTGCCAGCAGCTCCTATGTAGTTGTTGCACTGAGCTTTCAGAAATTGCTAGATTGGTAATGTTAATACTGAATACTGGGGACCTCCCTGGTGGCGCAGCAGTTGAGCACTGGGTTGCGAAGCTGCCCGCAGCCTCTGCAGCACCCGTTCAATCCCGGTTCAGTCCCCGGCTGCTCCCCGGCTACCGGAGGAGGGTCCCATATGGCGTGCAGACCTCTCCTGCCGCCCTGCAGCGCCGGTTCAATCCCGGTTCAATCCCCGGCTGCTCCCCGGCCACCGGAGGAGGGTCCCACATGGCGCGCAGACCTCTCCTGCTGCCCACTGCTCCCCTCAGCAGTGTACTTCAGTCCTTCTGCCTGCTCTGCTCCCCGCTCTGGCTCTGGTGAGTTCTCTCACCCTCCGGCACTTCTGACTATACCCAGTGCTTGTATAAATAAATAAAAATAAATAAAAAAAATACTGAATACTGAGGATCCACATTTTATATTAATGGATGTTGAACTTGAGGTTCCTTTGGGAAGTGCCCAAAGTCCCAGTGAATGAGTGATAAGACTGGGATTAAATTTTACTTCTGACTCTAGTCAGTAGACTCCAAGAGAGCTGGCAGACCATCAGGAATTCTGAGCCATGAGAGAGGGAACATGACAGAGGTGTGACCAGGGCTCCAAAATTCTTGCTGACCTAATGCAATGTTTGTCAAACTCAGTGAGCCAGAATCACCTGCAGATCCTGTTGGAACACAAATTGCTGTGCCCCTCCAGAGTTTATGCCTCATTAGTTCTGGAAGGAACCTGAAATTTACATTATTAACAAGTTCTCAAGGAATGCCAATGCTACTGGGAGCCACACTTTGAGAACCACAAGCCCTGTGCAGTCTGCTACCTTGGCTTCAGATTCTTTCAAACTCACTTAGTAGTAGATAATTTGAACAGGACTTGCCTGAAGGATTTACTAATAATCACAGGTAGCCCAGTCAAGAGCACAAAAGCAGTTTTACTCATGCTTTCCCTGCTTGAGTGTGTGCTGTTGCCTCAGTTGTACCAGCTATTGGAGCATGCTTGTCAGAAACCTTGTCAGAGGGGGAAATACAGCTTTTGAGGTGTGCTTGATAGTGTAGAGTCAGGAGAGAGGCCAAGTGCACAGCACAGGCAAGCAGGAACTTTTTGGCAGATTTCTAACTTTTACTTCGTTCTAACTTTTTATTTTACTTTGTTTCTTTACTTTGTTTTACTTTATTTCTAACTTTTACTTTGTTTGTACAGTGCCTTTCTGGCAGTTCTGATGGCACAATTCGCCTTTGGTCCCTTGGCCAGCAGCGATGTATAGCAACGTATCGGGTCCATGATGAAGGGGTCTGGGCTTTGCAAGTCAATGACACCTTTACACATGTGTATTCTGGAGGAAGGGACAGAAAAATTTATTGTACAGACCTAAGAAACCCTGACATCCGGGTGCTAATTTGTGAAGAAAAAGCACCAGTTCTCAAGGTACGTCATATATTTCAGTTTTGTAGTTAAGATTGTTATATGTGTTATCTAATCTTTATTAAAGCAACTGTGTGAGTTTAAATGAAATATTTTAATATTTTTCTTAGTGTTCTGTAGAACAAATTGTGACTTGGGTTTATCAGGGACATACCTAGTTCCCTGCTCGGCAAGCCCTAGTGAGATTGCTTGGTGCTGCTCCTGAGCTTGCCTGGCTTCCCTGACTTGTCCTTAGAGGAGAAATATGAAGAGTGATTCCATTTGTATAATATGTCCATGCATATATGTATGTCTTTATATGTACAGTATTTAAAAAATTCAGAAGGATACACAGTAAACTCTTCATAGGTGTACTGTCCTTAGGAAAAGGGTTAGATTGTAGGAGTACTTTTCATTTTTGCTATTTTGCTAGAGTATTTTTTACTAAAAACATGTTCAAAGAAAAAATAATTTCATTATTAAGAAAGAACATAACTAGAGTAGCAAAATCAAAATTACGGTAAATCATCCTTTTGAACCCATTTAGGTCCCTTAAGGTAAGCACACTTAAAACTAACTTTATGTCAATGTTTTGGGGCTTTGATTCCTTCACCAAAGAGACTCCCTCATTCTGTACCTCTCTAGCTTTTAACACATGTTCTGGTATATAGTCAACATGCAACACACAGATGTTGAAGGAAGCAGTTGATATTTAATGATGTCTAGCTAGTCCTGTCAGTTCAGAAGAGCTGACATTTTCACAAAGCATTATTTTTGTGCTTTGTTTTCAGATGGAACTTGACAGATCAGCTGATCCCCCTCCTGCAATCTGGGTTGCAACAACTAAGTCTACAGTAAATAAATGGGTAAGTGAACCACTGTGTACTTGGCAAAGGATTATAAATATGTGGTTGTTATCACAGATCTGCCAAATAGTTGTATCAAAGCCTCAGTGTAATCCTGATTCTCTCAGCATCTTTGGACAGCGACAAAAATCTGAAAACCCTGATGAATACAAGTGTATTCCTAAGGATTTAGGTATAGTAAGTATTACCCAATAAAACTAGTAAATATTAGTGTATTTTCTTACCTTCTGAAGCTGCCTTTGAAAATAGGCAGCCCAGTACCAACAGCAGGGAAACTTGCTGGGGTTCTGTTTTTCTAACAAGAGAAAGCAGAAAACTGTACTTTCAAATTTATTTCTTTTTTCTTTATAGTATAAAGATGAGGGTTAAATAATAGAGGATAAGCTGAGAAAAGTCTCAAAAGTACTGTTAATTCTTAAATCTTAATAAAATAAAATGTAAGTTTTCATGCTTACCAGACTGTGGGTAACAAAAAAGAAAGTGTTTGCATTTATTTGCATTTGTATACAGGTTGTGTCTTTCTCAAGCACTTGTGAAAAATGTTATGATCTTATCTAAATTTCTTTGTGCCAATTTGAGATCCTCTTAACTTTATCTGGAAGAGTGCCTATGCTGCTCTCCAAAGAACTGGATTCTGTTCCTTGTCTTAATATTTTTTTGTTTGAATCACGGTAAATAAATATACTTCAGGACTAAGAATTTTGGGGTTGGTATTGTTATTGTTTGCTGTTTTCATTTGTTCTTTATTTTTCTTGCCACTTTAAACAGATTAGCAAAGCCTACAAAGCATAAAATGATTAAATAATTTTGTTCCTTTAGACATTGAAGGGAATTCATAATTTCAGAGCTTCTGGAGATTATGACAATGACTGTACAAATCCTATAACACCCCTTTGTACACAACCTGACCAGGTTATTAAAGGTGAGTAAGGAAATTAGAAGGTATTGTACCTTGATTAAGGTTAGTTATAGTTACTGAGAGATCCATAAAAATAAAGGAGATGACCTTTTACATGTAATTCTGATGTTCACAAATAGCATATTAATTTATTCTTAATAGAAGAAAAACTTTTCAAAATGCTGTTTGGTGACTTTAAAGCGAACTCTCTTTTGAGTTCATCTTTTTTCTCAGCAACAAAATAGTCATGGCCTTGGTAAAGCCAATAGCCACTTTGTAAAATGGGGTTAAAATTGTCTTTTGGCACCAGCCAGAAAGGGCAGATCTGGTTCATTGAATGCTACGTGCTGTAACTGGAGTGGCAACTTTGATTTAATGTCAGAGTCTGGGATTTAGGTATTGAATGTTACATTCATCTGCAGTTCATATATGTGTCTGCTGTTGCCTTACCATTAGAATAGACTATCCATTCACAGGCATAAAACAGAGAATAAAAAACAAAAGTTAATGAGAGATGGGACTAATTCAGAGGTTTCACTGTATCATTTGAACTTTGACCAGTGGATGAAACTTGTTTGCCCCTAACAATTTTTCCATAGTATCCCCTTAAAGTGAGGGGTTTTAAAATCTATAATCTATTATTAAAATCAGCTTTTCTTTGATTGGCCTGAAATTGCCTTAAATATAATTGTGTAGTCTTCTGAGTTACCTTCTCCTTTCTGGTGACCAGTATAATTTATGTTCTGTTATGTACATGCCAGTCAACAATTAATGCCATGCTGTGAATTTAAAGAATTGTTTTACTAATTGTATGGTTTGTTTTTTTTTTTTTCCTTTAGGGGGTGCTAGTATTATTCAGTGCCACATTCTTAATGATAAGAGGCATATATTAACCAAAGATACCAATAATAATGTGGCATATTGGGATGTATTGAAGGTGAGTACCATTTTTTGTAATAACTTATAGCTTCTTATGTGAATATTACATAAGGCCATACTTTATCCTTCCAGTCATCTGAAATTTGCATGGAACCATTTTCTCTGCTTGGTATATAACAGACTATGTTTTTTCCTGCCTTATCCCAGACACTATTGAGATTTGATCCACATGAATTTTGGGGAAGCTGTGGGAAGGTGTTGTCCTGTGAATTGTTGATGTTCAGCAGCATTTCCTTGCATCTACCCAATAGGTGCCCACCTCCCCACCTATCCCCCACTTCACAGTGGCCATCACATTTACCTCCAGACATTGCCAAATGTTTGAGGGGAGGAGAATGGACAAAATCATCCCCCATTGAGAACCACTGGAGTGCACAAAATAAGTTTGTTTATTAGGATTTACAGCCATCATGAGCATCATTCACAACTCTGCATTATTGTGATGACTCCATCTGGGATGGTTGAGATATATTAAGCTGTTCAACTGCTTCTCAACTACACAAAAGAATTTATAGCCCCACTGAAAAGTTAACCTGCCATTAGGGTTCTAACAAATGTCCCTGCTTAGTATGGTTGATATATTTATTCAACAGATATTTCCTAGGTTGAATGAGTATTGTGTACAAAGAATTATTTGAAGAAAAGTCTGTATGAATCCCTTTTGGTAGCAGAGATGAGTGGGGAATGTGAGGGCCTTACAGAGAAAGACTAAGCATCCCAGGATATTTTATGGGCAAAGGCAGTTATGTACAACTGGAGAAATGGAAGAGCTTGGTGGTGGTGAAATTTGTTTGAATCAGGGCTTAAATGGTTGCATCAGGTAAATAATGGAAGAGAATTTTAGGAAGGAGTGAGTAAACGACAACACACAGAAGAGAGAAGGTATGTACTTACTCAAAGCTAGGTGAGCAGTTTTCTTTAATTGGAGACTAAAGTGAATATAAGGATGAATAAGGGTATGAAATGAAAGATGAGATTCAAGTCATTTCCCAAAGTCTTGAATTGCAGGCCCTGGGGTTGAGCTTCCATTGGTATTTTCTAAAGAACCTTAATCTTAGATGGTCTGAAAGCAAGAAAAGCCCATATTTAGAACTGTAGTAGTCTGTGTAATGGGAAAGAAACTGGAAGACAGGTATTGGGTATATTATAAAGGAAAAATTGACAAGACCTGGTATTTTAGTTAACCTCCCAGTTATAAGGAATAAGGATTCACTTGCGTTAACTTCTGGATTTAAAGAATAAGATAAATACGTTTCCTCCTGGGAAAGGGGACTATATCTCAGTAGAATGTTGGCCTGACCTACACTTGCCCTCTTGTGGAAAGTCAGTTACAAAACAGTTACTTGGTAAACGTGACATCCGAGCAAGAGACCCGAACAAAAATCCATTTGGTTTTTCTCTACTACAACAGAGATATGCTTTGGTATGTTATAAACTATGTTTTGTCCTGCCTTGTCCTGGACACTATCATCACTAATAAATACCTCTGTATTTATTCCTGAAATGTGGTAGCACTTACTTCTTGGTGATGTTAAAGGATTGTTTGCAAAGTATTTATCATAGTGACTGGCACCTGATGGCTAGAGGCTGTTGCATTAATTCAGGTGAATTGTCATTATTAGGTATTTATCTGCACTGGGATGGGAACAAAGGAACAGAAAAAAATTAGAACAATATATCAGCCTATGAATAAGGGCTTAATTAGACATGAGAGTGAGTGACAATATTCCTTGAAAGTTAGTTGGCAAAAAAGGAATATAAAGAGAAGGAATGAGCAGAGATGAACCCCAGGTTTCTGGATTACATAGTGTGGTGAGTGGAAGTAATATAGGGGATTATAGAGGGCATATGGCTTGTTGGGAAAAGGACTATGCTGAGAAAGACAACAAATTTGAGTTTTTGTGGGATGTCTGGGTAGAGATGTCTGTTGAGCAGACAGTTGTACAATCCAGTGCACAGATGGAAGAGCTTGAATTGGTTTAGCAGCCATCAGCATGTGGATTCTAATTGAGATAAGTTTTCAAGTAAAACATCTACACTGAACAGAGAAGAAATTAAGTCGTCACTCTTTCAGGGATTATTAGAAAAAGAGGAAGCGATAAAGGTGTATAATAAAAGTAGTAAGAAAACCAAGAGCCAGTAGCAGCTTAAGAACTAATTGAGCTTTTCAGAAGGAAGCTTGTAGTTAACATCAGTGACCTGCCGAAAGTTCATGTAAGCTATGAAAGCTATGAAAGTTCATGTAAGCTATCTGTACCTGGATTTGGCCAATAAAGAGGATCGTGTCTGGGGAGAATGGTCTTTGGGGAGTCCTCAAGGCAAAAGCCAGATGGAATGGGGTTAGTAGTAATTGAGAAGTGAAGAAACAGAATTTGAGTGGAAACCATCTGTGATGAAATTTAACTTTGGTGAGTGGGCAGGAAGAGACCTTAAGTAACTGGAGAGGATTTAAGGGCAAGATGGTTAAGGGAAGGTTCTGTTGTGGCGTTTGGTATTTTTGAGATGAGAGAAATTTGAACATGGTTTACTGCTCTTAGGGAGAAAGCAGTAGAGAGGTGAGCAGGTTGATGATGGTGCAGGGTTCCCAAGAAGCAAGAGGTGAGAAGATCCAGAGCACAGCAAGAAGGGATATCTTTTTCCTTGCACCAGGAAGAATGGTAACACAAAGTTACAGGGATTTTGTCAATGGTGCTCTTTGTTTGTTTGTTTGTTTGTTTGTTTGATAAATAGAGATCAGTCTTGTGCTGAGTATAGTAGGGAAGTAACAAGGTCAAAGATAGGAGAATAAAGATTTAAAAAGATGTTTGTGGAGTACTGAGTTTGGAAACAGAAGAAACTCTAGGTAGCATCAGTGATCCAGTTGAGGTTGGGGACTGCACATTTATAATGGGAATATTGTCAAAGATTGGAGAGACCTTCATATCTTGTGTGTTGTTCATGTGGGTGTTGATGTTGTGTAGGATGAAAGCAATAACTCAAGATGCTTTGCAAGACTTTGAACCAGAGCTCCAGTCCCCAGTGAATGAGGAAGAATGACCATTACTATATACCAGTGAGGAAAAGGGGGAGTTTTCTGCAGCTAAATGACATGAGCCTCAAAGAAAGTTTCTATATGGCAATAATGGACAGTGGTCTCTATATGACTTGTAGGGCCTGTGGGATGTGGGAGAATAAGAGTTGCCCTTTGAGAAGATGGCTGGTGAAATGGAACCCTCAGGAAAGAACCAAGTTGCTTAGTATCAGGAGGTGGGAACATTCTGTGATGGGTTCAGGATTAAGATGAGCTGTTTAAGGAATTGCTGCACGGCACGTTAGTTCAGGACACACTTTTGAGAGCTTGCATACTTAAGAAATGAGAGAAACAATAAGGATTTTAATGGTCAAGAAAGACAAAATTGCTGCATATATTATAGCTTGTCTGAGAGTAGCTAGCTTCAAGTCCTCTTAACTGTTATTTTTCCTTGAAGATATTTTTTACTTCCTTTGACAATGCTTTTGAGTAAGTGTGGTATTGTGTTTTATCAATATCAGCAAAATTAAATTCTAATTTCCCACCAAAAGGATATTTTGTGTTTTTTTAATTTAAAATTTTAACAGCAGATAGTTATTTAAAGGTAAATGCTTTAAGATAAACATAATTGACCACAATCTTTTTGAAATATCGTTTAGACTATTTTTTTACATAGAAAAATGTGAAAACATAAAATTTTAAAAAGCTAAATCAGAAACAAATTAATTCACCACTTAAATTGGCTAATTATACTTTTTAATAAATAGGCATGTAAAGTTGAAGATCTGGGCAAAGTGGATTTTGAAGATGAAATTAAGAAAAGGTTTAAGATGGTGTATGTGCCAAATTGGTTTTCAGTAGACCTAAAAACAGGGGTAAGTTAACAATTGATATTTTGTGCAGTTTGGTATTGTTGTAAATTTCTAATACAGCCCCAAATGAAATACTTTTTGTTACAGAGTTCTATGTTTGTTTTTTTTTTAAGATTTATTTTATTTATTTAAGCATACAAGAGCTGGGGTATAGCCAGAGGTATGGGGGAAGGATTCAGAGGAGAGCAGCTGGCGAGACAGGAGAGGTCGGCTGTGCCATGTGGGTCAGCTCCTTGGCCGGGGATTGAGGAGATTGAACTTGTGCTGCAGTGGCTGCCAAAAGCTTGATAGTGCTGAGAGTTAACCCCTTATGCCACGAGGGAGGCCCGAGAGTTCTATCTTCTTAAATATAAAAGGAAAAAATTTTTCATTAAACTTGAAAAATGCTTTTTGGTATCACAGTAAATCGAATTGTATTTACATTGAGTCTCACAAAGCAGGGAGCAGCTTTTGGTTCTGAGACTCTGGCTTAGCACTTCAGTCACAATAGAAGAGTTAAGAGACTTACTTGGAATATGTATTCAGTGGAATGCCATTAAAAGTTTTTTTCGTTTGACAGATGTTGACTATTACTTTGGATGAGAGTGACTGTTTTGCCGCTTGGGTTTCTGCAAAAGATGCAGGCTTCAGTAGCCCTGATGGCTCAGATCCAAAACGTGAGTTTGAATGTCCTTCCTGGTCTGCCACCTTCTGAACGAGGTGGATTCGTGCTGTTGTTTGCTGTGCGCTCATCTTTATAGAGTCTGCTATTTCTTGTTGATTGTATCTTTGGACAGAATTTTCCTGAGAATATGGACATACAATAGAGTTCTAGTAGCTCCTTTACGTGGAAATAACCCTTTAAAGAACGTAATTCCTGATTTTGTTTATTCGTTTTTAATGAAAGGCTATATTTGAACAACCAAATAGAATATGTTTGCTCCATGCTTTAAAATTTTATAGACTTGACAAAAACTTGCTTTGGCATTGGGTTAAGAATTTAACGCTATAACATGTGACACCTTATAATTTTTATTTTTTCTCTATTTCTGGGTTTAAACTAACAGCTTTCTTTTCCTTTCCTTTTCATTTTAATTAACTCTTCTACAGTGAACTTGGGAGGACTTTTACTTCAGGCACTCTTAGAATATTGGCCTAGGACACATGTGAATCCAATGGATGAAGAAGAAAATGAAGTGAACCATGGTTTGTGCTTTTGTATCAGAATAATTGATCAAATTTTACTTAATTTTAATTGGTCAAAAATTACTCAGAAGTTAAAGATAGGTTATTTGTTGTTTTAAGAAACATTTTAATCATTTGCTAAATTGTGATATAATATTTGTGGTGTGCCCAATTTATTGCCCTCCATTCTACATCCCAAAGTAAGAACATCCATCCAGTCTCATTTGAGATTCAAAGAGAGCTTTGCTCAAGCTAGAAGGAATAAACCATTTGCTGTCCCCCCCACCCTCCCGACCTTTCTTCTTAGAAATAAGCAGCTATCTTCCACAGATATTTCTTAGACTGTCCATCGACTGGTGGGATTTAGCTCTAGAGCTGCATCAGAAAGCCAGGTTTGCCCTTATATAGTCATGTTTCATGTTGGCCTGAAGTGTTTTTACCATCTGGTCTGGTGATCTACCTGGTGTTGGGTTTGAATGTTTCAAAAACTCAAATTCCATCTCAGCGCGTCAGGCTATGTAATGAGTATGTGTTAATGAATGTCATTGAGGGCATTCAAAAGATGTTATGTGCTGCAGACAGTCCACTAACTTTCACTGGGCAGCAGAGGAGAATATATTTTGAATGATGAGCTCAACTCAGTTTGGTTAAAGAAAGGGGGCAGGGGAAGAACTTAAAATTTCACAGCTTATATGTATCCCATAGCCAGTTGACAAATCCTTGCATCCCATCTACTGCTGAAGGGCTTACTCAGTTGAAGATAATTTGAGTTCTCTGGAGATTCTGCTGAAGACTGCCTACTCTGGTGGTCAGCAATGATGAGGACCTCCTGCAATAATTTCATTCTACCTGATTGATTTGTCCATAATGATTTTTGGAGTTTAAATCTCTTTTGTAAGGATGACATGCTTTCCTGAAAGGCAGGTATTATGTCTCTGTCAGAGAAATGACACGGACCCCACCCTTGGTGCTTCTCTTTTGTCACCTGGTCCATTTCATTCTCCATCAGAATTGTACAGTGGACTGTGAGCCAGAGAAACTCAATGGAAAGATCTTTCCATAGAGGGTTGAGAAAGCTAGGTTCTGGTGTGAGCTCTTCCACTTATCAGCTACTAGCTATGAACATATCCTGTTTTGGGCTTGTTCTCCTTTATGACATCTATGACGGCTAGACAGGATGCCATCAGAGACCCCAAGTAGATGATAAAGATTAAGTTATAAGAAAACAGTGGTATGCTCAGCATCCTTTGAGAGCAGGCTTTGGTTGTGGGAGTAAGAAAGAAGCTAGAGGAAATCCCAAATCACCCCTGAAATCGAACTGCCAAAGTACAGAAAAAGGGACAAGGCCTGACCACCTCCTGAACCAGCTCAGAACACTGCATGCATCACCTCTCTAGTCATCTGCTGTACTTATACCATAGCCAGGGGAGGTGCTTAGATTATACTTGAGGAGCAGCTCAAGTGTTCAGAGGCCTATTGTGATTTGCAGGATGGTGGTAATAAAGATAAATGGGCATAGACCCCATCCTTCAGGGACTAAAATTCCAGTAAAGCAAAGAGTCTACTTAAAGCATTATGAGATCAGAAGAAGTATTGGACACTGTGAGAGACATTTTGAAACTGCTGTGGATCTCAGAGGCTAAAATTGCTTCCACTTTCATTAGAGTAGTATTTATGAACAAGTTGGCACTTAGGTCAAAAGATTACAAAGAAAGTGGAGTAAATGAAATTTGCAAAGAACAATAAAAATGAGCTTATGGCCTCTCTGATGATTTTAGTTTTCACTCGTACTTCTGCCATTAATAATGACTGCCATTAAATATTTAAAAAAAATTTTTTTCTATTTTCTGACATGAAGTATTTCTGAGTTGGTGTCCCACAAAAAAAAAAAAAAAAAAAAGGCAGATTATCATTTATAAACAGGTTGCCCTAGGCCTCTGTGGCTGCAGTAGATGGTTTTGCTTTATATTTCAAGTCTCAAACATTAATCTCTCTTAATCCTCTAAAATGTAGTCACTTCTCATAAAGTGTATCACAAGTTGCTGTATTTCTTACTTTTAGTTATTTAAGTGGTTCCTTTTTTTAATTTTTATTTCTAATTCTGGCTAACTTATGGGATTTTTTACTTTAATGATGCACTATTTGAAGCCTTATGAAAAAAAAAATTAGAATCTGTTTTTAGCACTAACTCTGGATACTGACACCATCTGCATCTTTTCCTAGTAAATGGGGAGCAGGAGAACCGAGTACAGAAGGGAAATGGATATTTTCAAGTGCCGCCCCATACCCCTGTGATCTTTGGTGAAGCTGGAGGTCGCACACTCTTCAGGTATGGGTAAGGGGGGCTGGCAGCCTTGCCTAAGAAAGCATCCCATTTGCTAAGAAACACTGATTCAAATCAGGTATTCTAAATTGTTTAATATTGACTTACAGGGATGTCAAGGATTTGGAATCTTTTTCTATCTCCATGAGGTAGTTAAATACCTGATGATGCTATTAGATCACATTCTAGTTAAGAGCTGAACCTCTACTGTTAGAATGAAGTTGATACTTTGCCTTAAGGCAGCAGCATCAGTGGTTTTTGCAGGAAACTTACTTTCTCTCACTTAACCCAGCATGATTACCAGAATCAGGGTACAGCTGGCATCACTGAAGCCCCTGCTCACAAGACAGCATCAGTGTAACTAACTTCCCTTGGATGCACCTAGGCAAGATGGACTGGGCTGCTCCTGGGGACTGTGGTGCCTATAATGGCTTAATATAATGTGCTTGGCAGTCCTTTCTGAGGTTCTGCAGGGACAAGCTGGGCTGACTTTACCTCCAAGTTGCCAACAAGGCTCTGGTGAAGCCAGAGGGGAGAGCTCACTAGTCTTCTGTAGGTCCAGAGGAAGGAAAATGCTTGCCTTGACCTTGAGCCCAGAATTCTTTTCCTTTTTTGTAGTTTCCTGAGCATATGATTATTGAAAACATCCTAATCCGTGTTACCTGTAGAAGCCTGTGTCATATAACACTTGTAGGAGACCTTTCTTGAGTGCTTTACCTACACCCATGTTTCTTGTTAACCCCCAGGACTCAGAGAGGCAGCTGAAGTATATGTCTGGCCTCAGAATCTGAGGGCCTGAGTTTAAGGTCCTACTCTCCCTCTTAGCTGAGTCCTTCTGCCTGTCTGCACTTTATTTCCCAGCTGTCAAGTGGGGGTTATCCTAAATGCCCTCTAATGTTTGTTGATAGTGATTATGTCACTTCTGCTTGTTGTGTAACTTACTACCTGATTGGTTGTCTTTAGGCTGCTCTGCAGAGATTCTGGAGGTGAGACTGAGTCGATGCTTCTTAATGAGACGGTGCCACAATGGGTAATTGACATCACTGTGGATGTAAGTATCCCTCACTCCCACTTTACTCTTATTTTTTCTAAATCATTAAGAACTGCTTTAGATTGTATAATCTTAAACTTAAATAAATAAAAAACTAGACTGCCAAGTGGAGTCATCTTTCTGTTTCCCTGCAGTTCCAAAGTTGCAGAAGTATTGATAATTATTCTATATTTGTTTATATCTTTGTTGGTTTTTAAGTATAAAAAATAATATATGCTTATTAAAGGGAATAATAAATGAATAAAGTGAAACTCCCTTACCTTCCCCAATCACTCCTTCTTTTCCATTCACTTCTTGTCCTTCTCCTCAGAAATAGTAACTATTAATAGTTTAATTCATGACCTTTAGTACTGTTTTCTGTGCATACACAAGCATATATTATTTGTGCGTGTGTATACGTGTATATATATTATATATATATTTGTGTCTACAATTCATTTTATTTTGCACAAGATCTATTACTGCACAAGAACAATACTGTTCTGCAACTTGGTTGTGTGTGTTTTTTTTTTGTTTTTTTTTTTGGTTTTTTTTTTTGCTTAAAAAGTATATCTCTGACATCTTTTCATGTCATACATATGAATCATTCCTTTTAATGACTGCATAGTATTCCGTTGTGTAAATGTGCCATAATTTATTTAACTAGTCCCCTATTAGTGGACATTTAGGTTGTTTCCAATGTTTTCTATTACAAACAATGCTTCAGTGAACATCCTTGTACATATATCTTTGTATACTTTTTAGGATAAATTCCTAGAAGTGGAATTGCTGGATCAAAGGGTATGCACATTTTAAATTTTGATAGATATTGCCAAATTGTCCTCCACAAAGGCTATACCAGTTTACACTGTCACCAGCAGTGTATGAGTGCCCATTCCCCCATACCTTCACCAACGCTGGATACTTTTAAAATTTGCTTAAAGATAGGCAAATATTTTCTCATTGTTTTAACGTGGGTATTTCTTTTTTAGTATGTAATGAGGTTAAACATCTTTTCATATTGGCCATTTGTAGTTCTTCTGTGACCTGCCTGTTTGTATTCTTCATTCATTTTTCCTACTGAATTATTTGTCTTGTCTTATTGATGTATAGGAGTTTTTCATATGAGTACTAACCCTTTGACTATTGTGTCTCTTAATTAAATTGTTACTTTGTGATGCTTTTACCAGGCAAAAGGTTGTCATTTTTATATAATCAGATTGATCCTTTATGGTTATGAGTTCATGTCTTGACTAAGTATTTTCCATTCAAAAGAAGCAAAAGTACTCTGTTTTAGCATGGTTGTGATGTTTTTATGTCTACATATTTAATCTGTTAGAGTTTTGTTTTTTTTTTTTGATGTGAAGTAGGATGCTAACTTTCTCCAAAAGTTTAGCCAGTGTGCCAGCACAACTTAACTGAATAATCTGTCCTTTTCCTACTAATTCAAAATGCTATTCTTATCAAATACTAAATTTCTATATACACATGGGTCTGTTTCTAGACTCTCTTATATTCTTTTGATCTATTTTGTATATTCCTAAAGCCATATGAAAAGAGATTTAATCTCTAGAACTTTTAGAAAATTTATTTTCTGTCCCAGATATACCTCAAAGAACTAAAAGCCAGTGTGGCATCTGATGGATATGCTATGGTCTTCTCTAAATCCGAGCTCTCTATAAATCACTTCTTCCTTTGAGTGTGCAACTCACCTGGGATGCATTGCTGACTTTAGGCCTATGTCTTATTCCTGAGAGGAGACATCCAGACAGGATAGGACATGGAGGCTCGGAGAGATTTAATACCTAGAGAAAAGATGACCAGTTAATTTTATCCTTTAAGTATGTGGGTTACTTCCTGGTAGACCTCTAGGTGGCTGGCTGAAGTTTCCACTCTTGCTTAAAACCTCAGACCTCACTCTGATGTCAGAGGGAAAGAGAGAGGGAGGACCTGATTGGCCTTTTCAGTTGGATGTTGGGCCACACCAGCGTAGAGTGTATGGTTTTGCTCAAAGATGAAAGTTGTGGGGTTTCTCTCAAAAGACACTTAAGTTTTTGTTTGGACCTTGAGAGGGCAGCCCTAATAGTTTAATGTAGAACTGAGATTTTGGTTTGTATGGCTTAATAATTAAAATTTTAAAATTCTCACTTTAATACCTTGCATTGTCATTTGAGGAGAGCCATGCTGTAATTTCATATTGCCACTGACATTACATATAATTTGTCTTTGCATATCTTTTATTTCAAAACTAAATATACTTTTCTGATGTTTTCTCTAAAACTGGCAGATAATTCGATAGGTTACTATATATTTCCTGAGTCATTTTTAATTATAAAATAATGATTACTGTAAATCATGTTTTCCTGTTGACATCATTTTAGTTTACCAGCTAACAGAAACTATTATACCTTGTTTTACTTTTACTATTTCAGAAAAATATGCCCAAATTCAACAAAATTCCTTTCTACCTCCAACCTCATGCATCTTCGGGAGCAAAGACCCTAAAAAAGTAAGTAAATATAGTGTCATATGATACCTTGATCTAATTACCAGAGAGAATTCTTCTTTTGCTTTTATAGCAGAGTAGGTATGTTAACATTTTATACATTTATAATGTAAGAGCATTTTACAGGTTTATACATTTATCAAGTACCTACTGTGGTAGGTTGTAGATGTTCAAAAGTAAATAAGACATGGATTTTGCCTTTTACCTTAGTTCATAGTTTAGGATACAAACTATGTGTCCTGTGTATTATAACTATTTTTATTGTGGATACTTAGAAGTGATGAGTATAACCGAAAGAAGGGAATTTTTGGGTGGAGCTTTCTAGAAAAGCTTGAAGGATATGATATTTGAATTAGGCATGTGAGGATGGATAAAACTTCCAAAGTGAGGTATTGTAGGTCCAGGAAATGGTTTGAACAGGAATTTGGAAGTGGGCGCATATAGGAGATAGTGAAAACTAGTAAGGACTGGGGTAGCTGCAGCATAGGATGGAGATGGAAAGATTCTAGAGGTGAATGTCAGAAAGGATTTCAGAGGTTTCATTGATGCTATATTTGAATGCCAAGTCTTAGAGCATGCAGTAATACCACCATGATTTTGAGCTGATATAAGCTGAGGCCCAAGGTAGGGTCTCAAGTCAGGAAGAGCCAAGAGAATTGTAGTAGTTCAGGTATAGAATGCTAAACTGTGAACAGCATATCTATCCTAGCAAGTAAAGTCAGCAAGACTTTTTAAAACCTTTGTTACAGAAATTTTCAAACATATACAGAAAAGAAGATAGGAGAATGAACTCCTATCTTCAGTAATTAATAATCCGTGGCTAAATATTTTGCTTTGTCTGCTTCTGATTACCCTCCCACCTACTTGCCTACACATACACATATAGGACTATTTCAAAGCAAGTCTTCTATATCACTTGACTAATAAACTAAATTTAACTGACTAAATGTTCAAGATGACTTTCAGAGTTTGAGCCTAAGCTACCTGGTCTGACCATTATGGTTTTGACCATTAATTGACATCAGAAATATAGATGAAATAGGCTTGGGGATGAGGAAATTGATGAGTCTAGTCTTAGACATACAGAGTTTGCAGTACCTATGGGACATCCAACTGGAGCCACTTAGCCAGCTATTGGGTTCATGGGTCTAGAGTTAGGTGGAGACTCAAGGTTTCAACTGGGGCATCATCTGGTCACAGTTGAAGGCATGGCTGTAGGGAGGGAAGCCAGGGAGAAATGTGCACAGAGGGTATTCAAGCCTGGTAAGCCTTGGGGGCCACTTTCTCTTCCAGGAGCATTTAGTGTGCTCATGCTCTGGGAAAATCTTTAAAGGGAGTCATACCCAGCAAGCTGTTCTTTATGTATATGTAAATTTTAAGAATGTGTATTTAAATCTTGTTTAGTTTTACATAATGTGCTTCTTAGGAAGACACTATAAAAAATGTTGGTAATTCTAAAAATGGATTAAGGCCATGACCAAAAACATTTATTGGTTTATGTTTCTGTGGTATGTTCTATCTTTATCGTTAACACCAAAGAATATAGAAGAGATAATATCCGGTGAATTGAGTTCCCTGATGTCAAAATCTGCCCTTACGTTTTATAGAGATAGACTCTCTGCTAGTGACATGCTCCAAGTTCGGAAAGTAATGGAACATGTTTATGAAAAAATCATCAACTTGGATAATGAGTCTCAAACCACTAGCTCTTCTAATAATGAAAAACCAGGAGAACAGGAAAAAGAAGAGGATATTGCTGTGTTGGCTGAGGAGAAAATTGAACTTTTGTGCCAGGACCAGGTAAATGGACTTGAGGACCACAGCCCCATGTTCTCCCAGTGCCGGTGCCCAAAGAGTTACGTAGTGCGGTGTGATGGTGGTTCCCAAGTCTGTTGCCTCTGGGGGACTTCTGCTTGTAGACTCTGAGGAGCACTGCGTCTCTCCCATCTATTTGTGAGGCCCGTTCTGGAGGGGTTCTTCAACCAACCCTAAAGCATCTGTTTACCCTGGGGAGGTTTTCGGGAAAGGGACACAGATTTAAATGCACACACAGACAAATGTGGATGTGCTTGCTGGTGGCTCTTTGTTCTGACAAGAAAAAGACACATGATCGTCTTGATTTGCAGAGCAGCATCTGCCGTGTTAAAGATTGGAAGTGGAGGTGGGTGGAGAAGTGGTGGAGCTGTTTTAAGTCAAGATGCACTCAAGGCGTTTCTTCAGAGGAATGGCTGAAGATGGTGTTTCTGCACATCTCACTGTGCCCGGGTCATGCCTGCATGCATGGACGTGGTATCAGCAAGAGCAGGCCACCGGGCATGGGCGAGGAGAGAACAAGCTGGATCCCCTGATGACAGTCCCCGATTTAACAATAAAGGTCTTAGATATTAGCGACTTGACATTCTCTGTTATTTTTTGCTATTCAGGTTTTGGATCCAAATATGGACCTTCGAACAGTGAAACACTTCATATGGAAGAGTGGTGGTGACCTCACCCTCCATTACCGTCAGAAGTCCACGTGAAGGGTGGGCGAACGCTCCTGGGTATTCATTTACTGACCTTCCTCTATGGCCCCAAGAGTAGTCCTAGGAAGCCCACTGAGCCCCAACGGGAGCAAGACTTCTAACGGCCGATTTGGTATGGACCGAGATTCTCTTTCAATTGCAGTGACTAATTGAGATGTAATATAGAAACCAGTCTCCATGTGTAGATTAAGCTGTCCCTTGGGAGGCAGGGTGCAAGAGCAGAAGAACCCCGAGCAGACTGTCTTGGGAGATGTACAGAGAACTGACCACAGGCCAGCACAGACTTTGCTTCCTCCCTTTGTTTCAAAGGACCTTATCTTTGTTAGCAGTTGTTAGAGACACATCGGTAGGGCCCATCTGTCACTGTGTTTCAACTTTAAACCTACATGCTCTGTAGCTTTTCTAAGAGATTACATTCCATTCGTGCAGTACCTATGAAGGCTTTTCCAAGTTTGTCATTAAAAAACAAAAAACGTTATCACCATTTAAGACAGTTCTTTTTAATAGGAATTTGCCGTTGCACAATTCAAGAGCCAGCCCATTTCACAATAAATGATTATCATTGGGCTTGTTTTTAATATTGCATCTCAGATGTGTTCTTATAGAGAGATCTGTTGAAATTTCAGGTGCTGGATCATAACACTTGGCCCGCCAGGCCAGAGTATACCCAGCCCATACCCAGTGATGCTGCACACTCCCCACCCCCACCTAGTGCCCTGGACGGCGCCGCCACAGGGGCACGCGCCCATCCGCTCCTTCCTCCACTGTGTCCAGTGTTAGCACAGGCAGCGCCAGATGACACCACAGGTTCTAACTCTGGGTGAGAAGCATGACACCACCAAACTTAATGCCATGACATTTCTAAATTCATTTAGAAGCTACTTAAAATTCCTGGTGTCAGAATAAAAGGATATTATGGTGAGTTAATTTGATACTCATATCCTGGAAGTACACGTTTGGTTTTCCAATTTTATATGCAGGTTTCTGTTGCTACTGTGCCTATATCCAGATTTCCTTTTACTCTTCGAGCAGTCTAAAGCTTTCATAGAATCATTTGGATCTTGTACAGACTATAAGTTATTGGGGATAAATACTTCAACTTTTGGTGGAAGAAAAAAAACTTTGGATTCTCCCCAACGTCATTTGTATTCAGAATAGATCAGTGGTCCACCCCCATAAAACCACTTAAGACAAGCCTCATGTATGAAGCCAGAAGCACAAGTGCCTTCAGCGGGCAGTTTATTCCAGTCCAGTTGCCTCCCCAGCTTGTGTGTGGCCTGTCCCCACAACAGCAGGGACTGGGGAGGGGGTAGGGAAGGTTTTTCTTTTCTACATCTTCGCAGGTTCAGCTGGAAGCAGCTGATGGGCCTGGGTCCAGATCTATCTGAGATACTCCGTCTGCACAACTGTAGACAGGGCTCCCTCACTGCTGGTCAGCTGCCTTTGGAAAGTGGACCAGTCATTGCCTCTGGCACTTTGAAGATGCGAGCAAAGACATGCCACATTTCCAATGAGTCTTTCTCCCTCGTGCAGAAAGCAGCTGGCTTCTTTTTTAAATCCTTTCTATCTGTTGGATACGACAGTGCACTTTTGGTGCACATTTTTTAGCAATAGTTGTGAATTAATGGCAAACAAACAAACAAACAAAACCAGAATAGCTCATTTACCAGCCCTCGGTTGTGTTTGCACAAGGGGCCCTTGGGCTGCAGGACCGGGCTCTGTTGGGCAACTTCGCCCTGCGCGCAGAGCCTCGGGCAGCTGTGCGCCCTCCTGTCGTAGCTCTCTGACCCCAGCCCCAGCATGGTTGTACCTTTTTCCTTCCAGTCAAACCAGTAATAGTTTCCAGAAAACAGTCTGCAATGCCAAAAGGGTAAAAATCTGTATTTCACAGTTGTATAGAATAAAGGCTTTAGTTAAAATATTTCAAAGTGTAGTACACATTTATTTTTCACTTGTCATTTTCCTTCATAGCAGATTACAGAGAATGAAACTTCTGGTTTCACTTACCCTGGAAATAGTTAGCATGGATACCCATTTTAGCCCCCAGTTTAGGGTGAGGCGGGGTGTGAAAGTGAGGGAGGGAAGAACCAGGAGCCTTGGGCAAGGGCGAACTTTCAAGCAGGTGACCAGTCATGGGAGCTGCCTGCCTCAGCACTGCTGGGGTGATTCTGTTCTGCGTCCTGAATTCTTGTAGACCTGGGACTCCCAGACAATCCAGCAGTCAGGCTCCAGCGTGGACTTTGAACACAGCGCCTCCCTGTTCTGGTAGGCTTGGCAAGAGCTTGCTTTAAATGTAGTCTCAAGCCTAGAAACTTGAAGTGTTGGCTCCTTTAGGCCCACCCACTCCCCCACCCCAAGAGCTGATTGTCCTTATCCTATAGAATCTGTGAATTGCCTGTTAAGTGCAGACATTACAAATCAAGAGGTAAAGGTGGGAATTTTCAATGGGCAGAAACTGGAAAGACAAGGCCAAAGGCAGGTTTCATGGTAGCCATCAAGGAGTGGGGGAAAGGTGAGGGACCCTAGCCAAGGCAGAAGAGGACGCCAGGTATGAGGGGCTGGCCTTGGATGGAGCCCTCGTCTTCCTGCAGGAGGGCCTTTACCCACTCTTGCAAGCCCCTCATCCCCGCCTTGGGCTGGGAGTAGTGTGTCCGATGGACTGGCTTGGAGTCAGCATAAGATAGTGAACTTTAACTTGCAATTTTTATTCACCCCTGAGGCTGGCTGGCTGCATTGTACATTGCATTAAGAGATGGTTGTGTAAGTTTGGGAGCTGCCAGGAGTCACCACGGGGACTCCCAGGCCTGTGGGCTGTAAGCCCTGGAGAGGAAGAAGCATCGTGGTCCAAGCACAGGTGAGTCTCTGCTGAAGAACTTAGCGTTTCCAAGCCCTCTCTCCCAGGAGAGGTGGGCAGGTGCACTGCCTCTCTCCACCTGTCAATGGCATGTTAGTAGCCTGAGCACCTGCACGGCGGCACATTGGGATGAGGGCCCATGATGAAGTTAGTGGGACTTGGGGGTGCTTCCCAGTACAGATGGGGCTAAGCTGTGAGCTGTGCAGGGAGAGTCTGTGATTCAGCAAACATTCCGCACCAACCCCTTCCTCCCTCGTCTGTGTTCACATCTGATCGTATGTGAACCTTGTTGCCTTGGTAACCAGAGCAGGTGCAAGCACTGGCACTAAAGGTGAAGAGCCAACAGATGTCCTTCCCCCAGACGCGTGGCCTCCTCTTACTACCCACTGAGGCTCCATGCCCCACCCAAATAGCAAAGAATCCTTTCATCTTCTACCCCAGCTCCTGCAAACTTATTCAATCTGGGGTACTGCTCCCAGCTGATACCACCCCAAAAGCACTTGAGATTCTCAAACAAGTGCTCAAATCCCCAAAGCCAGTACCATTAGAATAAATGCTGGAGGGGAGAGGTGTCATCTCTTAGAGTGGACACAGCAGCCCCCACCAGCAGCAGTACCCACATGTCACTCTGAGCAGCGGCCTAGGGAGCTGAACACACCAGGCCATGTAATATGGCCCTAGCTGCCTCCCCACATGGGCCTTGTAAAATGCCATCAGTGGCCTTGTCACAGCCCGGGGTATTATTCCAAAGTAGAAAGCTGGGCCTGACTGGCCGCCCCCTCAGCCTCTGCCTCAAAATCTGGGCTCTCTGTACTTGCTGGCTCCTCAGCCTGAGCTTCAAGCAGCTCCGCAGACAGCCCATCTTCTGGTGAAGCTGTAGAGTTGAGGCTGTCAGGAAGAGTCAGCTGAGGCAGGTGGTCCGGTTGGGACTGGACACCTGGGCTATCCAGGAAAGAGACCTCAAACTCGGACCCAGACCACGTGGCCTCACCTGCAATACAGAGAGTGGGGCTGAGGAGGCCTTCAGAACCTTGGCCTGGGACAATAACCCCACTGACCCCCACAATTCCCACCCCAGATGTTCATGACAGATAGGAGATCTAGTGTACAGATGCCTTCATATGGCAACCTGAAGGCCACCCTAGAAGGCAGCCGAGGAACTCAAGGTAGCCTTCCCAACAACCCACGGTCCTTCCCAGAAGGCTTTAGAAGGTGCTGGCCGCTCACCACCACGCTCATGAGAACTGCTGCTGGAGCAGACATCCTCTGGCCCTGAGGCTGAGACAGCTGTGGAGGCCATCTCTGTGGAAGAGGGCAGGCTGGGCCAGACACTGGTGTTGCCGTTGTCCAAGAGGGAGATGCCTGACACATCCAGGAAGCCTGGAGAAAGGGGTACAATTGTTGCCAGCGCAGAACCTCTTCTTCTGGAAGGCCAGTGCCCTGAGGTCCCCCCGCCTTGTTCCTGGAGCCTCTGGCCCAGCTATGAAACTAATCCCCTCAGCCCAAGGTGAAGCTCCTACCCAACCCTAAAAAGGTTCCCCACTGCCTGTTTCTGAGGAAGAAAAGGGGCCTGGAGTTAGGTACCATGAGAAGAACACCATGGCAGAGGGTCTAGCCCCTGTTCTGGACCCAATTTGCTGTGGGAGCAGATCACCTCTCTCCTCTGGAATGCAGACCCCTCCCCCCCCATTCAAATATCCAGATAACTGAATTCTCTGCAACCACTCTGAGATAAGAAGGGCTGAGGCCCTCTTCAGCAACAGGGTTGCGGGTCCCTCAGCCACCTTTCCAGGGCTTGCTTACTACCTGGATCCATGACTCGCTGTACTGGAGGGGGAGGCTGAAGAGGTGTTTCCATGGAACGTGGCAGTGCCCCGTGGTCAACGCCTGGAGCACCATCATGGCTAGGACTCCCAGTCCCCGGAAGCTGTTCCTTCATGGAGGAGCCAGGGGCCTGCAACAGGGCCTAGGGGAGCCAGGGAAGAAGGAACAGGGGTGGGCAGTCGGGACAGTGCAGCTGACACTTGCCACGTGAACACTGCTCTGTCCCAAGGGGCAGCTTGGTGACCTGCCCCTTCTTCCACAGGGAAAGTGGAGTCGGGCCAGAGGGGCCTGGTGGCCTCCCCTGCAGGGCTGACATGAAGACAGAGCACTCGTCCTACTCTGCTGAGGTGCTCCAGGTGCCCACCATTGGGCCCCTTCAGTGACACACCTCATGGATGCCCTATTCAGACCCCAGGCACCAGCCCAATGCCCAGAGTCACTTGGGGGACCTGCTTTACAGCTATGAAGGCAGGGCTAGCACCCCCCTGCAGACTTGGCCATACCAACCAATCTGGAGCTTGACACCCAGAATAAGGTTCTGGCCACCTCTGAGCCTGCTTCCCACTCATGAAAAAGACAACTCATGCCTCACCCTCACCTGCAAACCCACGTGGCAGGAGGGCGCAGGAGGGCCAGAAGGTTTCACTGTCCCGGGGTGGGGTTCCCCTGTTCTGTTCCCACTGGGTCCAAGAAGCCAAAGGGCCTCCCAAGGGACAGGCCCCTAGTGAAGGTGGCCTCTGGAGTCCTCTCCCAGCTTGCAGGCCCTGCCCACATGAAGCTCCCCTCTGCCCCTGGCTGGTAGGTGGTCCCCACATACCTCCATGTAGTCACCCTGCCTGGAGTCTGTCTCTGTACCGGGAGGGTCAGGAAAGTCCTGGAGGATGGATCCGGGTGGCAGGCTACCAGGTGGCAGGGCACTGGGTGGCAGGGCACCGGGTGTTGGGGCACCGGGTGATGGAGTACCAGGTGGTAGGCCACCAGGTGGCTTCCGGTGGCAGCTGGGAGGCTGCGTTGGGATCCGGTGCAGATACCCGTAGCCGATACCACACCCCAGACTGCCAAAGGCCAGAAACATTCAATATAGGGGCTTCCCCCAGCCCTTCCTATCTCACCCCCCCCCACCTGCACCACGTCCCTTCCCCAATAATCAGCAGTGAGGGGCTGAATGGGCGCCTCCTGAGCTGATGGGCAGCCTTAGGACCCCTAGGCCCAGGGCCCAGCCCCCCACCCTCACCACTGGACTCTGGAGGTCCATGCCCGTCAGTCAGGGACCACCCAGGGCTCCACCCTGCAGCCCTCCAAGCCCCGGAAGTACCTGCCCTCTCCACCCCAGGCTGCGTTGGGAGTTACAGTCACCTCCCGGCAGGAGTCGGACTCAGAGTTATAAACCATCAGCTTCAAGGGCCTCCCCTCGTGGGACTCAATGAGTGTAAAGAAGTCTTCTGACTATGACAAACACACAGCGACTGAGCCCTGCTGCCAGCACTGGGACGGGAAACCTCAACAGAATGAGACACCTCCCACGGGCAGTACCCATCTCTCCACACCCAGCCAGGCAAGTCACAGGCTCCTCACCTCCTGGAGGATCTGATCTGAGCCAACCACATAGTCTGTGTAGGGGCGCAGGCCAGCAAGGGAGGCAGGTGAAAAGGGTTCCACATCCTGGGGAAAGAAAAAAACGATCTCTCACTCCTGGGGGGTGCAGAGTGGGGATGGATGGGGGAGGGAGCAGCCTCTCCAGGTGTTGAAGGACAAATCCTGTCCCCAAGTCAGGAGGCTCCCACTTCCTGCAGTTCCACAAAGTCCCCAGCAGAGGGCAGTATGATGGCACAGCTCCCACCCCAGAGCTCTGAAATCTGACCTGAGTTCCATTCCTGGCCCCACCAACTGCTAAAATGCGTGACTGGGAATAAAATACTTAACCTCTCAGCCTCAGGCTCCCCAAAATCAAAAGTAGGCTATGTAATACTTATGCATAAAAATCTGAGAAGAGTTTGTAAATATTATATGTGAAGAATGAAAACCAGGCCTTGGCCTACAGTCAATGGCACAGCTGTTACTACTGCAGGCATGTGGCTGGAGACCCTGGGGAAGGGCGGGAGGCGACAGTGAGTGGAACCAGGTACAAAGACCACTGTCTCACAGTCTCCAGGGAAATGTAAAGGGGTTTGTGTCATCACCCATTTCACTCAAGTACAAACTGAGGCAGCTAAAAGGTTGAGAGGTCTCCTGCTCGAAGTCAGCAACAGAGGAGGCGACAAACCGAATCAGCCCTTTCCAGCCCTGGACCCTCTCCTCCCACCAGGCTGGAGAAACAACACTGGAGAAGCTGGGCACATCAGCAAACAGACATGGCACGGGTGGATGCGTGACTATGAACAGACACTAACAGCGCTGTCTGTGACGACTCAAGTCACTGCAGTTGTTAAGGTTCAGATCCAGGGGCCCATCCACTGCCCAAAGGTACTTTCAGGGGACCTGCCCCATGCTACCGAGTATGCCAGAAAAAACTCAAGACTGATGATCACAGCCACATCCTAGCAGTACCACCACCTGTCCGGTAGGTGGTGTCGCCAGCTTTCAAAATTAGAAGCCAAGGTCTAGAGGGTATGCTAGTGCCCCAGGTCACAGGGCAAACCAGAGCAGGGCACTGTCCGCTAACAGGAAGCCTTTCTGGGACATGGCATAGGGCAGACCCTGGCTTCGGGAATGCTCTAATAAACAGGGGCTCTTGGCTCTCCCAGCTGCCCCTCATACACCCCACTTCCTGCCCCCAGCGGCCCCCCTCCCAAGTGACTAGCCCACCTTCCCAGTATGTTCACATTTGCCCCCAAAACTCACCAGCACATGCCACACGTGCTCGCTAGCCCTGCGGAAACTGCAGAAGCGTACGCTGGCACCCAGCAGGCCCTGGCCGCCCCACATGTTGCTAGGCACCACCTCCACCTCGCGCACTTTCATGGTCTTCATATTGAACACCTCCAGCTTGACAGGCTTCTCCACATTGGCCTTCAGCAGCGCCCGCAGCGTGTCATTCTCCTTGTTCTGCAGGGAATGCAGGGCTGATTCCTCAACCCCCCCTCACTCTCGGGCTGAGGCCTTTGGACAAATCTGGCCAGACACAGGGCCAGGGTCAACTACCTCAGTAGATGGCCTAGGGCAGTGGCTGGCCCAGTCCACAGGCCAGGCCTGAGCCTGCAGCCACTACAGCTCTCACTACCCTCAGCACAGCTAAGTCCTCCTCCTTCAGCTGGCCTGAAAACACCACAAGGATGCAAAGAGCCAGCTGGGTCCAGAGCCCAGCAGTGCTGCCATTGGCCAGAGTCCCATACCTTTCATGCTCCGAGAGGCAGTTCCGTTAGGCCTTGTGGCCAAGAGCGCATTTGCCTCTAGTTCACCCCAGAGAGCTCAGGAGCTAAGCTGGGCGGGGCCCCTGTGGGGCTGAGTACAGCACTGGAAGAAGAGAGATGGGGCTGGGCCTCCCTCCAGAAGGGGAGACAGGAACAGGGCCAGGGTCCTCAGTAGGACAGGAGACACAAAGCAAGGCAGAGGCACAATGGGGAGTCTCACCAGTCTCGAGTGCCCGATGGTGATGATGAAGTCAAAGTAGGGCTCCAGGCCAGCCTGCTGAGCTGGGGAGTTCTCCTGCACCTGTCCCAGGGCAGAGGCCCCATTAGTGTGCCAACTCTCTCACATGGCCCCCCTCAGTTTCAGCAACCACCCCGGCCCCCACCTCCCAGGTGGATGTGTGCACTGGCCTCCAGCCTCTCCAGGCCCAGCACCGCCCGAGCTTCACCAGGCCCACCCATGCTCTCTGAGGCCTTCTGGGCACAGATTTTGCTCTCGAGGAAAATGCTTCTTTCCTAATCACTATCCACTGATTGTACTTGCTGAGCCTCCTCCTGCCACAGTCTGGCGGACCTGGGGGCTATCAGTAGGCCACCTGGAGACAATGTGGGGCAGGCCTGAGGGGATGTTCCCCCAGAGGGCTAGGCTGGGGTGCTGGGAAGTCAAAGGTTTACCCTAAAGGTTGACACTGACAGGGAGGCCCCAGAGAGATGGCACCAGGGCTGGCCCAAAAAAGAGTAGGGAAGGCAGCCTGGGTCAGATCCCAGACCCTATGGTGACAGAGCCAGGCTCAGTCTAGCAGATGGGGGAGCTGCTGAAGAGACAGACCCCAGGCATAGGAATGAGCCCAAGTCAGAGAACAGGGCAAATCCGGCCTCATAATCTAGCTCCACTTGCGCCAGCCATGCCCAGCACAAGGGTACTCTCTGCATAGAACTCCAAAATCACTGTCGTTTCCAAAAGCATAGACATCAGGCCTTGCAGCCATGGTGGAACTCCCTCCCAAAGGCCCCATTTATAGAGCCTCAAAAACAATGTGGCCTTTATCCCCAGCTCTGACCCTGAAGGCAGGGCCCCAAACCCTTGGGCTTTTGGCTGTGAGCACTTGATGCCTGGCTGGTCAGGTATCAGTCAGGCACCAGCCCCAAGGGCACAGGGCTCACGAGGTCCCAGGTTCTGCCCGTTCCGGATGGCTCCGCAAGGGGGAGGCCCTACACCACCTGGTCCTCCAGTAAAGCGCACTGCTGAGTCTTTGGCCCAAGGCCAATTTGTCCTTGTAATTAGGACACTCTTCTGGCAGAGTCATCAACTGAGCCCTTCTTGCAACCTCCAGAAACTGCCATGGCTTCCAATGAGAGTGAGCCAGAAACCAACTCCAGCCCCAGCTGGTCTGGTCCTGAGGGTACTACAAGGGGAGCCCTGAGTCCTTCAGGGAAAAGCTGGGACAGCTCTCTAGGTGCTGGCTAATCAGAGACAGCTAGCAAGGAGTGCTTCTCTGGGTGCAGGCAACACTCCACTTCCTGAGGTCAGGCCCCCTGTTCCAGAGGCCAGTGCCACCAGGCTGTCTGCCCGCTACCCTTCCCAACATTGTGTCCACTGCTGTCCATCATTAGCGAGGTCCAGAGACCAGGCCCCCACTCCCCAGGCCTGCCCTCTCCAGCCTACCCTCCTCTCCTGGGGCCCTGTCAGGCTGTACTCCACACCCCTCACCCTGGGCCTTGTCATGGCCCTCCACAGTGGAATAATCTAGGGGCGGCCCATTGTACCCCAACTCTAGCAATAAGCAAGGCTCTTTGTCCAGCTCTCCCTAGGGGGCTCCCATGGCAGCCAACCCAGAAGTCCAACAAAGTGCTGCTTTCATAATAGCGCTCCCGCCACCCCCCATTCCCCATGAGGGAACCTAATGTGACTGACAGTGACAGCAGCTGCCACCCAGGGTGGCTGGTGCCAGGGAAGTGCACCACCTGCTTTCCCAATCAGTTAACCCCCTTACTAAGCCCAATGTACAGAGGAGGAAAAGTCCTCAGTTACTCAGTTATCTGACCCCAGAAAGTCCAAGCCAGAGCTTGCTTCTCACCACAGCCCTACGCCCCAGTGGAATCCTCCACTGTTCCAAGTCGCTGAGGGCAGAGGTTTCCCCCAGGTGCCCAGCACACAGCAGGAATGATAATATCTGTAAGGTGGCACGCTTGTTCTTCAGTTTTTGAAAATGGAAGCAGGTAATGTCATACCCCCAATACAAACCTCCTGATGCCTTGCCATCTCAGAATAAGATCCCAAAACCTCAGGACAAGAGGTAAGGTCCCAGGTATGGCCTCCCTGGTGGTGCAAGGGTTAAGATGCAACCTATGAAGCTATCCGCAGCCACTGCAGCACATTCGATTCCAGGCCAGGGAGCTACCCACATGGCACAGCAGACCTCTCCTGACTCGCCTTGCTGCTCCCCTCAGCAGTGTATTTCAGTCAGTCTGCCTGTTCTGCTCCCTACACACACACACACACACACACACACACACACACACACACACACCCGCACCAGCTCTTGTATGCATAAATAAATAAATCTTAAAAAAAAAAAAAGAGGTAAGGTCCCACCTCACTCTCGACCCCTTTCCTTCCACCGACCACCCTGTGCAATGCACAGGCCTCACTGTGCTTGCTTCTCAGACACAACAAGCACAGTCCCAACTCAGGACTTCCGCCTGCCCAGCAGACCCGCCCCACTCACGGCTGTGCTGTCCAGGCTTTCCCTCCTTCCCAGGGAATCCTCTCCCCACCTGTCTATCTAAAACAGTACCCACTCATCATTCTTTATCCTCCTCCCCTGCTGCAATGGTCTACCTAGCGAGGATTGCCACCTACCACTTTTTGTCTGTCTCTTTTCTCTCTCTGCTGGCATCCAGGTGTAAGCTCCACGGAACAGACTGATGTCTGTTCTGGTCATTGGTTTATGGCCCAAGCCTAGAACTCTGCTTGCCCGAGTCTGTGCTCAAATATGCCTGTTTTTGTGAATGATGCTCTCCAATCCCCACTTCTCCACACTGTCCCTCTAACTGACTCTTCTTCTCTTCCCACCTACTGTGGCCCTACCCCCTCCCTTCAGACAATATTCTCAGTTCCTTCTGGCTGCAGGCACCGCAGTCCACCTTTTCTGGCCTGTGATGATCTCACCATGATGCCTGCTAGGAAAGGCTCCTCACCAAGCACAAATCCTGTCAACTCTGGTCCTTGGAGCCATCCTGGTCTCCCTTTTAGGAAATCCCTTCTTTAGCCCTCCCCCTGGAGTTGATGACAGAACCTTCCATCACAAACAGAGCCCACTCTGGGCCTCCCTGGTGGCGCAAGGGGTTAAGCACAGCACTATGAGGCAATTGGCAGCCTCTGCAGCACGAGTTCGATCCCCAGCCGGCCAGGGAACAACCCACATGGCGCAGCAGACCTCTCCTGTCTCGCCTTCTGCTACCCTTTGCAGTGTGCTTCGGTCATTCTGCCTGTTCTGTTCCCCGCTCTGTCTCTGGTGAATCCTCTCACCTCCCATACCTTTGGCCTGTACCCCCAGTTCTTGTATGCATAAATAAATCTTTAAAAAAAAAAAAAAAGAGCCCACTCAACAGCGAGGCACCAAAATGACAAGCTTGCCTACCTACACCCACCTCTGCACCCATCCACGTTGCACAAGGAAGAAGGGGATCCCATCCCACTGTGTACCCTGATGGGTGACCCTCCTGCCCCCCTCACCCACCCAACAGCCCCTCCCTCTCCACAGCACAAATCTCCACCCCAAATCTCCATCTGGCTATGGACCCCTCTCCTCACTTTCAGGCTACAGGAAGCCCACTCTGTCTCCACTTTCCCCAAGACAGCTCATCCGGACCTCGTGGCTCCACGGAAAAGTCATTCTCTCCTCAGGTCCTCCCTGCAACGTTCACCTGGGCCAATCCCTGCCACAAACGCGCTTCCCTCGCCTTCTGCGCCATTCTCCGGCTCTCCCGCTCCCCACCCTCCCTGGCAGGTTGGCACCCGAGCAAGTCTCTCCAACCCTGTGACAGGCCAGCGCGCCGCACAGAGGTTACCCCGACCCGCAGGGCCCCAGGGCGGGGACGGCCGGGGCCTCGGCATCGCCGGCTCAGGCTCAGGCCCAGCAGGAGCGCAGCACACGGCAGGAGCCTCCTAAGTGCACGACCGCCTCCGCCCTGACCTGCTGCATCCCTCACCCAGGACAAGTGCAGATCCGGGGCGGCGCGGCGGACCAGGAACCGCTCCGGCTTCCTGCACAGCTGGCACCTGGGGGTGGGGTGCCACCCCCACCCCCACCCTCACCCCGCGCTGGGGTGGGCTGCGCCGGGCCCGCGAGGCCGCGGAGGGGCTGGGGCCAGGGGCGCCGCGGAGCCGCCCCTCAGAGGCGACTCCCAGCGCGCAGGGGCCCAACCTCCCCCCGAGCAGCCGCCCAGAGGCCGGGACCTCGCCGCGGCCGCCCGCGGGCCAGCGATGCCCGCCCAGTCCTCGGCGCCGCGGGGCGACTCACTCCGTGCAGGTGGAAGCCCTCGGTGCCGCCCGCCGGCTGCTCGGCGCTGGCGCCCAGGCCCATGGCAGCCGCTCCTCTCCGCTCCGGCGGCGGCGCCGGCGTCCAGAACCGCGGCGCAGACCCCGCGGGCCGACCGGACCCGGCGCCACCAGCGCGGACTCCCTCTCTCGGCGCTTGATTACCAACGCCTTGTCACGTGGGCGCCTTTCTCTGACGTCCTTAGCAACCTGCCCGCAGCTCCGTTTCCAAGGACGCGCGCGCCTCTGACTTCCGGCCGCGAGAGGCGTGCCCAGGGTCCGGAGCCTGGAATACAGTTCCGCGCGGCACCACCGGATCCGGACTCGGAGCCGCGGCCAAGAAGATGAGCAGCAGTGACTCCTCTCTCATGGTGCGTGGTCCGGGCTGTCTGGCCGCCCCTTCTGACCCGTACCAGGACTCCCTCCCGCCCCCTGCCGCTCTCCTGTCGCCTCTCTGACCGCTCCTGCTGTTGCCTCTACCAGCCTTTCATTGTCCCCAGCTGCTACAGGTGGTCCTGGCTCTTTCTCGCCTCACTCTTCCTGGAGAATGCATATCCTCCAGTTTTCTCTTTGCACCCCGAGCCCCAAATCAGCATCCCAGATCTGACCCCAAGCGCTCCCAAACAATGCATCCCAAACCCATAGCCATCTGATCTTCCCCTACCGTCTGTGCCTCTTCTGTGTCCCCCACCTCAGAAGATGCCACCACCACTTGATCCTCCAGCCTTAATTGGTCCTCCAGCCTTAATTCTCCAGCCCAATCTCCTGATCATATCAGCAAGAAATGTCAGCTCCTAAGTGTTTCCTGAAATCACCCACTTCTTTTTATCACATTTCCCCCCAGGCACCCGCAACAGTTTCTCTCCTGACTGGTTTATCTGCTCCCGCTCTCTTCACCAACAGTTCCCCTACCACCACCACCTACACACACACACACACACACACACAAACACACACACACACAAACACACACACACACAAACACACACACATACACATACGCAGCCAGAGTGGCTTTTGCAAAAACACACATCTGAACACCTCCCTCCCCTGCTTGAAACCATTCCAACTGCTTCCTTTTACCCTTCAGATGGTGTCTGCACCCTTTCATATGGCCCACAAGGCTGTTTACAATCCAACCACATATGATCCCAACCCCAACACCCACAAACCTTAGGGGAAGTGAGACTATACTTTGAAATCTCAGCCCCCACCACTACTGGGTGACCTTTGTCAAGCTATATAGTTCCCATGAGCTGTTCAGCTTCCTTGACTGTGCGTACAGAGAAGATGATGCATAAGATAGTGGATGCCAAACCCTTGACATAGTTCCCAAGAGGTGGTTAGCCCATAATAACTTGTAACCTTAGTGGTATAATATTGCTTACCGGTGTTCTCTCTTTACCTTTCCCTTTCTACTACAAAGTCTGAGTTGCAATGCCCACACACTTGAGCCAGAATCTGTGGATAATCCCAAAACAGTCACCACCAAACTCCTTCCTGGAGAAATAACCTTGGACTAGAGTGGGGCTCCAAAGAACACTTTAAGGCTGCATGTTCACTTTCTCATCCCTTTCCAGAAATGAGGGTGATCAGGGCATGGAGGCTGGGGGAGTGGGTCGGAGAAGGGACTGTGGTCATTGCTACCGGGTCTTCCTCCATGCAGGCTGGGATCATTTACTACAGCCACGAAAAGTACTTTCGCCATGTGCAGCAGGCTGCAACTGTGGGCCTGGAGAAATTCAGCAATGACCCCGTGCTGCATTTTTTCAAAGCCTATGGAGTCCTCAGGGAAGGTAGGGACTCATCCTTGTTGCCACAAACTGGCACTGTACTCTGGCTCCACCAGCAGGCCTCCGCTTCGTGGCTTCATTGGTATCCTCAGTAGCTACATTCCCAGGTAAACCCACAGAAACCTGTGTAATCAGTGTCTACTTGATCTTTGAGACCTCAGCGAGCTCTCTACCTTTCCTCTGTGCCTTCAGTTCCCTATCTTTAAAATGAAAGGCAGGGCCTCCCTGGTGGCACAGGCGGTTGAGTGCTGCACTGTGAAGCTGTCCACAGCTCTGCAGCCCGGGTTCAATCCCAGCCGGCCAGGGAGCAACCCACATGGTGCAGCAGACCTCTCCTGTCTCTCCAGCTGCTCCCCTCAACAGTGTAATTTGTCAGTCTGCCTGTTCTGTTCCCCACTCTGCCTCTGGTGAATCCCTCCTGCACATCTGACCTGTACCCCGGTTCTTGTATAAATAAATAAATCTTTAATAAATAAATAAATAAATAATAAAATGAGGGGCAGAGAGATAGCTGTATGATTATTGAATTAATCCCAGGCTTGGAAGCTGAGAGCCTATAGTGCAGGAAAAAGAGGAGGAGGTAGATGTGGGTCCAGAATGGTGCAGGATCACGGAGAGGGTTGGGGCCCCTGAAGTTGCTGACTTGCTGGCATTCAGAAGGTGGTCCCAGGCGGGCTTAAAGGGGTAAATGTAATTGGTGTCTCTTAAACAGCAAGCTGGGGATCTCAGAAGCCTGAGGTCCTTCTCCGGAACTGAGCCACAGTCAAAAAATTCCAGCCTCAAAGGTATCCCTACAAGTGCTAATAGGTACATCTCTCAGCTCCATGCCTTCCAACCCCTGGAACCTGGACTATGGCACCAGCAGCCCTTTCAGGGGCTTTAGTCTTCAATGAACTTGGGCCATTCAGGATCTTTGGGCCTGTTAGTCCTCTGATTCTGGGTAAAGCCAGGTGGTGTTCAGCCTTGGGTCACCCTGAGAAAGGTCCCCATGTGACTGCCCTCTGGGCCTGGAGCCAAAAGCATAACCACCTGGGCCTTCTTTGTAGAGCACATCCAGGATGCCATCAGCAACCTGGAGAGCATCCGGAATCACCCAGAAGTGACCCTGTGTTCCATCATGGCGCTCATTTATGCTCATAGGTGCTGTGAAACCATTGGTGAGTACAGTCATGCTCAGCGAGGTCTAGCCAGCTGGGGAAGGAGCCCATGCTCTACACACAGCCCATCAAGGGCTGCTAAGGAGGTGTGTGCATGGGTGACTGCAGATGCTCTTGGCCAGTGAGGAATGCCTGCTGTTCCCCTCTAACCCCTCACCCCAACCCAGACCTAGTGAAGACCCCATGCTTGGGCCCAATTGAGTGGGAGCCGTGGTGAGAACATGACAGTGGAAGGAGTCTTCCGGATCCCTGCTTTCCTTTGCCAAGATCTTATTGGGAAAAGTTAGTCTGATATATGTTCTACCCCTCCTCTCTACCTCTCTAGATTCAGAGATAGATTCCAAGAGACTACAAACTGCTACTTCCCCACCAGTCGTGTGGGCCTGAGGCTGGGGATTCAGGCTTGGTCTGTCTCAGCACACTGCTGGGCACAAAAGAGAAAAGATAAATCTCAGGCAGTAAACCTGGGTCCAGGCCTGGGCAGCTCCTGTGACATCCCAGCGGCCACTGTGGTTGGTTTCCAGGCCCTGGATTGGGGTCTAGTCAGCTGCAAGTATTGAGGGAGGCTCAGAATATACAAAGGTGCCTCCCTGGGTCCCCAATGCCCGCTGCAGGACCAGGCAGACCTCCTCACCCTGAAATAAAGATGTACTCGGATTTACAGACCAAGAAGCCATTCAGGAGCTCGAGAGCAGCCTGAAGGAAATCCGCAAGACAGCTAGCGGGTCTGCACTGTACTACGCTGGCCTCTTCCTCTGGCTCATGGGACGCCATGACAAGGCCAAGGAATACATCGACCGTATGCTGAAGGTCTCCAGCAACTTCAGAGAGGTAACTTCCTCTGACATCTTGGGGAAAACAGCTACAGAAGCATCAGCTTGCACACGCACCACAGCTCGGCACCTGTTCCCCCGCAGAGGGCCTAGGACTGGGGTGGGCCACACCCAGTCACTGAGGAGACCCCAGAGTAAAGTCAACCAGCAATGGCAAGACAGGCAAGGGTGCTGTAGCGAAGGGTAAGAGAGCTGTGGGGTCATGGGTGGCAGGGGCAGGGCCAGGGGTTTGGGGGGTGGCCCTGACCCCGGCCTGGAAAGTCTGAGGGCCTTCTACAGGAGGATCCTGCTAGACTGAGCTTTAAAGATTAGTGGTAGTTAATCAGGTGAAGGATTGGGGCATTCCAGGCAAAGAGACAATGGGAGCAAAGACCTGGCAGTGGGAAAGAGAGTAGGGCTGCCCTGGGACCTGTCAGATTCTGGAGTGTGGCGTGACTAAGGGGGGGACATGAGGCAAGAGGAGCAGGCTGCCCCCAGGCCTTGCAGGACTGAGGACTTCATCTTTTGTCTTGTTCTCATGCTAGGGCTACGTGCTCAGAGGCTGGGTGGATCTCACCTCAGATAAACCCCACACTGTGAAGAAAGCCATCAAGTACCTGGAACAAGGAATTCAGGACAACAAAGATGTGCTGGGGCTGATGGGCAAGGTGGGCAGAGAGGGAGGGAGTGGGAGTATCCCTGACAGGCTCCTGGAGCCAGAGACCAGCTGGGTGAGCCGAGGCCAGACCCTCCATCTGCAGGCCCCTCACCTCCAGGTCTCACACTCGTTGCCGCGCCTGTCACTTCTGTCTGCTGAGGGGCCCTCTCAGAGTCTGTCCTCCTTTGACTCAGGCTTTTATGCTTTGCCTTTTGGTTTCACTCCCTCATTCACTGCCCCTTTTCTCTGCACCTTTCTCTCACTTATCCTCTTCTCACATAAATTCATTCGTTGGAGGTGAGGAGAAGGAGGTATGCTACCTGTTTTGTACTTTCTGAGCTTAATTACTGATTTTTTTGTTCTTATGTAGCTCTCATTGAATCAATCTATAAGAGAAAAACTATCCTCCTATTCACTTCTGGTGATATAGATCTGACAACGTGACTATATACTCATTTAAAAAACGCAAGTCTGAAAAAGTCTGAAAAGGTTGAAAGATGAGTGAAAATGCCCCTTGTAGCCCTGTCATGCCCAAACAACTCATGTTGGCATCTTAATGTCTCCCCATCTTTTTTCTACGTGTGGGTTCGGGTGTGCCTTAGTTTTCTGGAAAGCAGACGCCTCAGAAGTGGTCATGCAGGAGGCTCACCAGGGAGTGCCTTTCGACCAGCCCCCATGAGGAAAGTGAAAGTGGGTAGAGGGTGAAGTTGGATGGTGAAGCCAGCACAGCAAAGGCCTCAGCCAACTCAAAGGCAATCCTGGAGCTGGGATGGCCTTCACCAGCCCCCTCACTGGCGAGATGCGGAGCCCAGGCAGCCCTAAGGAGCCCTGTGACCTGGTCTGAGGCAGCTCCCTCCTGCAATGAGCCATCTCAGGACTGAGGCACCTCTGAGAGATCTCTGCTGCCAACTCTCCCCATCCTGACAGGGCTTATGGCACACACTACCAGGTGGGAGATGGTGTCGTTACTGAGTATAGTTGCAATCACAGGGCAACTTCTCATTTGTTTTCTTTCCTTCATGTAATATTTTGTCATTTCTAACATTATATAAAACCCACCCCCTTTGGTGTGGCCTAATGTAATTTACTGACCCACTCTCCTCTGGTTTGGACCTTGAGATGGTTTCCCATTGTACATTGGGAAAGAATACTGCTGTGAATGCTTACACATAAATCCTTATGCAGAATAATCCTCTTGTTTTTAATGAGAGGCCTGTCTCATAATGGAGGGTGGCTGTAGGTCTCACATTAGCCATTTGTCCAGAGTCCAGCTTCAAGGCTTTTAGGAGCATTACCTTCTGCCCCTCAGACACTGTGTCATCACTGTCACAGGAGAACCTGGTGGCCAGCACTGGCCTGCAGAGGCCAGGAATCCTGCCCAGTGGGCCTTCACAGAGAAAAATCACAGCCTTGCTCTAGAGGGGACTGCGTGCAAGCCCTAACTTGGAGCTGCTGACCTGGGCCCCAGGGAGCAGTTTTCAGTCATGAAATTCAGGAAAGTGAATGGGAAGCGAGTGGGCCATTTGTAGACTTGGCAAGTGCCCACCCAGAGGCCCCAGCTGTCCCTGAGCTGACCCCTCCTTTGGCTTTGCTTTCTCCCACACCTCCCGAGTTTCCCATGTTCAGGGCTTAGGTGTCTCCCCGGAACCCCTGCCTTGACCATCCAGGAACCCAAGACTGCTGTGGACCTGGACTTGTCACTGAGTGATGACTCCTTCCTCGGGGAGTTCCCAGGACATCCTTGCCCAACTGAGGGGACCCACAGTGCCCATGTGTCAGGCCCTGTGCCAGTCCTGGTGGAGACTCTTCCCCTGGCTGCCTTCATGCGCCCTGGTGGACATACTTCTCTTGGGCTCTTGACAGGCAACATATTTCATGATGCAGCAGAACTACACAGGGGCCCTGGAGGTGGTGAACCAGATCACCCTTGCCTCGGGGAGCTTCCTGCCCGCCTTGGTCCTGAAGATGCGGCTGTTCTTGGCTCGGCAGGACTGGGAGCAGACTGTGGAAACAGCACACAGGTGAGAGGTAGGGGTGGCCCCGCATCACAGCACAAATGGGCCGCTTCATTCCTTCCTAAGCTGAGGGTGCTGCCGTATCCCCGCTGTGCAAGGTGGGGAGAGGGGAGATGCTGTGTAAGGGATGGAACCAGGCATTAAAATGGATGTTGTAACAGAGGAGTTATGAATAATGATTTCACCATATTAGGGAGAGGGGGAGCATTGATGTAAGCCACTTACTGTCATAGCAGGAAGCCAGCGGCTGTGGCCTACAATGGAAAAATCAAGAAATAGGCAGACCAAGAAGTATAAGCAATATTTCCAAGAAAGGTGGAACTACCAAAAGAAGCCAAAGCAGCAAGAGTTATGGGAGGAGGCTGCCCCTGAAGAGTTCTTCTGAGGAGTGGAGGGCAGGGGAAAGTAAAGGGAGAGTGGGATTAGGAGCTTTGTATTATTTAATTCTTTAAAGCTCCGAGTGTGATATAATTTAATAGGGAATTTAAAGGGAAAAAGGTATCGGTGACTGAAGAAAGACTTAATAGCAGGCAGGGCACATGAGCAAGGGAGCAGAGAATTCAGGAGTTATTGAGACTTGTGGAAAGCAGAGACTGCTCTTCAAACATATCCTTGCGAGTCGAAATAAAGACATTTTTTTTTTTTTTTAGAGAAAGCATTTATTTATTTATTTATTTATTTTTTTTTTTTTTTTATAAATTTTATTGTTATATTCCCCATACAATTGCCGCCCCCCATTCTGACCCCAATCCCTCCCCTCCCGCCCCCGCCCCCCTAAAAGTGTCTCTGGTTCATAGTTTTTTGTTGATTTTGATTTTCACTTTCTTATAGTTTTTCATTTTCCTGGTCCATTATTTAAGTTTTCTAGATTCCTGCTATGAGTGAGACCATCCGGTATTTTTCTTTTTCTTTTTGGCTTATTTCGCTGAGCATGATCCCTTCCAGCGCCATCCATGTTGCTGCAAATTGCATGTGTTTATCTTTTTTGAATGCTGAGTAATATTCCATGGTATATATGTACCACATCTTCTTGATCCAGTCATCTATTTTTGGACATTTGGGTTGTTTCCAAAGCTTAGCTATTGTAAACAGTGCTGCTATAAACATAGGGGTGCAGGTGTTCTTTGGAATTGATGTTTCTGTGTCCTTTGGGTAAATACCTAGGAGTGGAATTGCTGGGTCATATGGAAGCTCTATGTTTAGTAGGTCCAGAAATCTCCACACAGCTTTCCACAGTGGTTGGACCAGTTTGCACTCCCACCAACAGTGCAGAAGAGTTCCTTTTTCTCCACACCCTCGCCAACATTTGTTGTTGCTAGTTTTTTTAATATGTGCCATTCTCACTGGTGTAAGATGGTATCTCATGGTAGTTTTGATTTGCATTTCCCTGATGACAAGTGATGTTGAACATTTTTTCATATGCCTGTTGGCCATTTGCATTTCCTCTTCAGAGAAGTTTCTTTTAAGCTCTTCTGCCCATTTTTTGACTGGATTATTTTCTTTGTTGTTGTTGAGTCTCATCAGCTCTTTGCAGATTTTTGTGATCAGTCCTTTATCATTAGTGTTGGGTGCAAAAATGTTCTCCCAGTTGGTGGGGTTTCTCTTTGTTTTTGTTATTGTCTCTTTTGCTGTGCAAAAGCTCTTTAATTTGATATAGTCCCAGCTGTTTATCTTTGCCTTCACTATCACTGCTTTGGGTGATGTGTCTGTAAAGATGTCTTTGATGTGCAAATCACGTAGTGTTTCGCCTATATTTCCTTCTATATATTTTATGGTTTCAGGTCTTATGTCTAGTTCTTTAATCCATTTTGAGTTGATTTTTGTGTATGGTGTGAGGTGGTGGTCAAGCTTCATTCTTTTGCATGTAGCGACCCAGTTTTCCCAGCACCATTTATTGAACAAACTTTCTTTGCTCCAATGCATAGTCTTTGCTCCTTTGTCAAAGATTAGTTGACCATAAATCTGTGGGTTTATTTCTGGATTTTCTATTCGATTCCATTGGTCTGTATGTCTGTTCTTGTTCCAATACCATGCAGTTTTGATGATTATGGCTTTGTAGTATAGTTTGAAGTCTGGGAGTCTGATGCCTCCATTCCCTTCTTTTTTTTTCAGGAGAGCTTTGGCTATTCGGGGTTTTTTGTGATTCCATATGAATTTCATCAATAATTTTTCTATTTCTTTGAAGAATGACATTGAAATTTTGATTGGAATAGCATTGAATCTGTATATTGCTTTTGGAAGGATGGCCATTTTAATAATGTTTATTCTTCCAATCCATGAGCAGGGGATGTCTCTCCATTTCTTTGTGTCTTCTTCTATTTCTTTTAACAGTGTTTTATAGTTTTCTTTGTATAGGTCCTTTACCTCTTTTGTTAGATTTATTCCCAAATATTTGATTTTTTTTGTTTCAATAACAAAAGGGATGGTCTTTTCGATTTCTTCTTCTTCAGATTTATTGTTTGTGTATAGGAAGGCTACTGACTTTTGCGTGTTGATTTTGTATCCTGCCACTTTACTGAACTGATTGATGAGTTGAATTAGCTTTTCTGTGGAGTTTTTGGGGTTCTCTATGTATAATATCATATCGTCTGCAAATAGTGATAGTTTGACTTCTTCTTTTCCTATTTGGATTCCTTGGATGTCTTTCTCTTGTCTTATTGCCCTGGCTAGGACTTCCAGTATTATATTGAAAAGCAATGGTGAGAGTGGACATCCTTGTCTTGTTCCAGATCTTAATGGAATTGCTTTCAGCTTTTCACCATTGAGAATGATACTGGCTGTTGGCTTGTCATAGATGGCCTTTATGATGTTGAGGTATGTTCCTTGTATCCCAAGAACTTCAAGGGCTTTTATCATGAATGGGTGTTGCACTTTGTCGAAAGCTTTCTCAGCATCTATTGATATTATCATATGGTTTTTATATTTCTTTTTGTTGATGTGTTGGATAACGTTGATTGATTTTCGGATGTTAAACCATCCTTGTGCCCCTGGAATGAATCCAACTTGGTCGTGGTGAATTATCTTATGGATACATTGTTGGATTCTGATAGCTAAAATTTTATTGAGGATTTTTGCATCAGTGTTCATTAGGGAGATTGGCCTGTAGTTTTCCTTTTTTGTGTTGTCCTTATTCGGTTTTGGTATTAGTGTAATGTTGGCTTCATAGAACGTGTTTGGTATTGTCCCTTCCTTCTCAATTTTTTGGAAGAGTTTGTGAAGGATAGGCACTAATTCGTCTCTGAATGTTTGGTAGAATTCATTTGTAAATCCATCAGGTCCTGGGCTTTTGTTTTTGGGGAGGTTTTTGATTACCATTTCAATTTCGCTAATTGTAATTGGTCTGTTTAGGTGTTCTATTTCTTCTTTATCTAGCTTTGGGTGATTGTAGAGTTGTAGGAATTTGTCCATCTCCTCTAGATTGTTAAACTTGTTTCCATATAACTGTTCATAGTAGTTACTGATTATTCTTTTGATTTCTGCTGTGTCCGTTGTGATTTCTCCTCTTTCATTGATGATCCTGTTTATTTGTGCTTTCTCCCTTTTTTCCTTTGTGAGCCTGGCTAGGGGTTTGTCTATTTTATTGATTTTTTCAAAGAACCAGCTCTTGGTTTCATTGATCTTTTGGATTGTTTTTTTAGTTTCAATTTCATTTATTTCTGCTTTGGTTTTTATTATTTCTTTTCTTCTACTGGTTTTGGGGTTTTCTTGTTGTTCTTTTTCTAGATCTTTGAGCTTCGAGATTAGGTTGTTTCTTTGCGTTCTTTCTTGTTTCTTGATGTGAGCTTCTATTGCTATATATTTTCCTCTTATTACTGCTTTTGCTGCATCCCATACATTTAGGATATTGGTGTCCTCCTTGTCGTTCAATTCAAAAAATTTTTTAATTTCTTCTTTGATCTCCTCATTAGTCCAATGGTCTTCCAGTAGTGTGGTTTTTAATCTCCATGAGGTAGGAAAGTTCCTTGCCTTCTTTTTATGGTTTATTTCTAGTTTGATGCCTTCATGGTCAGAAAAGATGGTTGATATGATTTCAATCTTGGTGTATCTGTTGATGTTTGTCTTGTGCCCCAGTATGTGATCGATCCTGGAGAATGATCCGTGTGCGCTTGAGAAAAATGTGTACTCCGTTTTTTTGGGGTTTAGTGTTCTATAGATGTCTGTTAAGCCCAATTGCTCTAGGTCTAATAAAGACATTTTTGAGGGGAGGAGTATCTGATGGTTTTTTGGAAATGAACTTCCCATGATAAGCAAAGCTCACCTGCTTAAGCTCTAATGCTTTGACTATTTTTATCACATAATTCTAAAATGTAGAATGTTAATTTTCTCCAAAAAAAAATGTGAATGGACTCGTTTTTTCTGACTGACCGTGAGTCATTATTATGAGTTATTACTAAATGGTGTGGTCATGTGCAGCATAGTTCCAGGAAAAAAAAAAACACACACACACAATCAGGGGCCTCCCTGGTGGTGCAAGGGGTTAAGTCACAGCACTATGAAATTATCCACAGCCTCTGCAGCACAAGTTCAATCCCCAGCCAGGGAGCTACCCACATGGCACAGCAGACCTCTCCTGTCTCGCCTGCCGCTCCCCTCAGCAGTGTATTTCAGTTCATCTGCCTGTTCTGCTCCCCACTCTCTGTGGTGAATCCTCTCACCCCCCCACACACACACCTCTGGCCTGTACCCCAAGTCTTGTATGCATAAATAAGTAAATCTTTAAAAAAAAAAAAAAAGCACAACCAACTTCTTCTTTCCCTGTGGAAGAATGAGAACTCCTGAGATAACTGAATTTGAGTCTCAGAGAGAGGTAGTAAATGGAAGGTGATTCTACCCTGCCTGTGCCACGTGTGGGCCCTGCACCTCCTCTCTCAGTTTACACCTGGCCAGTGTCCTTGACAGGAGCTGAGTCAGGAACTTGCTTTGGAGGCTTGGCCTTGGGCCAACAAGATACCTAGAAGCACCTGGGTGAAAGCCACATTTACAGGTCAGCCGTGGGTGTGCTGGGCTGGCCTCCCTGCCAGGCCCCTCTGCATGCACATGCAAGAAGCCAGGATTTGGGGCTAATAGACTGCGCCCGACACCCTAATGTCTCCCCTGTGGGGGCTTTCATAGCTACTGGAGTTCATGGAAGTTACTTTTGTTTTTAAAATCTCTGTACTCTCATCTCTTCTCTAGGTGTGTTTCTCTTTATCTCTAAAATTAATTTTTTTCTCTCCTTTTTTCTTCATGAATATTAAAATAATTTTTCTCTCTTATTGGTCTGTTTAAAGAACCAGCTTTGCATTTTGTAGATGCTATTATATCTTTGTTTTCTAATTTATTAATTTCTTTTTTTTTAAACACTTTCCTTTTTATTTTTTTTTAATTTATCTTTCATTATTTTTTTAAGATTTATTTATTTATACAAGCACTGGGTACAGTCAGAAGCGCGGGAGGGTGAGAGAATTCACCAGAGCCAGAGCGGGGAGCAGAGCAGGCAGAAGGACCGAAGTACACTGCTGAGGGGAGCAGCGGGCGGCAGGAGAGGTCTGTGCGCCATGTGGGACCCTCCTCCGGTGGCCGGGGAGCAGCCGGGGATCGAACCGGCGCTGCAGAGGCCGCGGATGGCTTTGCAACCCAGCGCTCAACCGCTGCGCCACTGGGGAGGCCCTAATTTATTAATTTCTGCTCTTAACTTTATTTTTTCCTGTGAACTTCCCTTGTAATTATTCTGTTGTTATTTCTAACTCTGGAGTTGGGCGCCTGGTTCAGCCAGTCTCAATCTTCTCTTAGACTCTATTTAAATCTGCGATGCCCCTCAAAGTCCCATTTTTGCTGTTGCTACACATGTGGGTGTGTAGTAGTTTCAGTATTATTTGGTTCAAATAATTGTCTATTATACATTTTGATTCTTCTTTCATCTATAAGCTACTTTAAAGTTGCTTTTTAAAATTTCCAAGTGTATTTGATTTCCAGTGCTTTCAGTCATCATAAATGGTTAAAACTCTTTGAATGTTGACTGTACCTAATCATATTGGAATTTTGCATGTTAATTCAAGTAAACCTCTCTTATACAGAGACCATTCCCTGAAAAATATAGTTTCCTATAAAGAAACAGAATATTGAAAACCTTGTAACATGATCAGAAGTTGTATCTTCACAGTGATGTGTGTTAACAAGAAGTTCCTTTCCTGTCTTAGAGCCGCAGACTGCCCCCCACCCTAGCATCTCTCTGCCTGGCCCCCAGAACAGACAGGCTACATGATCATGTTTTTGTTAAATGAGATACAAATAGGCTTCTGTCTCAAAGACACCCCAAAATAAGTGATTTAAATAGCTTAAAAAGTTATTCCTATCTTGGGCCTCCCCGGTGGCGCAGTGGTTGAGCGCTGGGTTGTGAAGCTGCGCGCGGCCTCTGCGGCGCCGGTTCGATCCCCGGCTGCTCCCCGGCCACCGGAGGAGGGTCCCACATGGCGCGCAGACCTCTCCTGCCGCCCGCTGCTCCCCTCAGCAGTGTACTTCGGTCCTTCTGCCTGCTCTGCTCCCCGCTCTGGCTCTGGTGAATTCTCTCGCCCTCCCGCGCTTCTGACTGTACCCAGTGCTTGTATAAACAAAACAAACAAACAAACCAGCAAACAAATAAATAAAGCATGCCTCTATAAAAAAAAATAAATAAATAAAAAATAAATAAAAAAAAAATAAAAAAAATAAAAAAAAAGTTATTCCTATCTCAGGGAAAAGTTTGAGTGGTAGTCCAGGACAGGGAGGAAGCTTAACTCTGTAGGGTCCCAGGCCTGTTCTGTGTCACGGATCTGCCCTTCCTGGGTGTTGCTCATGTGGGCCACTTCCAGCCAGCAGGAAGGAGGAAAGGGCAGCAATGGAAAACCTACTGTGAGAACCCACCTGGATATCACCCCGAGCACTTTCACTTCTATCCTGTTGCAGGGTTTGGTCACGTGGCCACACCTAAGCTGCAGAGGGAAGCTGGCAGGCATAGTCTATTCCAGGTAGCCATGTGCCCCCCCAGTTTGGGAGTTTTTTCCAAAAAGGAGAAGGGGAGAATGGACTGTCAGAAATTGCTAGCACACCATCCTGTCCTTACCTGTGAATGCTTTCAATTCATGTGGCTCCTCTTCCTGTTTCAGAATCCTAGAAAAAGATGAAAGTAACATTGATGCCTGCCAAATCTTAGCTGTGCATGAGCTTGCAAGAGAAGGGAACAGGACCACAGTAAGTTCTTTGAAGCCTCCAAAGTTGAACTTTGAAACAAACAAGCCAAGGAAGAATCCCTCATAGCCCCCCTCCCATCCCCAGGGCCTTGGAAGATGATTCCTAGATCTCTGTTCCTTCCTCTCACACCCCCTGTCAAGAGCTGGCCTTGTTTGTTCTTTGGGCAATACAGTTCCAAATAGGGTGCAAGGATGACTCTGGTCCTGCCCAAGCTACCTATTCAACCCCAGGCAGGTGTCTACACCTGGATAAGTCCCAGGGTCCCCACTTTGTGAAGTTACAATAAGGACAAAATGAGAAGACAAGTAGGAGAACTTGGAATAGTGCCTGGTGTCCGTTGACAATTCAACCGATGTTAACTGGTAAGAAGTCTTGGTTGCATTGAAGATTTTAGGAAATGCTATGTTTTCAGGGAATAGTTAGGATCACTCAGGTATTGGCCAGGCAGTATCTGGCCCCAAACTTGTTCCTAAACCTTATAGTTTTCCAAAGAAACCCCAAAGAACCCTCAAATGCAGTCAGAAACACTAATAAAATTCTTAATGAAAACCTCAGGGTCCAGACCGGTTCTTATTTTCAAAAAGAGTTTGTGTTTTCAGCCAAAAAAATTATTTTTTTAATAAATGCAGTGAGTGTGGGGCAAATCAAGAGTCTCAAAGGGGTCATGATGAGAAGAGGAAGCTTCTGGTTGGGTTTTATGGAGTGGGGTGAAGTGGAGCGGACAGTCCATACTTGGGAGGGACCCTCAAAAAGGACCACAGCTCAATCTCTGGGTAGGAACAAGACACAGGCCTGACTTCAACTCTAAGTGACCCCAGAACCCTGAGCAGGCTTTCTGGGGGTCTTGCCTGAGAGCTAATCCTAGGAACAGAGTTAACATTTAATGGCTCTCCTTTGCCACCACCTCAATCCCTGGGATCTACTCCCCAACCCCTACCCCAGGCTGCCTAGTTCTAGCTTTGCTCAAACTTATTCATCAGAGTAGACCCATATTGCCTCTGACATTGTCTGTTTTGTCCCCTGCAGGCTGCTGATCACATCAGAAATCTGATTAAGGCACTAGAGAAAAGAGAGCCCCAAAATCCAAGCCTCCATCTTAAAAAAATTCTTGTGGTTAGCAAACTGGTAAGAAGGTTCTATCTTGGTTTCTGAAATGGTGCTACTTACTATGTTCTTTAGAGGAGAACTGTGGTCCCCCTGGAAACTCCCTGCCCCTCCTCTCTCTGGCTCAAACTTCACCTTGTAGGGTAATGCCCCAACCCTGTGACTCTTAGCTGGCTCTGGCCAATAACTTTTAGCTGTTAGACCGGGAGGCACCTAACTTGAGGAAAGAGGGCAATATTATAGCTATTGTACAAATTATGCCCAATTCCAACCTGGGATGCTGGGGCGCCCAGTGCCATCCTGTTTCTGCAGAAGTGACCTGGGAAGGGGCCTCCCCTGGTGGCGCGGCGGTTGAGCGCTGGGTTGAGAGACTGCCCGCAGCCTCTGCGGTGCTGGTTTGATCCCTGGCCACCGGTGAGGGTCCCACACACACACACACATACACACAAAAAAAAAGAAGTGACCTGGGAAGTCTGGTTTGCCCAGGCCTCTTTGACATCAGGCAAGGTGCAAACAGATCAGTCTGCCAAACCATCTGTCTCTGCCAGACCCTTCTGCCCAAGGGGTCATTTACCCAAAGCAGGATAACTAGAAGGACTGGCTAGAAGAACAGGGCAGCTCGGGGTCTCGGGGACCAGGACTGTGGAGCTGAATGCCATCAGGACACCATCTTACCCCATATCTGTGTCTGAGTTTCTCTGCCTGGTGCTCCACACGTAGTAGCTGGGAACGTGCCTCCTCCAAGTATTCAAGGCCACTCCTCTCAACTCAGAGAGCTCCTCTCACCCAGTTTCAAGTTTCAGAATACCTCTAAGAGACGCATTGGACAATTACTGTGGCCAGACAGGCGATGGGTCCCTCGGAGCAGCATCCCTGGGGCTCGAGGCAGGTTCCACATGTGTGGCCAGTGGGAGATTCTACACACTGATCTGCCTAGACACAGAGCTCAGGAAAGCCCACCCCAAGCCCTCCAGAGTACCCCGCATTTCTGACACAGCCTTACTCAGATGGGCAGGACTGATTGATCCTGAACCCCCTTGTCTCTGTTCCTTACAGTGTGGGAGGCACCAGGCAATGCTGCGACAAGTGTGTACCTTCATTGAGCACACCTTCATGGCCACACCCTCCTATGGCAGTATAGCCACAGAGCTGGGCTATCTCTTCATCCTGCAAGACCAGGTGAAGGAGGCGTCTCAGTGGTACTCGGAGGCCATGAAACTGGATGAAAACAGCCTGGCTGCCTTGACAGGTCTGTGCGGGTGGGAGCGGGGCAGGGTAGGCGGGGAGGGTGCCTCCATGGGTTCAGGAGAGAGGTGAGGCAACGTATTCTCCACAGGGGGCATGAGAATTTGGGACACATTTCGGTGACTCCACAAGGACAGATGTCAGAGGCACAAGAATTCTCAGAAGTGTGGTCATAGCCACTCTGATCTCCATTAGACCCTCATGTCCACACTCTAATACCTGGGGTGATTGACAGCCTGTTTCTGTGCCTGGCTGGTCTGGCCTCTTCTCTGGCCTCAGCAGGCCTGTGTAGGACACAGTGCCTCTCCCAGCACCTCTTACCCAGCCTCACCTCTGTTGACCTTCCCTCTGTAGCCCCTGAACTGAAAGTTCACAAGAATCAGTAGTTTTGAATTTTACTTCCCTGTCTGTCCAGATGCTTCCCCATCTCTTTATAGCAAATGTCAAATGCATTTTCCAGAGCCCAGTTTTCATGTTACACATTTTTTTCTTAAGCCCTCAAGTCCATGGCCTCTGGAAAATTCTGAACCAGCAATGTTTAGTTTGGTTCAAGGAGGTGTAGGGTGTTCAAGGTAGCCTGACTTCTGGCCTTGGCGCTGTCTGTTTTTCTGAGAGAGAAGTAGCCACTACTCTCTCACCCCAGGCTCCTCATCAGTGAGTACTTGTCAGAGTGGTTGATCTTGGTTGGTGAACACATCAGGCTGACTCCTCAGTCCATGCCTCTTCTTCCATTCTCCTATCCACCCCCCAAAATAATGAAAGGCATTTTAAAAAGCCAAAGAGTCCATTGCAGGCCTAGAAACAAGGAAAGGCGCCTACAGTGGACCAGAAACTTTGAAGAACATCACATTTCTAGAAGCTACAAAGCAGGTAGAATCACATACATGGAAAGGTGAAACAGGTCTGGAAACCACCAGAGTTGCGGGGGAAGGGGAAAAGAAATGAGTAGATGTGCTTTCTCCCAGAGTGTTCCAGGAGGAAAAAAAAACATAAATTCAGGGTCAAAAGAGGCTGGGAGCAAAACATGCCATGGGGTGGTCCCATGACAATGGGAGGATGGATCACTGAAGGCCAGAGAATGGAATGCAGGAGGTTCTTGCTGCAGGAGGGAACAGAGCAGAGCCCCCGAGGACTTCCCACTACCAGCAGCAACATGACGGACAAAAAGACCGCTCAGCCCACAGACAAAATCCCCTGAAACCTTCCTCCACCAGGCTGAGTGATTCCCTACTTCCTTAATCAGGGGAGAGCCCCCACCCAAGTGAACTAGAAGGGAAGTCCACTGGTTAGAACGTCCCATGCTCTCCAGCACTGACTGAGCCTATTCCTGGTGTCCCGGAGTCATTATCTTATGTAACCTATCGGGGAAAATCAGTGACCTTAACAATCTAGGACTCTGCCCAGGCTGCTAACACCCGTCAGTTTAGTTCTTTTGTAAATCTGCTAGCAATTTGAAAGGGGCCAAGTAGAACGTGCAAAGCCACTCTCTGAAGAGCAAAATTAAGTCTGGTTTCAGAAAAGATTTTTCCCCATCTCCAGTGTTTGCAGAGGCTGTTGTACCAATAAGTCAAGAACATGCTAATATAAAGTTACAAAGAAAGAGAGTGAGTTACTGAAAATTAAAAATGTGATTGCAAAGTAAAAAAAAAAAAAAAAAAAAAAAAAAAAACTCTATAGAAGAGCCAAATAGTACTATGGATATAATTGAAAACTAAGAGAGTGATCAGGAAGACAGTCGGGAATAAAGACACCAAGATGGCCAAAAATATGTCTAAAAGAAGAGTGAATACCAGGAAGAGAAAACATCTGTCTTCCCAACATCGAGAAACATCACAAGACAGCTGTACCTGAGTCAGCTGGAAGCCAATGCTGAAATTCAAAAAAAGATAAATGGGCAGACGCAGGTCTTGTGAGAAAGAAGGCATTTCAAGCCAATAGATTTTCAGTGGACACCCGGCCAGCCACTGTGTAAAAATAAAGGCAAGTTCCCAGGTTACATCATTCTTGAAAAAGTATTCCAGGTAAATTAAGTATGTAAAATAGAAATTAAACTGGGCTTGGGTTCCCCAGGGGATTCTAAGCCTGACTCCAAACTCAGAAGCTGTGAAGGAAAATACTTCACCGACTTGACTACATAAAAATGTAAAACTAATGGGTGGCTAAAGACACTGTGAAAATAGGTAGAGAGTAAATGCAAACAAAGTGAAAGATGTTTCCAATGAAGGGCTAATAATCTTAGCATCTAAAGAGGAAAAAATCACCTCAAAAGAAAAACAGGCAAAAAGCCAGGAATGTGAAATTTACAGTAAAAAAAAGGCTAGTACATATATAAAAAGATGTTCATTCTTCCTAGTAATAAAATCATGTGAGTTAGAGCTTGTATCTATTTACTCTTTAGACTAGGAAAGAGTATGGCATGTCTTGAAGGTTGCAGGGAAAGGATGCATTCAAATTCTTGGTGGTAGTATTTTTTTTTTAGATTTAGATTTCTTTTTTATTTATACAAGAGCTGGGGTACAGGTGAGAGGCGTGGGAGGGTGAGAGGATTCACCAGAGACAGAGTGGGGAGCAGAACAGGCAGACGGACCAAAAGCACTGCTGAGGGGAGCAGCGGGCGTGACAGGAGAGGTCTGCCGCACCATGTGGGAATCTCCTTGGCCTGCCGGGAATCAAACCCTTGCTGCAGAGGCTGTGGACAGCTTCACAGTGCTGTGCTCAACCCACTGCACCACGGGGGAGGCCCTCTTGGTAGTATTAATTCAGATACCTTAGCTGGATTGGTTGGCTTTATCAACATTTTAGATATGCATGCCCTTTGACCCATCAACTCTACTTCAGGAATTAGTACACACAAAAATAGTCACCATGACATTGTAATATTTAAACATTAACAACAAACTTAATGTGACGCGAGATGCCAGAGCAGTAGTTAAATAAGTGATTACATCCATGATGGAGTATTTAGTCATCATTAAAGAGAATGGGAGTAGGGCCTCCCAGGTGGCGCAGCGGTTGAGCGCTGGGTTGCGAAGCTGCCCGCAGCCTCTGCGGCGCCGGTTCGATCCCCGGCTGCTCCCCGGCCACCAAAGGAGGGTCCCACATGGCACGCAGACCTCTCCTGCCGCCCGCTGCTCCCCTCAGCAGTGTACTTCGGTCCTTCTGCCTGCTCTACTCCCGGCTCTGGCTCTGGTGAATTCTCTCGCCCTCCCGGCTTCTGACTGTACCCAGTGCATGTATAAACCAAACAAACAAACAAATAGATAAATAAGACATGCCTCTAGAAAATTAAAAAAAAAAAGAGAATGGGAGTAGATGGTTTGAACTGATGGGAGAATATGTGTCTACATTAACAGCCTACTAATGTTTAGAAAGGAGTTCGAAGGGTATATCCCAAATTGTCAATAGTGTTACCTCTGAGAGAGACTGAAGCTGGGGGACAAGCCAGAGAGGAAATATCCCCCGCCCTGACACCCCTTCCTTCCACCATCTCATCCCTGCTCCTAGCCTCTGCTTCCGAGCTCTCTGCTCATCCTCGTTCTATCCCTTTCCCAGGCATGATCTGGTGCCAGATCTTAGACGGTCACCTGGAGGAGGCCGAGCACCAGCTGGAGTTCCTGAAGGAGGTGCAGCAGTCCCTGGGCAAATCTGAGGTCAGAGCTGGTGGGGAGGGGAGGGGCGTGGGTTACTCCAGTATTCTGTCCTCCCCCATCCTGCCCTCTCCTACCTCCAGTTTCTCGTAGAGCTCAGCCAAGATGGATTGGACTTCCTTACTCTGTCCTACCGGCTGCCCCAAGGCATTGGTTCCCAGACTTGGGCTTGCCTCCTACAGGTGCTGGTTTTCCTCCAAGCCCTTCTGGCCTCCAGGAAGCACATGGGGGAGCAGGAGGCCACCGGGCTCCTGAAGGAGGCGGTGGAGCTGCACTTCTCCAGCATGCAGGGTCTCCCCCTGAGTTCAGAGTACTTGGAGAAACTGGACCCCCTCTTCCTGGTCTGCATTGCCAGGGAGTACTTGTTCTTCTGCCCCAAGCAGGTTAGAGGGAGGGGTGTCTTCAGGGCAGGGGTCTGGGGTGCCAGTCACCAGGCTGGTCTGAGCCTCGGGTGGTCGGGGAACCCAGTGCTCTCAAGCTGGCACATGCAGCCACCACTCATCTGGGAGTTGCTCCAGGGGAGGTGGGAAACGAGGCCCTGCGTCTAGAACAAGCTGCCAGGTGATGCCGCTGCTGCTGCTGTCCAGGGACCTCAGTTGGAAAAGCAGGCGCTGGCCCATGCCCCTGCCTCTATCCTAGAGAAGAACCGGGCTTCCTTCTTTGCAGAAGTCTTCTAAGAAGTATGTTTGCCTTTACTTGTTCATCCTGCTTTCCCAGCCAGTCAGGATTCTTTGTGGGCAGGGACCGTATCTTACAGCCTAATATCCCCCCAGTGCCTTGTAATGAGTCATCCCACAACTATTTATTGAGCGCTTTTCCATGTGCCAGACAGCAGCCCGGGTGCTGGGGAGACGGCAGTGAACAAGCCCCCTTTCTCTGGGGCCTCTGCTCTGGAACTCGATGGTGCGGAGTGGACACGTATAATCAATATGAGTCCAACAAAGGAAAATTCCTTCTCTGAGAATGTTTTCTGGGAGCTCTGGGAGTCTCTCTCGGAAGAGGGCAGATTCCCAGCCAGACTCTGTGTTCCTACAGCCCCGGCTGCCAGGGCAGATCGTGTCCCCTCTTCTTAAACAAGTTGCCGTCATCTTGAATCCTGTGATCAAGGCAGCACCAGCTCTGATCGACCCCCTGTATGTGATGGCTCAAGTCAAGTATCTCTCAGGTGAGCCCAGGGTCCTCAGGGCCCTGAGGTGTACTGGGATGGGGGTGGGGAGTCAGTGTCCACAGGCTCCCAGCCTAGGATACTTCACACAGAGACACATAATCCCTCGCCAGGGCCGCCTGCCCCTTGTGGCCTCCAATCCCCCAGAAACCTGACCTCCCTCACCAGCAGGGGTCTCCCCCCACCCAAGAGCGTTCTGCTGATTGCCTGCTTGACCTACACGGCTGATGTCATGATGTTGCTGAACTTTCCTTCCCTCACTGCAGGCCCTGCTCTGGTGCTGGGGTACAGTTGGGTTCAAAATAGGCTAAACTTCCCTCATGGAGTTTGCATTCTGCTAAGGGGAAATAGACCATAAGCAGACACTAAGCGCACCGGACTGTTCTGTCAGGACACAGTAATGTGATAGAGAAAATGACAGTAGAGATGGAGGAGATGTGGGATGGGGAGGGGTGTCAGGGAAATGAGGTGGGGGTAGGATTGTGCTTTTTACAAGATTGTCAGGAAGGTCTCATGGGAAGTGAAAGCCTGTACCTTTAGGCTTCCAGAGCCTCTGGGCCAGCACAAACACCCTTCCAGCTTCTCTTGGGCCAAGATCCAAAGGGAAAGAAGGGGAAAACCCTCCAAGGTACCCTGTTGTCCTTGATGATGTTCTCTCTCCCTGTGTCTTCTCCCCTGTTCCCGATGACTAAAAGCCAGGCCAGTCTCCCATCTCTGGTGTCCTGAGGCCTTCCAAGGGCTGTGTCTATGCTCCGGTTCTGTGTCTATGGGCTGCACTCTGCTGAGAGTTCCCCGGTCTTCCTCCTCTGGCCTCCCAGCATTCACCTGGGTGCCAGGTCTACCCACAGCTTCGAGGTCTCCTGGGTACAAGGCGAGGGCAGGAGCACTCACGCAAGGGTGCTGGCAGCTGCCAGCAGGTTTACGGAGAAAGTCAGTCAGGTCTCCAGCTGCTCCAGCTCCATGGTGACATCTTCACATTTCTGCAGTACATGGGGAAGGAGCAGGGAGTTTAGGACCAGAAGCAGGTGTTCCCCCAGCTACCTGGTTACTGACCTCTAACAGGAGCTGTTGAGGAACCTGGCTACAGAGGGAGGAGGGCTCTCCTACCAGCTCCTGGCACCTCACCCTGCTGCTGCTGCTCCCCCCACCCCCACCCCCTTTTTCCTCAGGGCCCACGTGGCTGCAGGCAAGCCTCTCAGCCCATCCTGGGCATTCAGAGCTCAGCTGTGGGAATCAGGGCCCTGGATTTCAAAGCTGACTCTGTCCCTTCCAAGCCAACAACTTCTATCACTGGAGCCACAGGTCCCACACCTAAAGGACAAGGATAATAACACCCACCATGCAGGGCGAGCAAATAGAAAGCAGCCTCTCTAAAGTGCTTTGCACACATTGAGCATAGATCAGGTGCTGTCTAAGTCATGGCCATGACACTCACTGTTATTATAGAGTTTTGTTACACCAAGGTTTGAGTTTCCTGACTTTTCCCTGGATCAAGGCAGTGGCTGTGTAGTTCTCTCTTTTTAGGAAGAAAACGTGGAGTAAAGCAGAACAGAACTGGGTAAAATGACCAGTTGGCATCCTTCTGGGAAACAGAACATGTAGACTTCATTTTGCCTGTTCACATATTGTGTCCCGGGAATCCCCAGAAATCCCTGGATGCAGAGGTCTATTTATTGCTTCCAGGAGAGCTAGAGAATGCCCAGAGCACCCTTCAGCGCTGCCTGGAGCTGGACCCTACCTTTGTGGATGCTCACCTCCTCATGTCACAGATCTACCTGGCTCAAGGCAACTTTACCATGTGCTCCCACTCCTTAGAGCTGGGCGTCAGCCACAACTTTCAGGTGGGGGTCCTCTGCACCGTCGCCTGCTCTGTAACCCAACGTCAGCTACCTGTTGTTCCCACTTGCCTTGGGAGAGTAGCCTCAGGAGCTGCCTGCAACCCTCAGGCCTCCTGCTGGCCCAATGACAGGGCTCTGGTGGCTGTCTCATCCCCGTGCTGTGAGCAGCTGTGGTGGTGAGCTGGAGCCCCTCACTCTGCTACATACCCCTCTAGGTTCGAGACCACCCCCTCTACCATTTCATCAAGGCCAGAGCCCTCAATAAGTCTGGGGACTATCCAGAGGCCATAAAGACACTGAAAATGATCGGGAAATTACCAACGCTGAAGACAGAAGGCAAGAAGTTCCGTGGGCCCTCTGTGCAGCCCCACGAGAGGGTCTCCATCTTACTAGAACTGGCAGATGCCCTCCGGATGAATGGAGAACTGGTAAGAACTGGGGGGACGCCAGTTCACCACCACAGCTGCCTGCCCCCTTTGGGAATGAGGCGTGCTCAAAGGCCAGTACAGGCCTGGAACTAGGCTCTTTGATTCTGGCTAACGTTTACCTGTGCTTCACTGCGATACTTTAAGGAGAATCTCTATCCCCTGCCTACAAGGCTTCAGTAGCTCCCATTGTCCTCAAGTCTGAGCCCCACTGAGTCCTGCACAGTCTGTCCCCTGCACTAAATCCCCATTGGAGTCCCCATGAAGATCTCGGATAGGTAGTGCACTCAGGTCCATAAGGCCTCCACCGGCAGTTGTGTAGACTAAGCCGTGCTCAGCTCCAGAGGATGCCTGCCACACCGTAATCTTTATAAAGAGTCCCCTTGGGGTTTTGCAGTGTACCAGCTGCTCGACTGTACAAGGCAGGCCCGGGTCCTCCCACATGTGGCTGGGCAAGGCAGAAAGCATCTGGGTTGGTACATCCTCAGCTGGTGCACGGGAGCAGTGGGGCCCGCAGAGAGGAGCAAGGCCTGGGGGAGGCTGGACTCCACATGCTCCTTTGGCCTCACTGGCTTTACCTGCTTACATGTGCCCCATAAAGGAGTGGCCAGTGCAATGCCAGGACCCACCCTGAAAGCACCAGTACTGGGCATTCAGCCTTCTCCTGTGACGGTCCTGGTGCAGAAAAGACACCAGCCTGTGAGGTCTCATCTTAAAGATAAAAATTGCCTTCTAGGCAAAGATAAGAATGTAGAATGTACATCTGCCAAAAGGAACAAAAACGTTTAAAGTAGAGGAGGAATCTCCATCTGTAGCAAAATGAAGGGACAGCTGCCTCTAAAAATAGTTGATTCAGCCAGTCATCGATTCACCTAATTTACTGCTGTATGCCAGGCACTACTATGGGGCTTTCAGGAGTTACTATTTTGGGAAGAGAGAAAGCAGGGTGCAGCTGGGTGAGGGACCTGAGGTTCCTGCATTTCCTTCAAGTTTTCTGAACTGGGGTTGTGGTCAAGTCTCAGGAAAAACAGGGACATTCCTAGAAGAACCCAGTTCCACCCCACAGAAGGGCAGGGCTGCTGAGCAAGGACCCCTGATGAGATGCTTCCTTGGCTTTCTCTGTTCCAGATTTCTTTATAGGCAAGGTGGGCCAGAGGATAGTAAGGGGGGAAGTAACCGGAAAACCAGCTACTAGCTCTGCTGAGACAACAGAGCTGTGAATTGTGAGCTGTGGCCTTCACTGTGAGCCAAGGGGTTCCATCCTGACCCTAGCTTCTCATAAAGGTTACCCCCAAATGGAAGGCACACTGAAAAGCTAAGGGGAGAGGTGCATGCTCCCTTGCCAGCCTAATTCCTGTGTAAAGGGCAGAGTTAGATGGAGTTCTTCCTGTTGGAGGGTGAGTGGTGACTGGAAGGGCTCCAACATAAAATTATAGGTTATAGGTAAGGGGTCGGGGGACGATAGAGAGAGGAGAGAAAGAGGGGAGAGAAGAGGGAGACAGAGAGAAGGGGGATAGGGCAGAGGAGAGAGGGAAAATATGACAAGCAAAAGACAAGTGCAGACTTTGGGAGAAAAAGTATTATAAAAAAATAGAATTTTTTTTTTGGTAAAAACTTTCCTGTATTCAATAAAAATAAAAAGAACATGAAATTTTACAAAACTATCTTAAAGTAGAGAACTAAAGTTCTTCCTAGTTAGATAGGGAAGATGAAAGGTCAGCTGGCAGAGTTAAGAAAGTAATCCTAGAAGACATAGGAGACCGTTGTAAAAATTATAACCCCCTGAGACACAGCAGGAAGTTGCCTAAACTACTGAACCTCTCGGGCTGAAAGAAAGGGTTGAGAAGCCAGGAAAGTGAGTGAAATGATTTGAAAGGGCTGATGGGTAAGACAGACCCATAACAGGTATCCAGCAAAGGCATAATCAATGTTCCTGGAGACAAGAGAACATAGGGAGCAGAGAAAACATGGAAGACATAAAAGAAAACTTTAATGTCTTTTATATTCCCTTTAGGGAATATATGAACCAGGAACTCAGAAAGGTACTCTGTGTTGGAGGAATAGAAGTAAATTTTAAAAACCAAGAAATAGCTTAATAGTAATATCCTAATAAAGTTATGGCCATCAAGAATTAATAATATATAAATGGAAGTTCCTGCACACATTAGGTAGAGAGATTGTTACTCACTATGAGGAAAAAACCAACTTGACCCCAGACTTTTACTCAACAATATTAAATTCAGGAAGACAATAGAACCATATTTATAAAATGTTGGGGGAGAGGGGTGTGGGTAAGATGACTCCCAGGCTAGCTTCCATAGATAACAGCAATAAAGGACACCCTATAAAATGGAATAACTTAGGAATTATGGTGTTAAATTTTTCTCAAAAAATCTACTTGTAGATATAATTCAGAAAAAAGACCAAAATGTGAACCGAAACCAAATTTTTATGAGTGGAAAAAAAATCTGAGTTATAACAGTACAGAATTAAAGCCAATTAAACATAGGGCTAATCTAAATGAATCTAATTACATTGAAATAGCTATAATAATTTTGACTCTAAGCCAGTGTAATTGCTAAGTTCTTAAAATCAAAGTTATTAAAGTCAAAATACTAATTATGAAAAAAGTCAAGGAGGGTAGGTGCTAATATTTTGTACACCATTATGAAATAAAAGTTTACACAGACAATTTCTTGATAGAAAGTTTAGTAGAGTTAAAAAGAGACAATTTTAGTCAAGTCCACAAATTAGTCAAGATTTGGGGGAAAAAAGCAGGGCCATATGTCAAAAGAAGAAATGAAACAAACCACAGCAGCATATAAAACTGAAAGCAAAATATGTGGACATGGGTCCAAGAACACAGGCCTGTGGTAATAAAAGTGTAAATGAAACAAATATTCTTACTAAATAAAAAAAAAAAGACATTCATAGTGGTTTAAATACAGGAACCCCTGCTATCTACACTGCAAAAACCAAAAAAAAACCAAAAAAAAAGAAAAAAAAAAAAAGGCAAAGATTGAGGAAGAAATGCCTGTAAGTTGAATGCAAGGCCCAAAACACTAAAGCGGGAAAAGAGAACAGCTCTGCTAAATAACCAGCCGTGCAAATATAATGAAGATATTCAAATAGATCTTCATGGGCCCAATACCATAATATTCAAATACACTGTCCAAACGAAGCAAAGTACAAGGAGCTGCATCCATACATTGCCCGTCAGAAGGAATTGCCAACAGATTTTAGGGAGCTAAGGAATAGGCAGGTTCTTCCTGTTGGGAGTTTCTATAGCCCCAGCTATCAGGGCACCCCCTGTCCTCCAGCAACAGTGGCCATGGCCACTGAAAGGCTCTCCCTCCTGCCACCAAAGCCACTCTGCAGGTGATGTGGACCATCGTTGTCTTGGCTTCCATGTAGCCAGACTGCTCCCCACTATCTCCATGTTTCATTTCTCCCCCCTGGGGCAGGAGTGGGAAGGGGGATTGCTTTAAGTTTCCTAGGAGAGGTTTTATGTGTTGTGAGTCCACCTGAGGTGGGTGACAGCAAGTGGAAGGTCTATTGGGTCCCCCTGTCGTAGCACGAGGCCACCAAGGTCATGCAGGATGCCATCAACGAGTTCAGCGGCACGCCAGAGGAGATCCGCATCACCATCGCCAATGTGGACTTGGCCCTGAGCAAGGGGAATGTGGACATGGCTCTGAGCATGCTGAGGAACATCACACCTAAGCAGCCCTATTACACAGAAGCCAAGGAGAAGATGGCCAGCATCTACCTGCAGACCCGCAAAGATGTCCGCCTCTACATAGGATGCTACCGGTAAGGCCCAGGTAGTGCACTCACCTGTCTCACCTGGTGTCTTAGGGAGTGTCTTCTCCAGATTGTATTTCTTCCACCTGGGTCTCCAGAACACGCCCCTGGAACTTCCCGAGGGTTAATATCTGAGCTTGGTAGTTCAGCCCAGCTCATCACTCTATCTGATGATACTGAACTGAATCTACCCTGAGGCCTGCTGATCCCCACCCTTGGTATGGCTCACATTCTGATGGGAACCCTCCTCTGCCCTGTCCTTGTCCTGTGCTTGTCCTTGAAGAAATGTCCAGCACCTTAGATATGACCCATATGAGGAGAAGGGGGATGGAGAACAGGAATTTCAAGCTCTTAGGTGCTGCTTCTGTGCTATTGACATTGGACCTCAAGGATACCTTCCTAGACCCTTAACTCAGGCCACACTCCATCTAGGTGACTGAGGGAGGAGGGGTGTATTGGGTAGAGGCAATCCCAGTGCAACAGGAAACCAATAGACAATGGAAAGACAGGGTCACACTGGAGTTTTAGAAAAAGGAATGTAGATACCTCATGGAGTGGGGTCTTCAGGGTTGGGAGTGGAGCTCGAGGGATGGGTGGAGGCTCTGGCATGGTCTAGATAATACTGGAAAGCCTGAACGTAGCACAGTGCTTTATGAACAGAAGGCTTTCAATAAATATTGGATGATGAATGAATGAATGAGTATCAAAATTCATGGGAAAGAAGAGAGGCTCTCAGGAATATGGCAAGTGCACAGGCCTGAGATAAGCTTCTGGTCACCCTTACAGGGAGCTCTGTGAGCAGCTACCTGGCCCCCACACCAGCCTGCTGTTGGGCGATGCTTTTATGTACATTCAGGAGGTGAGTGAGGGTCTGTCTCATGGTCTTGCCAAGTGGCACCCCCCCACCCCCACCCCCCTGGCCTCACTTCTCCAGTAGGGGAGAGAGACCCCTGACACTTTCCCACCAGCCCGAGAAGGCCCTGGAGGTCTACGATGAAGCCTACAGAAAGAATCCACACGATGCCTCTCTGGTCAGCAGGATTGGGCAAGCTTATGTGAAGACCCATCAGTACACCAAGGTCAGGAGGGCTGGGTGGAAAGGCTAGTGAGGGCCAGCACAGCAGGGCGGTGGCTGAATTTCCACCCACAGAGTGGGATGCCAAGGGCAGAACTTGGCAGTTCCCCATTATCCCTCACACTTGCCCAGCTTAAGCTCCAGGCCAACTGGGAGGGCCTTTTCATCTTAGACTTCTGTGTTCCAGAGGGGCACACAGGTGTGGTGGCCACAGAGGGGAGCCTGGTGTGAGGTCAGTGTAGAACCAGACCTGATGCCAATATTTCCTATTTGCGCTCAGGCAATTAATTATTATGAGGCCGCCCAGAAGATTAGCGGGCAGGACTTTCTGTGCTGTGACTTGGCTGAACTTCTTCTGAAGTTAAAGAAATTCAATAAAGCAGAGAAAGTTTTGAAGCAGGCACTGGAACATGACTCTGGTGAGGCAGCATTTTGACTCAGCTCCACCCTCCCCACCCCCCAACTCCCACCCCCTAGCCCCCCAGCTTTTGGAGCAGGCCTATGGGCCCCCCTCCCAAGCCAACCCCCACCATCAGCCCCAGCTTCCCCGAGGCCAGAAAACACTCATTTCAGTTTTCGTTTGCAGTCAAAGACATCCCATCCATGATGAATGACGTCAAGTGCTTACTTTTGCTGGCAAAGGTTTATAACAACCATAAAAAAGAGGATGTGATGGAAACTTTGAACAAGGTAATTGACAAGTAGACTTGAGCTGAAAACGACAGGACTGGTCTGGAAGGCTCCAAACCTGACCTGACTTCCATGGATTCCCCAATCCTTGCTCATCAAAAGTGCTCCAAGTGAGGCTGGGCTGGAGGAAGCAGGGAGCAGGGCAGTGTCTTTGTCCTCAGGCTGCTGGTGATAACAGACAATGCAGCTCCCATGCATTGAATGCTAGGTGCTGGGTCTGCCCTAGGCTTTTTGCTTTCTTACTTAATTCTCAGTATCCCTTTGAGATAAACACAGTAACACTCCTATTTTAACAGATAAGGCTCAAAGAGGTAAAGAAATGTTCCCAATATACTGCTAGTAAGTGACAAAGCTGAAATTTAAACCTGGTCCAGCCCTTTCCAACCCCTATTCTTTCCCCACTGGGCTGGGCCTGATGGGAGAGCTCCTTGTCATTCCTGCCACATCTTCTACACTCTTTCTAACTAAGGGTGTGGCCTGGCACTTGTTCCTGGGGTACAGTCTGTGGTTCCAGAAGGAGAGTCTACTCCGATTGCTGAAGATGATTTATCCCATTTCTCACTGGATCACCATTCCTCTATTTGACCCTTGTGGAGCTGAGAGATGATTTTTGCCTGCTTCTAGCAGCTTAAACTTGACATCATTTCTTCTTGTCTCAATGCGCTCTGGTTACTCACTTGATCATTTGATGCTCTGGATCTTTGTGGGGGCTGCCTCAAATTCCCAGCAGGACACTATTCAGAACAAATCCATCCATCAAATGTAGCCAAAGCAAATGAGGCACGGAGTGTACAGGTGTAATGGAAACAGGTAAACAAGTCAAATACAATAGAGTGTTTTGTTTGAGTGCCGGGCCTGCTTCTGCTCCTGTTCCAGAGGCAGTGCCAACTTGCTCCTGAGTTCTCAGCCAGTGGCCTTGCCTTTCTAGAATGACCCAGATTTGCTCAAGGGCATTTGAGATGCCATTTCTAACAGTGCTGGCTCTGAAATGAGAGCCTGGAGACCTTCTGTGAATTGGCCTGAGATCTGATACATCAGTCTGGGTTTCTGATGCTGAGCTTATTGGTTTCCCAAGGCTATGGACCTCCAGTCTCGGATACTGAAGCGTGTTCCCCTGGAACAGCCAGAAATGATCCCCTCCCAGAAGCAACTGGCAGCCTCCATCTGTGTCCAGTTTGGAGAACACTACTTGGCAGAGAAGGAGTATGCCAGGGCGGTGCGGTCATACAAGGATGCCCTCTCCTATTCACCCACTGACAACAAGGTGGGGTCCTCAAAGTGAGACCTTGCCCCTGCTCCTGCTCCTGGGCACAGGGCCTTGCATGCTCCCTGGCCAGGGGAAGAGGTCCATTCCTTCCTCCTGCCTCCCCAAAAGCTACAGATACAAGGGATGGGGAGCCCTGGTGTGGGGCACCTCCTCTAGTTGACCCTGGGACCAGCATGACCGCAGACTTGCAGCACTTTGGTCAGACATGTGTGGAGGGTGAAGTGGGAAAGACATTGCTGAAAATCACATTAGTTTTCATTTTCAGTGACGTGAAAGTGGGGAGACAATGAGAGTGTGGCTGCTGGATGCTCTTTGGGCATGAAGGCCTGGCTCAGCTTCCAAGGAGGTTTTTAGAGTTGTGTGGGTGTGTGGCTCCAGATAGGGAACAGCGGCTGGCGTTCATGCTCAGAGTAGATAAAGCACTGAGAGAGCCAGTTACTTATTTAATATGTTATCATTGAACAGATTTCCAGTGTGTGGCAGGCTCTGTGCTAGGCCCTGCAGACACTGTGGGGCAAGGTGTAGTCCCTGCCCATAGCAGGGCCTCAGGCATGGAGGTAGAGACAAATACCCATGTAGTTCTAACACCAGGCGAATATGTGCCCACATGTGGGCCCGGACACTAAAGGCAACTCAGAAGAAAGATATTACCTGCCCCTGGGGCCTAGAGGCCTTCTCAGAGGCTATAATGTTGGGGCTGAGCTGATGGATGAGTACAAGTTACCCAGGCCTTGACTTTCAGGGCGGAGTAAGTAGAACACAATGTATGACTGGAGCATTGGGTGGGAGAAGTGGGGGGCCTGGAGATTTCAGACATATTTTGAAGGCAGAGCTGATAACAGTGGAGTAGGAGAGAATGAGCCATCCATCCCAGCGTTGTCCCATGATGTCTGTTGATTGTATCACTTACTATATCTGCTCTTGTTCCAGATAGTGCTGGAGTTGGCTCGGCTCTCTCTGCTCCAGGGGCACCTGGACTTGTGTGAGGAGCACTGTGCCATCCTCCTGCAGACTGACAAGAACCATGAGACCGCCTCCGTGGTAAGAGCCCCAGAATCTCCTCCCTGCGCTGCCAGCTCCCCATGGTCACACGCCAGCTGCTCCTATCCCCTGTCACCTCAGACGCCTCGCGGACCCGTCCCTGAGGGGTGGGGCGCAGAGGAGACAGAGCTGGGCCTGCTGCCCTTCAGGCTGGTGGGCTGGCAGCCTCCACCCCTTGGGTCAGCCTCAGAGGAGGTGTGAGGTTGGCTCACTCCAGGGGAAACCACACCCACTGTCAGTGAGGGCAAGGGAGGGACAAGTTCTCAGGGCTTCGGGAGTGTGTGGGAAAAGCCCTCCCCGTTCTTCTTCTTCTCTTCATCGCCAAGACCACCTCCTGGGCCACCCAAGGAGCAGGGGAGGCCCCCAGTCTACCTCCACTGCCTAGAGCTGGTAGTTGTCAGATGTGGGCGGGGAGGCTGGCTCTGCTGGTGTCTGCTCTGACCTTCCCACTTCCATCCTCACCCCAGGTCTCCCCCTTCCCACGCTCTCACTTCTGGGCTCCTCCTGTGGCAGCTTCTCCCAGTACGCAGAGTGGCTGCTTTGGAAGTCCTTATCACCTCCCCCCAAGTACCCTCCAGCTCCCCCACACCCAAGCAGGCTGCTGTCAGGAATTCCAGACCAACCGTTGTGTGTTTTCTGCTAGATGATGGCCGATCTGCTGTTTAGAAAACAGAAATATGAAGCTGCCATCAATCTCTACCATCAAGTCCTGGAGAAAGCGCCAGGTAACAGCCTGTGCTGAGACCTTCTGCAGCACTTTCCTCCAGTGAGGGCTGCTCTCTCTGAAAAGGGTGGGCCCTCTCCCCTCCTTCCTGACTGGGCAGAGGAAGCCCCTTCCTCTCTGATTGTTCCCAGAAAGGCAGGAAACTGATAAAGACCTGATGGAACGTGCTGGCCCTCTCTAAGTCCAGGGGGCCAGTTCCTGGCCTCCGGCAGCACAGGGCTTGGCACTGGACCCAGGACAGCCTGTCTGTCCCCAAATCATGGCTCAACATAGCATCTTTCTGAGGTCACAGCTTCCTAGAGGTTGCTCAGAATTCTTCCCTGAGATGTAGCTCTATTTCTACTTACCTGTTCTTACTGGGGAAGGGGCTAAAGAGGAGGCTCAGACTGAAACCACGTGGGGCCAGAAGCCCCAGGGGATCACAGCTGTCAGGAGTGTGAGTCCTGGAGCCAGGTCCTGCCCAGGTCTGAACCATGGTCTTCTACTTACCAACTCTGTAAACTTTGTCAGATCACTTGACTTCTTTGTATCTCCATTTCCTCAACTATTGATATAAAATGGGAATGATCAGTATCACCTTGATTATGTAGTTTGCAGGTAAAGTGCTTAAGGCTAGGTGCCATGTAAGTGCTATGTAAGGGGTAGCTGCTATTATTACTACTTACAAACACCACTATTTTTCTCCCAACGCTGGAGACCAGTGGAGACACTGCAGCTGCTCAGCCCAGGTGGGCAGTGTCTCATGGGCCTCCCTGTCAGGCCACAGCATCCTACCCAATACAGCTATTGAATGTCATAGCTGCTCTTTTTTTTTTTTTTAGACAATTTTTCAGTATTGGATAAATTGATCGATCTGCTGCGAAGAAGTGGCAAACTTGAAGATGCCCCACCCTTCTTTGAACTGGCCAAGAAGATGTCCAGCCGTGTGCCTTTGGAGCCAGGATTCAACTACTGCAGGGGCATCTACTGCTGGTAAGCTGGGCAGTGGGGGTGTGGCAGCTGTGGGCTTGACGCTCTGCCCAGTAGGCTGCTGGGCATCTTTTTGCTCAGGGCTAGCACAAGGATGGGAAGAAACTCTGCTTCCAGATCAGAAAGCCCATGAGACCAGTAATTCAGCCCCTGCTCTGTGCTGATTCATGGAATGGCCCCAGTGTGTCCCTGCATGCTTCGGGTCTCAGTTTCCCTATCTGATTCTTGGTGTTTCTCTCCTCTGCACAGGCATATAGGACAGCCCAATGAAGCCCTGAAGTTTCTAAACAAAGCACGCAAGGATAGCACTTGGGGCCAGAGGGCCACCTACTATATGGTGCAGATCTGTCTGAACCCTGACAATGAGATTGTGGGCGGAGAGGCTTTCACAAACCTTGTGGCTGAGAGCAAGTAAGGGTCCTGGGGAAGGCCCAGTGAGACCTGGGGGGATGGTGGGAGTACCTGGTTGAGACCCTGAGGCTGGGGGCCTACAGTTCTGAATCCCATGCCCACAGCACCACCGATAGGAAGGAGTTGGAGCAGCATGGTGTGCGCACTGCTGAGAAGCTGCTGCGTGAGTTCTACCCACATTCGGCCTGGGGCCAGACCCAGCTGCGCCTGCTGCAGAGCCTTTGCCTACTGGCCACCAAGGAGAAGACTAACATGGAAGCAGCACTGGGCACCTTTATCGAGATGGCGCAGGCTGAGGTGCGCGGTGGGAGTGGGCCCTGGGGGGCAGTTGAGGCCGAGGTCCCAGCATTCTGACACCTGCCCCCTACCTGGTGCACAGAGGGACAGCGTTCCAGCTCTGCTGGCCATGGCCCAGGCGTATACGCTGCTGAAGCAGGTCCCCAAGGCACGCACACAGTTGAAGCGTCTGGCCAAGGCCCCATGGGTGCTGACCGAGGCTGAGGACCTGGAGAAAGGTTGGCTCCTGCTGGCGGACATCTACTGCCAGGGTGGCAAGTTTGACCTCTCTTCTGAGCTGTTGCGGCGCTGTGTGCAATACAACAAGGCAAGAGGATGCACAGCCATTGGTGCTGATGAGGACGAGGGCAGATGAGGGTACTATGGGTGGTGGGACAGGAGGGGCTCCTGCCTGGGGCAGAGGAGAGAGGGCAAGGATCCTGAGGAGAAGAGACAGGACTAGAGGGAACACCTGGGTGAGTCCTACCTGCATGTGGTGGATGGGTATGGGGAGCACCACAGAGACTCCACAAGACAAGAGGAGGTATGCTGGGTCTGGCAGCTGGAATTGGGGACCTGGGAATAGGGGAGAGAGTTGGGAAGGCTTCATGGTTTCAAGGGTCATGCAGGGGCTGATCCAGACAAGAGGGGCATTTGCATGGCAGAACAGGAGGGCTGGGGGTGGGGGAGAAGAGGGGTCATGCCAATGACAGATTAGCCAAAAGAAGACTCAGTCCACCCCTTAAGAGAGGTGAGGGGTGAAAAATGCCCCTGGAGTCCCTGAGTGGTTTGGATTAAGGCAGCTCACCATAGTCCCTGGCTCCTGCCATATCCCACCCTGGTGCTGGGACCGGATGTGGCTTCACCTCTACAGAGGCTCTGACCAGCTTTCCCTGCAGTCCTGCTGCAAGGCCTATGAGTACATGGGTTTCATCATGGAGAAGGAGCAGTCCTACAAGGATGCAGCCACCAACTACGAACTGGCCTGGAAATACAGTCATCATGCCAACCCTGCTATTGGTAAGGCAGCCAGGCAAGGTGCGTGTGGGTGCAGGAGGTCACTAGACAGGGGACACACCGCCCTGACTGCAGTGCTCTGGCTGTTGGGCGAACCAGAAGGGTTCGCAGGTCATCAGAGTGCTACCATCTGTGTTCTCCCTGCCCCCTGGATAGGCTTCAGACTGGCTTTCAACTACTTGAAGGATAAGAGATTCGTGGAGGCCATCGAAGTCTGCCACAATGTAAGCCACAGACGCTGGCGGGGAGGGGCTTGTTGCAGGGGCCTGGTACAGCGGCAGGGAGCCCTACCTCATGCTGCACACCCTTTCTTTCTTTGTCTCAGGTCCTCAGGGAACACCCCAACTACCCCAAAATCAGAGAAGAAATTTTGGAAAAGGCCCAAGGGTCTCTGAGGCCCTAGCTGTGGTCAGTGGGAGCCAGGGTGGGTGGGAGCCAGCAAGCTACAGAAGCTTCATGGAGGGGGCGGGAAGTGGGTTAGTGAAGAGATTCAGCAAATGACATTTTCTTCCCTGTTTCTGTATTGTGTGTGGTTTATTTGAATTACTCCTCACTGGTCTAAAGGGCATTCCAAAGCTTTATTTATGTTTTTAAGGTCAAGAAGCAATTTTGTTCCAAGGAAGAAAGACATCAACCAGCTTAACTTCTGCTGGGCTTATGGGCAGCTTTTAATGGGTCCTACTTTTATCTACAGCTATGTTAGCCCACAAATGCCTCCCCTCTTCTGGCTGGTCCCCAGAATTCTGGAGCTAAAGAAGCAGTTGCTCCTCCCTATCGCGCTACCCGCTGTGTCCTCCCTGGCGGTGGGCACAGACAGGAGACCAGCTGCAGAAGGCCCCAGAACTGCTGCACCACGGGACAGAGACCATCACCCTGCAGGTCGCAAAGCCGCTGGTGCACCCTGCCCATACATTCTTTCTCCTCCTCCCTAGGACTTCAGCTGGCCTTGGCAGGTCTGGACCTATTTGGGACTAAATTGCCTGTCCATAGGCTGGAAACACATCCCAAGAACAAATAGTTCCCACTTCAGCTTTTGTAAAAGACACTGATGAACTAATTCATCCTCCAGAAAGCCTTTTAATCCCTCAGGGGACAAAAGCAGTGGTCCCTGTTTAGATGCATGTTAATTGTGCCAGCTGAGAGAGATCACCTTTGTTGTTTTCCCAGTACCCCTCTCCCTGTTTTTCAGGATGGCAGAAATGGGCTAGTTGGGCCTCAGGGGAAGGAACCCCCACCTGGAGTGAGGAAGCCTAGAATCCCCTGTGGCCTTCCTAAGACCCTTCCCTTCTCTAAGCCTGAGCCCCCATCCCGGGGCAGGAAATCCGATTCGATCTGTGTGTTCCCAAGTCATGGTACAAATCCCTGCCAGTGATGTACAGCAAATAATTTAATGTTTAATAACTGTGTGTTTAAATCACTCTTTTATAGTTTGTATTATATAAGAAAAACATCTAGCACAGCAAAGTCATGAATTTGTGGATGTTGTTCCACACAAGTTCTAACTTGTAAGCATATGGGCATAAAGTAAAACACTTAGGGGGAAAGAAATAAAGTAAAATACTTTGTATGAGTAGAATGTAAATATGGCATAGTTTTCAAGAGAAGTGACTAGGACTTGGGAGAGTAGGTGGGTAAGTGTCCCTTCTAGAGCAGCCCTAGTTGGCCTTGATGGCTGCAGCCTTGTTTTTATAGAGCTTTGTTTTTATAACATACTGCTGATCACATGTTTAGGTGGCCTGTAAGTATGAGTCAGTGGTCTGGAACCTTCCTCCAGGTTCCTACCATCATTCCTATGGGAAACCCTTCCCTAGGATCTGCTTTACACTCCAGTTTCTTGAGGGGGGTTGCATTGAAAGGCAGGTAGTTTGTATGGTAGATGATGCTGTAACAATTGTGCATTAATCACATATTTATTACTGCGAAATCTACTGTCTTCATTTTTTAAAAAGATTTATTTATTTATGCATACAAGAACTGCGGTACAGGCCAGAGGTGTGGGGGGTGAGAGAATTCACCAGAGACAGAGTGGAGAGCAGAACAGGCAGATTGACTGAAACACACTGCTGAGAGGAGCAGCGGGCGAGAAAGGAGAGGTCTGTTGCACCATGCAGGTAGCTCCCTAGCTGCAGATAGCTCCATAGGTTGCGTCTTAACCCCTTGTGCCACCAGTGAGGCCCCTACTTTGTCTTCATTTATCTTTATCTTTTTTTTTTTTAAGATTTATTTATTTATACAAGAACCGGGGTACAGGCCAGATCCACGGGAGGGTGAGAGGATTCACCAGAGACAGAGTGGGGAACAGAACAGGCAGACTGACGAAACACAGTGCTGAGGGGAGCAGCAGGCGAGACAGGAAGCTGCGCTGCCTGTGCCAACAGGGGAGGCCCTTCATTTATTAAAAAAAAAAAAAAAAAAAAAAGCCAACAAGTGACCCTGTGGCCCTAGATGGGGCCATAGTCCAGCCATGGGGAGGAGCCTGCAGGATGATGGAGCTGCTGGGGGCTGCACAGTACTGAGACCCAAGACAAGGGAGCAGAAGTAATTTAAGTCACCTTACCAGACGGAAGAGCTCATTTCGAACCCAGCACTCTGCAGCTATGCTCTAACCAGGAAGCCTGGAGATGAAATCAGGGCAGCAAGAGGACACCCTTCTTTTTTTTGGCTACTTGTGCGAATCGTTATTTTTCCTAAGGGGGAGGTCGGCCTTCCTCATCAGACCCCCAGACAGGGGCTCCCTAGGGCAGGGTGTGGCCTGGTGCTCTGGCCTGCCGGGACAGGTCAGACAGGTCTGGCTGGTACTGATGGATGAGGCTCTGCAGCTTCCGGTGTGGTGCTCAAGCCGCAGGGACTGCAGGTACCCAGCCCCACACTAGGCCTCCATCGGCCACATCCTACTGCCCACACCTAGGGGGTTGACTTTACCTTCAGAGCCAAGCCTCAGCTCAGAGAGTGGGAAGGAGTGTGCCTGCCCTCACCCCTCCCTAGCAGACAGCCCTGTCTCAAAAAACTACCTACAAATGCTCCCCATCCCCACCTACCTGACCCGCTGAAAAGAAAAGGGTTTTCATCCAGAGGAAATACTGCTCCATCTGCCCAGCTGGCTTCCCATCTCCCAGTTGACTGGCCTACCTGGAGGGAGCGCCAGTGTGTTGAGTCCCCCACTCCTACCCCCAACACAGCCTGTGTTCCAACAGCCTGCAGGGCCTGACTTCCTCTCCCCCCCCCCACCATCTCCTGAGGGGTATACCCATGCTCCCCATCCCACAAACACAGACCACACTATTAAAAATATAGCCTCTTTATTGGTACCTGTAAGCTCAGGTACAAGGTGTTCCCACAAGCACACAGGCTGGGAAGGCCTCCTGGGCATGAGCCAAGCCCAGAGCCTGGGCTTCTTGGCACAGACACAGAGAAAAATGAATAAATTATAGTTCTTCTAACACTCAGGAACAATATAGAAATTATGATACAAAATTCAGCTTCTGCAAATGAAGGGCTTAAAAGCCATAGGAATTACCCCTCACTCCAGGCCAACTGGCCTGAAGGTATGGGCAGGTGGCCCAGGCTGGAGTGCAGTGCCCAGAAAGCCCTGAGATAGTATCAGGGGCATGCTATGGACCCTGAGGCAAGCCCCTTGCCCTCTCTGGGCCTCCTGCTCCCCCCTCCTACACTTATGGACCCAAAATAAAGGGTTTTGGCCTTTCAGGAATGGGGATGGGGCAGAGGACAGGAAGTAAAGGGGGTCGCATGGGGCAGAAGAGAATTTTGGTCACAGATGGACAGCCCAACCCCTCCCCCTGCCCAGATGCTGTCCAGGACCAGTCCCTGCCTGCTCAGCCATCTGGATTCAGGCAGCAGACACAGTAGGCCATAGGGCTTGAATCCACACCTGGTCTACACACACCAAAGCCCTGGCAAGGCAGAGCTGTGGGACTAGAAGGCCCATTTGACACAAAGTTCATGACCCACCCTGACCCCAGCACTGCCCACCAGCCAGAGGGGAGAAACCTAAGCTGCTTAGTCTCCAAATAAATTATGGAAATAAATTAGTCTTCACAGTCCAGAGGATTCAGCCACCCATGGGTCTATGGCTCAGGGTGGCGGGAAAAGCCATACAATGTGACTGATTTCAGCCCGTCTCACCATCTCGGGCTAGGAGCATCGCACGAGACTGAATGAGTAAGTCTGCAAAGCTCCAGAAAAGCCACCTTCCCCCATCCCTGGCAGGTGCCATGGAAGTAGAAAAGACTGGGCATGGGGGTAGGAGCAAGAGGTATGTGAAAGGGGAAACCCCTTCCCTACCCTCTCTTTAGCACAGAATGTTACAAAAATAAATAAAATCATTCCAAAGTGTTGCATGAAAACCCGCAGTGCCCACACTGGTGAGTCAGCCAACGGGAGACTGTTACATACAGACCTCAGGGAGCCCCTAAATGACAACAAAGCAGCAACAGGGCTCCTGGGGCCAGGAAAAGGCACCCCAGTCCTCACACAGGCACAGCTTCTATCAGAGATGCTGGGGCAGTGTCCTCAAACAACTGGCTGTCCACAAAGGGAGCCAAGGCCTCAGCAGCGGCTGGCTCAGACAGGCCCACAATGGACTCCAGGAAGCAAGTGCTGGTATCCCCAGGTGGAGAGAAGGCAAGCAAGGGACAGTAGGGTGCCTCAAGGCTGTCCAGACTGTCAGACACCTTCTGGAAGGTGTAGTGAGGCCCCAGACTATAGTCTGGCAGGGCCTGGAACAGCTCAAAGGAGTCGCAGGAAGATAGGCTGAGGTCCACTGAGCTGCTCTGGCCACCGTCCGTGCTCGGTGGCACTGAGATGCCAGGGAGGCTGCCCTCTAACCCTTCAAAGCCACCATTTAGGAAGCAGCTGGCATCCAGGTTGGCATTTTCATCCAGGATACCTGATGTGAGGCTAGAGCTGGAATAGCTGTGAGTCCAGCTAGCTAGGCCATTAGGGTCGCCAGTACCAAAGATGTCAGCTGGGTAGAAGCAACTGAGGTTGTCGAGGCTCCCCACACCCCTTTCCTCCTCCTCCTCCTCCTCCCCACCCAGGTCAGAGTCACTGAAACTCAGGATCCGTGCCAGGCTGTCGTCATCCATGCTGGGCTGGAAGCCAGGGCCAGGCAGGGTAGGGTGTGCAGGATCGTCCGGGGCCTCGCTAGTGCCTGATGCTGTGGAAGAGTCGGTCATGTCGCTGCTACTGCTGCTGTCTCCCAGCTCACTGCTCACAGGTGGCTTGGCCAGCGAGAAAGGAGGAGCCACGACCTGGGCCCCAGGGCTGGGTGGCCCATCCTGGACAGGGTCCTCCAGCTCCCCACAGCTCTCTGCCCCCTGCTCCAGCCGCAGGCGGGTGAGTGTGTGGAGGAAATGGGTCTGAACGCGTACCTGATTAAACTCTACACGGCCCTTGGGGTTCTCACAACCCTCCTTGCAGCAACCACAGGGGAATGCTGTGTGATCCATCTGCAAAGAAAGAGGAGGCATGAGTGAGGATCCTGTGGAGCCCAGAGAAACCCGAGTTCAGGTTTCCCTTCCTAGCCGGGTCCCGCACCATACCTGGCACTTGATGCCTGCCAGGCTGCAGCTGCAGGTCTCAGGGTCACAGACTCTATCACAGCGACACCCACAATCCTCCCGGGACTGGCGCAGAGCCTGCAACTCCCGCTTCTCCTCTCGGTCGATCCTCCGCACACCCGCAGCCCGCAGCAGAGCCCGCCTCTGCCGTGCTGGATAGGGCTGTAGGAAGTTCATCTCCTCCAACCGGCCACTGGCCACAGCCATAGCCAAGTCTTCCTCCACAGAAGCATCATCAATGGCATCCACTGTAAGTGGCTGTCCGGCTTCTGTCTCTGGTGTCCTGCTGTCTGCAAGCTGCATGCACAGGAGAGAGGATGGATGTGAGCAGCACCTTCACAGCCAGCAGTCACTTGACAAACACTCCCTCATAAGCTTACTCTGGGCTGGGGGCATGGTGGATACCACAGAGAAAGGAACAGCCAGGAGCACTGTCCTCAGGGCATTTTCTTTTCTTTTCTTTTTTTTTTTTTTAATAGAGGCATGTTTTATTTATTTATTTATTTGCTTGTTTGTTTGTTTTGTTTATACATGCACTGGGTACAGTCAGAAGCGCGGGAGGGTGAGAGAATTCACCAGAGCCAGAGCGGGGAGCAGAGCAGGCAGAAGGACCGAAGTACACTGCTGAGGGGAGCAGCGGGCGGCAGGAGAGGTCTGTGCGCCATGTGGGACCCTCCTCTGGTGGCCGGGGAGCAGCCGGGGATCGAACTGGCGCCACAGTGGCCGCGGGCAGCTTCGCAACCCAGCGCTCAACTGCTGCACCAGCGGGGAGGCCCTCAGGGCATTTTCAAGGAGATTTCCTATCCCTGTCATTCCCCAGTTTCTGAACAAACTCCATCCAGCAGGCAGATAGCTACACGGACCCTAATATCACATCAACTCCATGCACCCCCTCCCCAGTGAAGTCACAAACTCTGGCACTGTGGCCCCAGGACTACAGCAAACACGAGCCCTTTCGTGCCCTACTAGGTAGATGATCCAGGCAACAGACCCTGATTAAGCCAATCACTGCCCCGCGGGCCTCTCTCCCCAAAATCATAAGGGCAGATCAGAACCCACCCAGCTGCCTTACTCCCTTAAGGCTAAGGTTTCAGCAGCTTCTTGAACTTGTGGGCCATGGAGAGGGGTTTCCTACCTTCCACTGAAGCATCTCTAGCTTCTCCTCCTTCAAGCGTAGGCGGAGCTTCTCGTACCGTGCCTGGGCTTGCTCCTGTGTAAACTCAGCCAAGGAGAAGCGGCGGCAGGCACTGTGGCGAGAGGCCATCCCCAGAGTGCAGCCGCCACGGCTGGGCACGCTGGTGAAGCCTTGGCACCGAGGAAAGTAGAAGACGGTGATGCCATCGAAGGCTACTCGGCCTGGGCGCTTCCGGGGAGCCTGTTTCAGGATGGATGGGGCTGGAAGGCAGACAGGGAAGGCATTAATTGATTCTCTGTGAGGTACAGCAAAACCCTACAGGAAGATGATGTGAACTGTCTCTTCACAGTTCTCCATCTCTACCCTCCCACCCTGAAGAGAAAAATGGATCTGAATTTGGGAACTGGGTTGCCTGGGATTGGAGCTGGTGAAACTGAATACTACACCTACGTCAACATTGGCTTGTTACTTATTTACCAGTCCCAATGATCACTTGTAAGATTAAATATCTTATCTTTTATTAGCCATTTATAGGTCCTTTGTACATTAAAAAAAATTTGATTTGTAGGTAACTCTTTCTATATGAGAGAATCATCTGTCTAACCTATCTGTGTAAATATTGAAGTCTTTTTTGGTTCATGGCATTTTATAAAATAATTTCTAAGGTTTATGTAATCAAAATAAACTGATCTTTTCCTTTATAGCTTTTGCATTTTGCAACAGGCTTAGAAGGCCTTTCCTTTAAAAACTATTGATTGTGTACTGATTAATGAGTTAGGTAACAGTATATTTGAGATATATATCTATTATTGCTTTTAACCTTAGGTTGAACCCAAGAAACTACTGTAAAATAGTGACATTTTGGTAATTTTACATATTTCAACTTAGTATATTAATTTTCTGGCCTGCTACCTAAGGAAATTCCCTTCTAAAAGATTTTCTGTTTATATTCTTGAATTTATCCGGTAGTCAACCATCTGCAAACAATGGCAACTTTCACCTGTCCCAATCTAACACACTTAATTTTTATTCTCTTTGCTACCTCAATTGGCTGGCACTTCCTGTACAATGTTAACTAACAGTGGTGACAGACAGCATCTTCACCTTGCTCCTGACTTAGTGGAACTGCTTCCAATGTTAACTCATTAATCATAATGCCAGCCATTTGGGTTGAGACAAACTTTTTATTATTCCAGGTAGAGTTTGCTTATTCCTCTCTTACCAAAGGTATGATCTAGAAGAACACTACATTTTATCAAATATTCTTCCAGCACCTTCAGTGGCTTTTTGTGTTTCTTCTTCCGATGTAGTCATTTGGTAAATTATAAAAATGGACTTATAATATTAAGCCATCCCTGTATTTGCAGAATTAACCCATGATAGATTAGTCATAAACTAAATGTATAATGTGTATTATATATTTTTAATGTATAACACACAGATATGCATGCAATACATAAACAAAGAGTATCATATCTGTGGTATTAAAACCTCATGGGGACGGGTGATTCTGTAAAAAACTGTCTAAGAAGGTTCTTTGGGGTTGAAGGAGACATAATAGAAAATGAAGCTGAAAAACCCTGCTCTAGGGGTTTGGAATCAGAATTACCAAGTTTGAAACATAAATGGGGAAAAAAAATCTTTCGCTATATTCAGATAGAGCCAAACAGCATTTTGACAGGAGGCACCAGCCTGACAGGCCCCACAGTGGACAAGTGTGGGCTGTGGAACTCTAGAAGTTCAACTGGTAAGATACAAGTTGGAGAAATGAAACTAGAACAGAAGGGAGTGGCCAAGCGGGAAGGAGCTCCACTCTGGGGAGCCCCATCCTGAACATGACTTCTGAGAGAGGAGTCCCGAGGCCAAGGGGAATGTCGTCCAGTCAGTGCGAGTGCCTCAGGGAAGCAGCTACATTATTATGGGAAGCAGACAAGGGGGAGCCTAGTAGGGAACTAAAGCTGTGCAGACATGGGCTATGGGGGTCCCCTTGTCAGGGCCTCCCAATTTCATCTTCAGGAAGGAAGAAGGGAATGGGGTGAGGGAGTATTCCCAGGGGAGGGAATACTCACGGGTGAAAGTCTGGGGACCACAGAGCTTGCGGGAAGGCAGGGGTGTCTGATCCCAGGCACCCTCCTCATCAAAGTCCCAGGCTGGGGAGACTGAAGAACTTGGGGAGCAACAGCGAGAGTGGTGGCCAGAGGAAGAAGATGAGCAAAGCGAGGAAGAGTCATCATCCAGCTGGTCAAACTTCCTCTTCAGCAGGCCAGTCATGGTGGTGTAGGGGTACTCTGGGGTCTAGGCAGAGAGCCTGGAATGGGAAGGAGAAAGCTCTCAGTCAGGTCATCATCTCTCCCAGTTTCCCTCCCCACCCCACCCAGCCCAGCAACCTGTGCAGGAGGGCTCATCCCTAGGAGGCTTCTTTGCACAAGACACAGCTCTGAGGTCCAGACCCTCCTCCCGGTGCTCACAAGACTCCCACCACCTCTCCCCAAAGCCTTCCTAGCACACTGCCAGGCACCGTCCCCTACCTCCCACAACCCATCCCCACACACACACCAGACCAGCAGATGGACTGACAGACCTCCCTGGACTATCTTATTCCCCGACAGGAATCCTGGGGGCTGACTCACTGGCTGGGTGATTCACACGGCTCGCATCTGTGTGCCTTTGTGCGCGAGGCCGTCTGTACAGCCTGCACAGCCCTGCACAGCGGCTCTGCTTCCTAGTCGCCGTCCTCCTGCCCCCACACACCCACAGACAAGCCACCCCGCACACACCATTGGGGGCCCTCGCCGCGGGCTAGGCTGACTGGGGGGCTCTGGGAAATGGGCTTTGACACCGGCCCCCTTCCCAGACGCTGGACTTTCCTGAGCCCCTCCTCTCCCAGTGGAGCTGCTGGAAACTTTCCCTCAGAAACCCCCGCCTGCAGAAGTCCCCTGCCTCCAGGCCTGACTGTGGGACAGCAGCCAGGAGCACCTAGGCTCTGCGTCTCTTTAACATCCCTGTCTAATCTTAAAAATCCATCTACATCTTGCTGATCACTCCAGTCTCTTACCATTTTTGTCTGAATTTACTTCCCATGGAAATTATTTTTTCCCCTTTAAAAAAAATAAAAATCTTCCAGTGAAACCAAGAAACTGATTGACCAAGAAACTGACTGACCCCTTTAAAAATAAAACAAAGCAAAACAAAAAAAAACCCTTTCTAGTGAAACTGTCCTGGCTGTAACTTGGAGCACCCTAGGACACAACGCTGTCTCTCCCCTGGGAGAGTCTCAGTCCTCTCTGCAACAGTGAGACCAGAGACTTCTCTCAGCCTGGATGGCCTCATCTAAGTGAAAGGGACTTCGGCCTCCTTCCCCTAAATGCCTTGGCAGTAACAGCCCCTTCCACTGCTTGGGAATCCCCGAAGGACTCAGGCCTAAGGACTGAGCTCAGCTACCTTGTCTCTGCAGTGCGTCCTGTGGCCGTCAGGTCAGGCTGGGCCCCCAGAAGGTCACCAGGAAGAAGGGGAAACGATGCAGTGGCCCCAGTGCTGGGGAACCCCTCCCCCACTGCCATCACAGGAAATGAGAGAGAACAGGAAAAACCAACTAGAAGGCTGTCAATCTCCTCTGCTCAAGGTGTCCTTTCTAAACTCCTCTACCCCTCTTTTGGCCAAGCCTCCCTGGAAGTACCTGGATTCTGGAGCGTGCGCTGTCAACCTGCTAGCTGTCCACCTGCTAGCTCGATAAAATTCATGCCAGCAACAGCCTCTTCTCCCAGGCAGTCCCAAGAGAAGCAAGAGAGTCCCCCCTCCCTCGTCAGTCCTCCACTGGGCCAGGGGGAAGAGAAGGCACAGGTGTTTCCGGGGGCTTCTCAGTGGGTAGTTTTTCAGGCTAGGCACCCTCCCCCCTTCCCAGGGTCAAACCACAAGTAAAAACAACCCGGTTCCCAGCTGACCTGCAGGATCTCCCTGGAGATGAGAGAACTCACAGCCCAGAGCCTAGCAGACACACATACAATCCTGCAGAGCAGACACTCAGGACTCACACATGCACAAACCACACCCATCCATCTTGTCCCCATCAAGTCCAGCTGGGAGACCCCATCCTTTTCCAAATTCTAGATGCATCTATAGGAGGCTGAGTGCCTCCCTAATTACACATCCAAGCCTGAGACCACCCCAAAACCAAACTGGAGTTCTGCCTGGCTGTCCCTTAGAAACAAAACTGTGCAGGCCCCGATTGAAACCCCTGTCTCTGCCCCCCCACCCCCACCCATGCCATCTGTTCCTCTTCCTGTGTTCCCTATCTTAGTAACAGCACTGCCACCCACCCAGTTATTCAAGCCAGAAACCTGCAGTCATCCTCAGCTCCTTCCTCCCCCTCTCTCCATCCATCTCAGTCACCCAGTCCTGGAGTACACATTGGCTCGCTTATCCACATGGGGCCAGGGACAGATTCAGCAGAGCACAAAGTTCACCACAGCATCAATTTAAGAGTCTCGACTTTAGAACAAGACTGTGGAAACTGAACCCTGGCTTGGTTACTAATTGGCTGGGTGACCCTGGAAAGGTTCCTTCACCTCTCTGTACCTCCAATTCTTAGTCTTAAAAGCTCATAGGCTGGGTAGGGATACATGAATCAATACATGTCAAGTTCTTAGGACAGTGTCAAGTGCCTCCTGAATGAGCTCCCAGACACACACAGCACAGATGAATCTCACTGACAGCATGCTGAATGTTAGAAGCCAGGCACAAGAATACACATGAATGAAGTTAAGAAAAGGCAAGTCCAGTGAAGATGCAAGTCAGAATAGGAGTGGGGAGCAGGCACTGGGGACAGTCATGAGGGATCTTGGGGGAGGAAGGGATGAAATGGACCCTTGATCCGGACAGGTCCCCTATCTCTGTTCCCCCCACCCATTCTTTAGACAGAATGACCTTATTAAATCAAATATCTACCTGACTCCGCCATTCTAAGAATCACTCTGCAGCTCCCCTTAGGGGAGCCCACCCTTACAATCAAGTCCAGAATTTCACTAGAAGCAGGCCTGGCTGCTGCCTCCCCTCCCTTCCAGACTTATCTTCTAAGACTCCCCAGGCCCTTCTATATACACCTGCTGAACTTGCAATTCACCTGATGGCCGTGACCTGCTCACCTCCAGCTTGGACAAGCTGGAACCCAGTCTCACCTCCCTTTAAAAGTCCTAAGGGGCTGCCTGAACACCCTCTACTTCGCTCACTGACTCTGGGCTCTCATCAGCATTGGGAGTTCATCACAGTCCTTGATCTCAAAATCCTCCACCCTGTAACAGCCTCAAGCCTCGACTTATCACAGTTAAAAGGGGGAGGGGGGAGGAGGGAGGGACACATGCCCACTCTCCTGCTGTGCCAGAAGGTTCGAGTAAGAATGGTATCCAGAAGGTGGTATCCCTGAGCAGGTGAGCGAAGTTCAGGTTGCCAATGTGGGCATCTCAGGAGGCTCCCTATCCCAAGAACAAACAAATGGAGAGAGATGTCAAGAAGCAAGTTCAAGCCAGACACCCAGGCTCTGCCTTGGGAGTATCTAGAGAACGGGAAGGTCAGGTGAGGGGGTGGTAAGCTCTGAGGCAGTAAACAGGGAAAAAGGCCTTAGGGAAGCTACAGTCAGGCTGCAGGGTCTAGTGATGAAACCCTAGCACGATCTGCAGATCTGGGATGAAGTGACAAATGATTTCCTCCCTGAGACTCCTGGGGTGCGGGGAAGTTAGATAAATGCCCCTGGATCTCATACTCCACTATCCCACCTGGGAATCCAGAGTCTGAGTGAGACAGAGGCAGAAGATGAGACAAAAAGACTCAGCCAGAGACAAGGAGAGGCCAAGTCAGAAAAAGGAATGAAAGATAGTGAAGGAGTCCAAGGAAAGTGTCAGACAGTGAGTCAGAGGGTGGGGGAGGGGACCCTCAGTAGCTACCCAGGAATCAAGATCCTGGCCATGGCACTGTTCCCAGGGTGAGCACAGCCCCCTCCTAGGGTCCTGGAGGAAGGAAAAGCAATTCTCAGGAGCTGGCTCAGACAGAAATACCACACCCCCAAGGAGCCTGGAGACAGGCCCTGAATCAAAGAGAACCACGCTTCTTCCGGGATTTGCCTGGGCCCTGAGAATCAGGCTGTCCTCCTGCTACCACACACAGGAGCTGACAGTCCCACAGGCGGATCACCGCTCCACGCTACTCACTGCAACTATCTACACACTCAGGCCACAGTGTGAATCCAGCAAAGGTCACTTCACCCTGAACACCAGGCAAACAAAAGCTTTGGGGTGGGGGTGGGGAGGCAAAGGAAGGGGGGAGACTTGTCTCTGACAAGTCCCACCAACTCCTGTGCAAACCTCAGCAGTCCCAATGCCCCAGCCCCTGGGCAGAGCTGGTATTGGGGAGGGGGGTACCTTCAGCTGCCTCCTACCTCCTCCAGGAATTTGAAGAATTTGTCCTTTAACCTCAGAGCCCCACGCCTTGGCCAAACTGAGGTCAGCTCCCCCCCAACACCTGGGGTCACATGATCCCAGGCCCTCAAGAGCTACCACTTCCTGGGAACAGGGGAGGACACCTCTGAGCGCCCCCCCACCTCCCCCAATGGGATGGGCTAGAAAATGGCCTGGGCAGCCCAGAGAGGGCAGACAGGAAGCCTGGGCTCACACCCCTCCCCCACCCATCTTTCTGAAAGTGATCCTGGGGGAGGGGACAGTTCCTCAGCCTTGGGCCTCCAGGGCCTGGCACTGGGAAGGTGCCAAATGTTTGCCAGGACATGAAGCAATTGCTCCTGCAGAAGGGAAATTGCACCTGGCAGTGCCTGCTTCCTCCACCTAGGAGGCCTCCTTCACTCCCATTCATTCCTTCATTCATTCCCTCAACAAATATTCACTGAGGTCCTATAGCATGTCAATAAACATTGTGCCGGGTACTTGAACATACAGGGAGCCTGACAAACACCAGTGCTGTGCCCTTGCAGTTGCCTGTTTGGTGGGGGAAGAGTGTGCAGAGTTAGGAGCCTTGTTGAATACTGAGCTGGAGGGGGTGGGGGGAAGAGGGGTGCACAGGAGTCTCCGAAGAAGGGGTGTAGGAAGAGTTTCAGAGGGGGCACAGCGAGGATGAGGGACCTGGAGAGGGAGAGCTGGAGGTGAGCAGGAGGGGCCGGCTGACAGGGGGCAGCAGGAGTGGCTGCTCCGCGCACGCAGGATTTAGCCTGAGGCCACAGGAAGCCACAGAAGGGTGTTCGCAGGGAGGGACAATACCAGATTTGCATTTTTAAAAGATGGCTCAGCACTAGGGACTGGGGGGGTGTGACCTGCCGGATCAGGCAGCCAGAGTTGGGTGCGAGACGACAGCACTGGGGCACAAGAGAAAGGGGGATGGACTTGGTGACCTCTGGATGTGGAGGAAGAGGGCAATGATGTCAAAGATCTGGGGGAGCGCTGCAGAGCTCCGCTCCCCCAGGGCTGTGAGCCATCCGCGTGGAGGTGTCGGGTGGGCAGCGGAGCCGGGGAGGGCCCCTCTGTGTCAGGAGTGTGGGCTCCGGCTGTGCGTAATGGTGCCAGGGCGCAGGCATGACTAAGAGCGTAACGGCTTCTGCGGGGTGGGCATCTCGGCGCTCGCGGGTGGAAGGGACCCCGGGGAGGGGAAACTGAGGCCCGGGGGGCCGCGCGCGCCGGGGAGGCAGCAGCGCGTGGGAGCGCCGCCGCCTGCCGCGGGGGGTCCGGGCCGGCCGTGACTCACGGCGGGGCCTCCGCGTGTGACGGTGACTGACAAACAGGTGAGCGCACGACACAATCCTCCCCCTCCCTCGCTCCCGGGGTCCGTGACTCACGGCGCCTCACTCAGCCCTCGGCGCCCTCCTCCCTGACCCCCGCTCGCCGGGGGCGCCGGGCACGCGCCGCAGCCCGGCGACCCGCCCCGGGGGGAGCCCGCGAGAGGACGCCCCGGGTCACCTGCCCCGGCCACGCGAGGAACTTCTGAAAAGTTCTCAGGCAATTGGGTCAAAAGGAAACTCACCCGCCGAGGCGGCGCGCGCCCCATCCCCGCGCCCCCGGCGCGCACCCAGCGCCCGGCGATCTGGCGCTGCGAGCTCGGGGTGCTGTCACTTCCCGGGGTACCCGCGGCGGGGCGGGGGAGGGGAGCGGGGAGCCTGCGGCTGTCACCTCGCCGCCCGGGAGTCCGGCGGCCGCGCGCGCACCGGGGCCAGGCGGGGCTGCCCGCGAGCCGGCGCCCGCGCGGGGAGCCGGGGGCCGGGGCCGGGGGGCCGGGGCCACCCGCGCGGACGCCCCCTCCCCGGGGTCCCGGGCGGCCGGGCCCGGCGCCCCGCGGCACTCACCTGAGCTCCTGGCGCTCGCCGGGGACACCGCCGCGACCCGCGTCCCTGCCGGGGCCGCCCCCACGCCGCGACCGGACCCTGCGCGCGCTCGGCCGGGCAGCCGTCGGCCCCGCTGCCCCTCGCTCTGCGCGTCCGGCGGCGGCGGCGGGAGACTGGCTGCCCCGGCCCCGCCCGCCGCTCCGCCCCCCTCGTCAGTGGAAAACTCCGGGGCTCACAGCGCTGACGCACGCCGGGCCTCCCGCCAGGCCGCCCGGCCCCGCCCCGGAGGCGCCTCCCCCTCGCCCGCCCGGAGCCGCGGCCGCGGGGCCTCCGCCGGACTCTGACCCGGCCCCCCGCCCGCGGGCCCCCGCCGCCCGCCCGGCGCGCCGCGCCGGCCGCGCCAAGCCGCCGACGCACCGGCCGGCCGGGCTGCGGCTCGGGGGGACCCGCCGCGCCTCGCTGCCCCAGTTGCCAGATGGGTAGACTGAGGCCCGGGGCGGCGCGGGGCGCCGGCGAAGCCCCCCGGGGAGAAGGCGGCCGAGCCGAGGCCCCCAACGCGCACGCACCCCGCCCCGCCCGCCCCGGGCAGTTTGCCATAATCCCCCCTGAACATTCTCTCCGCCGCCCCCTCGTGCCGCCTCCCCGCGCACCCCCAGACCGCCGGGAAAGTAAACTACCCAGGCAGGCGACGCGAGGGGGCGCGGGGAGGGCCCGGGAGAGGAGGGCATCCTCGCGCCTGACCTTCACCTCTGCCCGCGGGCCGGAGACGCTGCAGAGGCCCCGAGCTGGGAGTTCAAGCCCCCAGCGCCCCTCTGCCCCCGCCCCACCCCTCCACTGAAAAGAGGGTGAAAAAATTCAAAAGTCGGATACTTCTCGGCTCGACCCTCGCCACT